AAGGATCATTGTAGATATAATGCTCGTAGAATCGTTTCAAACCAAGCACCAGATTTGAAGCCACGCCGTACAGTAGGAAAGTACACTGCGTTGGCAAAATATGATACAAGGTTGTGATCTAATAATGTAACTGACATTCAATAACATTTACGTGTGCGTGACTACTGATAATTATATAAGATGTCTCACGAAAACAAACCAGAAATGTGACAGCTCCATGAAAGAAAAGATCAGAAGAAACATATGACAGGAATACACTAATGAAGAACTATGATTAAACTGGCGTCGATTGATGGACATAATTAAGCACTCTGGGTCGGATCACCCAGTGCAGCTGCCGGTTTGTAGTTGCTGAAATCGTATTCCACATCATAGTCCTCCTCATCAACATCCCCATCGCTGAGCTCGACATCTTGGAGATTCTCCCCATCATCGATCTCATCAACGGTGAACCCGTAGTCCTCTTTTCGGATTTTCTTCCAAGCGGCAATGGTTTGTCTTCGGGTGAGACAGAAAGGCAGCTTGGAGAGCGCAACACACCCATCCTGAGTTACTTCCACGGTCTGGCCGATTGAGCTGGCAGTATCAGTGGCCTTGTCCATCAGGATGATATGGATAAAGAACACCATGCCCGACTGTGCCACCACGTTCTGGCCGCGCACAAACATGGGAAAATCCATCCACGTAGGGGAAAAGGTTGCACCCAAGCTATAGCCACAACTGTTGAAACGTTGGTCCCGGAAGCCGTTCTCATCCGCAACACGAGCGTAAGCCTCGAACACGTCGCCAATCTCTCGGCCTGGTTTGAGGGCCGCCATGGCTGCCTCCATTTGAAGTATGTTGACCCGGTGCATTTCTCGCGCCAGCTTGGTGATGCCGCCAATGGGAATCGTGCGCATAAGACACGTATGATAGTGCTTGTAAGCTGCGGCATGCTCGAGCGTGAGCTGTCGATCGATCTTATCTTTGCCCGTCGAGTAACGGGTGAGAACAGCCTTGTTGCCCGAAACAAGGATATTCTCATTGGCAGGATCATCACCACCACCCTCGTAGACCGTGCCGACAATCTCCCGCCATAGGTCGCCTTCATAGGCCCCGGGTTTAGCCAGCTTGAGGGCGCGGACGAGGGCGAAGTCGGCGAGATAAGCGGCCTTTCGAACCTTGCGCATTTCGGCTTCCGATTTGATAATGCGAAGCTCCCGGGTGAACAAATCGCTGTGGTCCACTAGCGTGCAAAGACCGTCCACGGCTTCTTCTAGTGCCTTTCCTAGGCGGTGCGTCAAGGAGCAGGAGTCAGGTTCATACCCGATCCGCTTGGATGGCGAGTTGATTCCAAATTCCTTCAGGACCCTGGGGACCAAGGACACGGGGTTGCTTGCGGCGTTGTCGGATCGAATGAGGATATCCTTCTGATCCAAGATTGAAGTGTAGAGAGCCTGGCGCAGATCCGGGATTCGAGTGATCAGCCTCATGGAAGCATCCTTGTGGAAGTACATGGCTTGGAAGAAGACATAGCCGAAGGTATCAAAGCCAGTGAAGTAGTAGAGAGATTCTTGCTTCGTCATGAGAAAACCATCGAGATTTTCTCGCTCCATAAGCTCCAGAGCCCGCTGTTGACGCTCTTTGAACTCAGCCTCTGAAAAGTATAGGGCTTTTTTGAAGGGCTGGGCTATTTTGACCGGTGCCATCTTTGCTGAGGAGGTTAGAAGGAGGAATTCGAGTGGTTGAGCTGTTTGATATCAAGGACATAAGAGCATACGAGGTTTTTTATACCCAGTCTGCTGCCCTCATGTCGCACCTCATGTTGAACCAACATAGGAAGATAGTCCGCTTGTCCAAATTAGGAGTATTGCTCCGCTCGCTCCATGAGTCTAGGCATAGCAGCAGCCATGTCATGTGAGAAATGCCCCTCAGCGGGGAGGCGAAAGTCTAAACACAAACTAACGTATTACATCCTAGGGCCCCGTATCACCTGAACCCAAGTGAATGCGCAGGGAACTAACCGATTGGGACGGGCGCCTGCGGGCACCTAAGATAAGATGCAGCGAGCTCCAGATTTAGTTTCCTCTTCAGTTTGGTACTTTCGTGAATACTACATGTTTTCTTTCCATTTTTGGACCGTGACAAAGTGTCACCCATCTCTTTCGATAATCCTATAGCCAATGACAGAAGGGGTGACTGAAATAAGGAGATGAGTGACAAACGGGAACAAATAGATGATTAAACTAATTTTGCCTCTATCCCACGGGGGTAGCTGTAGTTGTAAAGAAAAGGTTTCTAGTGTTTGCAGGATAGAGCCTGTCAGCGAGGTAAGACAAAGATGCCTGGGAACAAGTGATGTATTGAAAGAATACAGAGACTAATTCTTAGAGAACCTCTAGGTTCTCCGGAACGGACTATTAACATGGGGGATCAGCGTTACGGCGAGTCAACGCTGACGTGTCGACACCTATATACTGTCGATCCTCTATGAGTGCGAGAGATCTATATATAGCTCCTAAGGACTCCGTTACAATTATCCTCCCGTCTAGTACGGGTGTCCGTACCCGTGGTGAAGCCTATAGAACGTAGCCTATTAAAAGCCTAGTGGGAAAGGGTAGCTAGTTCTAATAGGGGCTATAGTAATTGCGTAGAGATAGTGAGGCGATAGGGAAACGATAGAGTATTAGAGGGTGGTTGTAGGCAAGAAGATTGGGGCCTAAGGTAGGAATAGGATAGGGCTCGAAAGTTTTATGATTTCCTAATTAGGATACTAGAGGTTTATTTGCTTAGATAGTATACTTTTATTATAGTAAACAAAGCCTTCTTAGCATAGTTAGATTGTATGTTTGTATCTACATTTGTTTATTTAGGTTATCGGGCTTTATTATGTGTTAAGGCCCTGCGAGGTCCTAGTGTAGCAGTATGAGTACGGGAAGTAGAGTCTATCGGCAAATGTATGTGCAGGTGTAATGAGAGACTAATTGCTTGTCCTCCATGCGAGGGCCAGCGAGATCAATAAATACGTGGTGCGCTTAGCTAATGTACTAAGCGATATGCATGGCCGTCATGGTCCATGCGTGCGCTCAGCTGTGCTCGCACTGCGAGGGCCAGGGCTCGCTGTGTACCCTCAGGCATCTGGCAGGTCGGGGTCCTGACACTATATGTGGTTGACCGAGATCAACCAATCGTGACAGGAGATATGCTAATTTTGACAGAGATACAACTATTCAATCCGTATTATGTCCGATCTTAGCCTTCATTTGTGGCTAGACGCAAATTCCAAATAAGAAATCGTGACGCTACGCTATCTCGATTAGGAAAGCGTCACGGTCTTAGCGAGAGATTCGGAACCATCAACTTTTCGACGACGAGCTACGACAGCGACATCCATCCAGACGTCACAAGGCGTATCGTTTAGATTTGCCACAAGCTGGATACTGGGCACATTTCCCTGCACCTGCAAGCTGCTACAGACAAGGAATAACATGCATGGATACCCTATGAACTGGTTACGGCCAACAGAAAAGTGAGGCCGCGCACAGCATAAGCCCAACATTACTATTTCTAGCCATTTTGTCGGGCTGCGCCCACCTAGGTTGCCTTCCTGTCTCCCTCTTCATTTTGTATAAGATGCTCTCTTTTCCTCCTCATTTCTCTCTTACTTCCCATACAATCCATTGCTTCTGACACAATAATCCACCATATCATCATTATCAACACACTTTGAATCTTCGCCATGGTTATCTTCATGCATCTCCCCTCGGACGAAGAAATCGAGGCTTTCGAGAATTCGGTTCTCGGACAAGCCTATCGTTTTACCGACCGAGCTTTGATTCGCGAGGCTCTTCAAGGCCCTAGTATCTTCAACCACAGCGGTCAAAAGACCCTTGCATTGGTTGGCGATGCGACACTCCGCCAGTTTCTCGTTGATCAAGGCCGAGAGAGGAACAAAACTCCGGGTAAGTCCCCCCTCCCTTAGCAATGACTATTTTGCACGTATGCTAAGTATGGTGTCATCAACAGGGGAGATTCAGAACGTCATCACCAAGGTGGCCTCCAATGACAACCTATATGACCGGGGCATTGCCCTTGGACTTGACCCTTTCATCGTGAAGAACCCGGGCCAGTGGGGCATAACGGCCGGAAAGAAGACCATGCCTACCACCATGGAAGCCATAATTGGCGCAGTTTTCTATGATTCCGCCAAGAACGGCGATGACGTCGAAAGGGTCCTCACTGCCCTCGGCCTCGCCTGGCCCGAGTGATCCTGCCCGTCCCTTCAATCGTACTTCCTTGTCATGGAGACATCAGGAAGCCTCTATGGGGGGGAAGGGGGGATCCCTTGCAAGGCTGGACCTTTTTCATTCAGCAGTGAAGTGGCCTGTGAAGTGACCTCTATGTCACAGCACTATTGAATGAGCCATGTACACTTTGCAATGGATCCCTCTCGCCCTCTCATGGCGGCTTCCTTATGTCTCCATGGCTGGGAAGTATATCATGAAGACCACATTTCAGGCAATTTAGAGACAGAGGAGGAATGGCACTGGCGTTTCATGAGATAGTCACTTATCAATAGTGAAAATGAAAGTAACGTAGCGGCACTGAAAATACATCCACGGGTAGTAATTTCTTTATCTCCTATAATATTTAGAAGTATCCAGAGCCCCAGCTGTAATCTATGGATCGCAACCAATTGATCCTCGGAGAGAAAGTCAAGATTCAACGTTCAGCCGTGCCGCAACACAGGATAGTTTCACCAGAAACTGACGACAATTCCGAGGTAAACATTGTTACACCCTCTTACCCCGGGCTTACTGTAACATCCAGGGATATGCATACATAATTGGTAAGTGCAGCCGGAAGAGGGCCTAAGTATACAGCTCTTGTCAAGACATACAGATCATAGAAATTGCTGTGCGAGGTTGGTGAGATGAGGGAAAATAGAATAGTTCTCTATACACCATTGAGTATCCGTAGTATCATTCCAACACTCAGTCATCATCTTCATCATCGTCATCTTAATCCTCGTCCTCATCCTGATCGCCGGCCTTGAGACCATAGTCATCTTCAAACTCCTTGAGAGGCTGGACGGTAGGAGTGAAGCCAGATGCTTCGAAGCCTTGCTTGATAGCCTATTTTAAACGTTGGTTTATAGTCATTTTCCCATTTGAAGAACATACATCTTCCAACACAGTCGCACAGGTGACGACAAGGTTCGCCGTCTTGGGAGCAAACATCGGCAAAAGAATATCACGCAGAGCACCCTTAATCTGGTCAACGGTGATAGCGCGCACATTCTTAAGCATCTTCTCCTTGTGGTCACTAGGCAAGTTGCGCACGACTTGGCCAATGAAACTGCCTTGCGCCCACTAGCAGCAGTCATCTGCTCATTGGCAAAGTTGACCGAAATGCTGCTGATAGCACCCTCGAGCATCAAGGGATTGAAAGCCGTAGCACCAGACAGATGATCCTCGACAATTTGCTTGCTAGACCCGAAAGCCTTGTGTGCGTTAAGACTATATGACCACTGTAATTTACGCTGACTCATCGAAGATACATTAAGAAAGACCAGACCAGCGGAAAAATGTCCTAATACGGGCTAGTGCGCTTGAGGTGGGGGCCTCAGGAGATAAAGAGAGTGAGAACTGAGTTAAAACTGATTTCGAATATCACTGTAGAGAGTTAAGAATAGGCCCCGGTCTATTTACAGTCTTTGTTCGAATAAGAATGACCCTTATATTTAGGCGTTAGCCACCCACCCCCCAAACCCCCCTGCCCAACCACCCCACCTCCTCCTACTTACAACTAGCTAGGAGGCTAGAGTCCCCCAAAATCCTTTGAATCTTCTACGATCCTTACTTAACGTACAATAATAATAGGCTAGTAAGGGGCGATCGGGTATCTCAATATACTCGAAAGGCTAGTGCCGATGAGTACTTCGGGAACTGTCCCTTGCATTTATGTAGTTATTAACATAGAGTATGATCCAAGAGTACTGGAAATTGTGGAAGTAAATTGCCTTCAAGCATCATCAAGTAATCCTGTGGAATTTTATTACTCTTGTTATTTCTCTGCTTAAATTGATTCTGGAAAAGGAAGGGATGGTTATTGTACACTTGTTTACCATCTGCGTACCGCTTCCTGTCAGCATCCGTGGCCTCTCTAGCTTGATAATGGACCTTCCCCGAGGGGAATGGAAGCAACAAGCCCTGCAAGGCCTATTTAAGAACCTCCTTATGACCTATATCGAGGCTGTAAGATTAGCTATATAAGGTCAATAAAGAACGGCAACAGATAGTGCAAAAGCAATTAGTACTTGAGGGCTTTTCGCCAATATGATCGACCACTCATTCCCTTCGTTTGCTTTTTCAAAACAATCGGATCAGATGATTTCAATACGTTAAAATTGCAAACAAGGTCGCCAGAAACTTCCATGCTAGCTCCCAAGTTGTCAAACTTGCCACAGTACTTGAACAAGAATTCTAGTCAGCACTCATCACCATAGTCAATAAATGGAACGACCGAAGACTCACATTTGGTGCAGAAAAGACCGTAACGAGATTACGCTCCCCAAAGAATTCATATCCCCCTTCCACCACCATATGCGCCCGACAGACTAGGTCTAAATCGTGGCGCTTTAGGAAATTCGCAACAACCTTCCTTCCAAAGGACCAGCTCACACCTCGGTCATCATTAGGTCCCCAGTCTTTAATATTTGCGGGATCGCTCCATAAAAGATCATTCAGAAGACCCCGATCAGGCACTTCAGTGGGACGAACGAGGTTTCGGATATCATTCATATCGTAAAGGTTTGGGGAAAGGCCGCCATGCACACAGAAGATCCTTTCTGCGATAACCGCAGCGACTGGAAGACAATTGAAAACATCTGTAAATGTTTTCCAGATCTTGACATTGCATCTTCGCTTGCACTCGTCATAGAACCCGTAGATTCGAGAGACATTAGCACACTCATGGTTACCACGGAGTAGAAAAAAGGTTTCCGGGTATTTGAGCTTGTAGCACAGAAGCAGAAGTATTGTTTCCAAGCTTTGCTTACCGCGGTCAACGTAGTCTCCTAGAAACAGATAGTTTGAGGCAGGAGGAAATCCGGACATCTCAAAAAATCGAAGAAGATCCGTAAATTGACCGTGGATGTCCCCGATGATGTGAATTGGAGCATTCAGCTCTAGGAGAACAGGCTGGGAAAGGAGCAGATTGCGGGCGGCCGAGCAAATGGACAAGATTTCATCATTGTTGAGACATAGCCTTTTCTCAGGCCTCGATTTTCCCACGTGTAGTAATCGTGAAATCATGCCATCTAGATCAAATAGGGTAGATCTTTCCATATTTGTTCGGTCTCGAGAAGAATAATCCCAGATTATTGTTTCTAGGTTGAGCTGGTTGTGTTTTCGCAAAATGGATTCATTCGTGGCCCCAGGAACCCCAGGCGACGATTCAGATAAGGGAACCTCTGCTCCGTGACTAAACTCCTCACTCAGTTGGCTCGTCTTCTCATTCAATGCATTTTGAACACTAGTCACTGGCGAGTCTAGGCTACCATGCTTGCTGAAGTTGCCTGAGTGATGAATTCCTCTTCTTAGGAAGCGAGAAAAAGAAGGTCTTTTGGATGAGTTGATGGCGGGATCGCAATCATGAGTTGTGCTTCGCTCAGTGGTATGGTCAAAGCCCACTTCTTTGACCCGCTGAAGGTCGTTTGAATGTTGCTTTAAAAGCTCTTTCTGGGGGAATTGGCCCCCCTCTTTCATCGCTGTAACACTTTCTTCTTTGCTTGCATCATTCATTGGGCCAAGCTCGCTTTCCTCTGGCATTGAAAGAGAAGCTGGGATCTCATTGGTAATCGTAGGAGGCTGCTGAATATCGGCAGTTGACATAGCTCTGGCTAATGTGTCTCGGTAGGCTATTTCTTCCGACAAGCTATTGTAGATATGTTACTGTAGAGGTCACACTTTCTTAAGAAGCTGGGTTATCACGCTGCCTGCAGTCGTGATCTTGGCAAGCCGGGTGGCAAACGCGGATTGTGATTGGGAACGGGGGCTCTTGGCAAAAGTGTAAATGGTGTATGACTGGACGATTTATACCCTCGTATATTAATCTTATATTCTAGTGTATGATTAATCAGTTCATTACATCATGACTCATCACCTGAACAATGCCAATGAATGCCCACCCTGCAAAGCTGATGATGGTTTGTTAACGGTATCCCACCGGTATCCCACTGGTATCCCATCCGGCACTACAAGGAAGCATGCAAACCTGTAGGCGATTTCTCCATGTTGCGGATCACTAGTTTCTCCGCTCCGCCCTTTCCGAAGATTAACCGCAGGTGCAGACAATGCGGGGAGGGAAACACCGTACACATGACTCTCTTGGCCCCAGAAAACTAGGCGGGCATGTCTATTTAACTGGTAAATTTTCACGACGCACATAAACTCTGCCTCTCAGTCACTTGCTCTCACATTACATTCTCAACCCCGCTGGATTACAATGTCTTCCGGAAACCATGATATCGGATTACGTATCGAACCCATCAGCCAACCCGAGGATATAATCCAGGCGTTTAACTGTGCATGCGAGGCTTTCGGGCGTCAGGCACAAGATGGGGTTTGGATCGCCATGAACCCGGCGTGGGAAACACCAGCGGGGAAGGCGCGTGGAGCTGCCGCAATGGTCAATCGCTGGACCGCCACCACCAAGGACCAGGACGGCAAGCCAAACACAGTCTTCCTCAAGGCTACGCTACCCAGTTCCGAAGGCGGACGTGTGATCGCCGGGTTTGCCATTTGGGTACAGGCTTCAAACGTGGCAGGTCGCGGCGATAAGCCAGCGGAGGATCTGCGCGAGGCCCTGCAGCTTGAATCGCTGTATCCTGGAAATGAACCAGAACAGCGGTACCTATCTCAAGTTATGTCCTCTTTCTTTCGACGCCGCACCGAGGTCATCAAAGAGAAGGCCACTGCAACACCACCGGCGGTAATGGTCTTGGATATGTGCGCCGTTGATCCGCACTATCAACGAAAGGGCATTGCACGGGCTCTGGTGCAATGGGGCCTCGATGAAGCTCAGCGACGTGGAGACCTGGAGGCCATTACGGAGGCATCTAGCATGGGGAGGCATGTATACGGCCAGATGGGCTTCCACCCAGAAGGCCCTGAGATCGAGTATCATGTTGATCCTGAATTCTCGCACCGCAGCAGGCCAGCCAATTTATTCATGCGAACCCGTGGCGGCTCTGAATGATTGTCCAGAAGGTCGGAATACATGCACTATTAAAGTCGCTGTCGCAGAAGAGATAGACTCAAACCGCGTACGAGCCTGGAAAGATAATAACCAGGGATACGCTTTTTGTCCCATCAGATCAAACCGGTAGTATATTTGCAGATAACCTAGAGTTGACCCACAGTATTTGGCTCTAATATCTGCCACAATAGACTGGTTACAAGCGACCCCACGCTCTGAACTCTTCAGATTCACTGCAACATAACACCTGTAGCATAAAAGAAAGCATTCTCAATCATCGGACAAAGAGTCTCGTGGAGTGGTTGTGGCTAAGCTTAATTATTTAGAACGGTGTTTCCCCATAATTGGCAGCGTGTGGCACGTACTAAATCAGCAATGCGGGCACTGGGCGTCGATTTGCACCGCCTGAACAATGTTTCGCGGTGCTGGGGTCTTGCAGAAGGCACTTCGACCAGTGGGTGTAATGTTATGGTTGCATTCGAATTTCACTGCCTTGTACTCATGCCCACATACTGCCGAGTAGTAGATGTACCAACCACAAGGGCAGTTGCCTGGGTTGTCAGGACTGTTTACCAGACGATCAGGTACATCTTTTTCCATTTGATTCGGTGGGATCTGAGTCGTCATATTTATTGAAGATCTGAATAGAAATAAGTAATAGGAGGGTCGAGCTCGATATGAATCAGAGTAAAATAAGAATAGTTCCGACGAAGGTGTTTTTACAGAAGTATTTATTACAAGTCTAGCACTGAAGCTGGGGCCGTTTAAGTATAATCTCGCGCGCAGGAATCATTTCTAAGTACGTCACCAATGTGATTCCCTCGAAGGCTATCTCTTGAGTGCCCAAGTCCTACTTGCCTCTCATTGACCAATACGTGCTACAATTTAGGCGCTTGGCTTTTCTATTTATATGCGTAAGGCCTCAAAACGCATAGGAAGGCGGTGAATACAACAGTGGGAGGGACGATCTTGGCTACGTAGAAACACAAATCGGGAGAATGTCTGTAATATTTTCAGCCTTGCAAGCCGGGATTAAATAGGATTTAGTCTTTTGGTTACTATTCTGGGCTGATTCTAGCACTGTGGCAATCCTTTTACGAATTATCTTTGTTTGAGGGATAGGGTTCTGATATTGATAGCCACCCACTCCGCCACGTCTTTATAGCAGCGGCCGAACTCTAGCTCATCCAGTGCCCACATCAACGAAACCTGGACTGGTACGCGAAATTAAGGCTCTCACCACGGTGCTGAAGCCTCGGGTAGAAGACAAATATGATTACATTCTCCACGATCTGTGTTTCCACGTGAAAGGGGTATCATTAATACATTGATCTAGCGCAGAGTTAGACGTTTCCAGTGTCTTTCTCCTTGGTGAGCTTGTAATTTACTTTTCATGCTGTTCCCTTGAAGCGATTTATAACTTCGCTGCTTTTCTCTGACTTTCGTCTAGCCACACCTGAACCGTGCGCACTAGCCCATCAATTTCCGCTTCCGTGTTGCCTGCATGTAAGCATACTCGTACTCGTTCTTTTCTCTCGGGGATGGTGGGCGGCATTATTGCACGAACGATAAATCCTTTCTCCTGGCACGCACTTGCCAGCTGTCTTGGCTGTGACGTGCGAAGAGAGATGATCGGTGAAGTGGGGAAATGGTCAATCTCGAACATGACAGATGGACGTGTGTGAAGCCCATCCAGTCTTTGCCGCAGATGCCGAATCAACTGCTGAAGTCGGTACTGTAGCTGCAGGGCCAATCAGTAACTAGGTTATAAACTGTGCAGACAAGAGCAACTTACTGATGTTGTTTCACCAGATGCAAGGAGCTCATATGCAGCGCGAATCGACGCCAAGAACGGGTATCCCAGCGCAGTGGTATAGATGAGACTCCGGGCATAATTGATCAAGTAGTCCCTTGTCTCGGGTCCACAGAGGACCATTGCTAGCGGGGTGTTAGTCAATCATCTCAGATGCGTGTCAAAAACATTAAAGGCCATACCTCCATGACTGGCCAGGGCCTTGCCAAAGGTGTGCACTCGAATGAACATGCGATTTTGTACACCAAGTTCCTGGACTACTCCAGCACCCTTCGGTCCGAATACACCAGTTGCGTGCGCCTCGTCGACATAGAAATATCCATTCCCGGCGGGGAGCAGGTCATCCACAACCTTAATAAACTCCTTAATGGGAGCCACATCACCATCCATGCTGTATATTGATTCAACAACCACGAAGACATTACGGCTGCCGTTTCGAATCGCTGGATCCGCAGCTATCTGGGACTGGAGCACCTCTCTCAACCCTGGTGGCGAACTGTGAGGGAACATTTTCCGAGCCCCCGCCCGGGAGAGACGCATTCCCTCGTGGGCACTGGCATGAATGAGCTCGTCATACAGAATCACATCCCCGGGTTGGGGAATACTGGAAAGTACTCCGACATTGGCATCATAGCCGGAATTGAACAAAAGCGCCGTCGGAGCTTGATGAAAGTCCGCGACAAAGTTTTCGAGCTCTTCCGCATACGCCGAGTTCCCGTCTAATAGCCGAGAACCGCCGCTGGCGAACGGGAATGACGGAGGCGTATTGTTCAGAAGAGCCAAGAACTTTTCCCGGTAGGCGCGCGACGTTGACAGCGACAGGAAGTCGTTGGACGAGAAATCCACGGCCGTCCGGGGTAAAACGGTCAACCTCCGGCGGGCAGATTTGGTTTCCCGAAGTGCCAATGCGGCGGAGAGTGATTCAACAAGAGTTGGGGCTGAACATGTATGATCTGGAGCCATTGTGATGTTCTGGGCTTTCATTGCGACAAGAATATTCAAGATGTGTGTTTTATGTTCCTGGATTCCGATCTCGGGAGCAATGATCGCCCACTTTATTTGCTCCGAGGGAAACCGAGAAATTGACACAAAACAGAATGACTCAATTGGAGCAACTGGAGACGCGAGAATGGAACCGGTTGGGATTCAACGAGAGAATAACCTCGGTGAGAGCGGAGAGGTCACGGGATCCACCTGGTTGACTCGCCCGCGGGATCTACAACTTCAGTCTATTCACCTCAACAATGCCTGTCGGTGCTGCGCTATGGCGTAATTTACGCGCTCATCAGGTCTACGGGGCCAACACTGATGTGGGAAAGACAATTGTATCTACTGTGTTGTGCAATGCGGTTCAACGACAAAAACAACAAGCCGCATTCCTCAAGCCTGTGTCAACGGGAGCCTTGGACGATGCCGATGATCGGTAGGCTACAATTGAGGTCGTCGTATTTGTTTCAATCTCTAATTTGGTCGCAGGCACTTGCAGCGCTTTGGCGCGGGGACATTAACCAAGTGTCTCTACCAGTTCGATGACCCGGTGAGCCCGCATTTGGCCGCCAAGGACAAAGTGGTGAGTCCCGACATCTTATCGTCAGATACGAAGCTAATTGATACAGATCCCGCGAGATGATGATCTTCTTGCCTCAATCCATAAGACGCTGTCCGGCTGGGCCCGGTCGGACATTGACTTTGCTCTCGTCGAGACTGCTGGGGGTGTCCACTCCCCAGGTCCCAATGGCAACTCGCAGGCGGATCTGTACCGACCTCTACGGCTGCCAATTGTGCTGGTCGCGGACTCTCGTCTAGGAGGAATCTCTTCCTCCATCTCTGCTTATGAGTCGCTGCTACTTCGTGGCTATGACGTACAATCGGTTCTCTTGTTCCGAGACGAGTACTACCAAAATCACGAGTATCTCCGTGATTACTTCAAGGGCAAGAGCATCCCTCTAGTCTCACTTCCAACACCTCCACCCCGCCCGTCTCAGTTAGACGCGGATTCCCAATTGAGAGACGAGGAGGCCATGTCCACCTATTACCAAAAGTCCGCACAGGAGTCCGACATTCTCAGACTGCTTGAGGAGATGACAGTGAAAAACACTGAGCGCATTGAACGCTTAGAAGAGATGGGCGACCGGGCCCGGGATCTAATCTGGTACCCCTTCACTCAGCACCAAGGCATGCGCGCCAAGGACATCACCGTGATCGATTCAGCCCACGATGACTACTTCCAGACATTCGGATCCAACTCATCCAAAATTACCCAAAGCGAACTGCGGCCAACATTCGATGGCTCTGCATCCTGGTGGACCCAAGGCTTGGGCCATGGTAACCCCGAGCTCTCGCTTTCTGCAGCCTACGCCGCTGGCCGGTACGGTCATGTGATGTTCGCAGGCGCCGTTCATGAGCCAGCGCTCTCTCTTGCGAGTCGCTTGCTGGAGACCATCGGAAACCCACGGTTGACCAAGGTTTTCTACACAGACAACGGAAGCACAGGAATGGAAGTTGCCGTGAAGATGGGTCTCCGCGCCTCCTGCAACCGCTACGGCTGGGACGCAAGCCAGGAACAAATTGGCATTCTGGGACTCAAGGGCAGTTACCATGGCGACACTATCGGAGTAATGGATTGCTCAGAGCCGTCCACTTTCAACCAAAAGGTTGAATGGTATCGTGGCCGTGGCCATTGGTTTGACTTCCCGCTGGTCAAGATGGTTGGAGGGTCATGGAAAGTCGAGATTCCCGGTGAGCTCCGAATGGACTTGGGCGAAGATGTCGACTTTGCTTCATTGGGCTCGGTCTTTGATCTTGAACAGCGTATTGAGTCTGCCACCGCTCGGCGCTACAAAGATTATATCCGCCGCACCATTGAGGACTTGATACAGCGCCAGGGTATGAAGTTTGGAGCCCTTATTATGGAGCCCGTCATCCTCGGTGCCGGTGGAATGCTCTTCTGTGACCCGCTCTTCCAGAGATGCCTGGCGGACGTGGTCCGCGACCACCCCGAGCTATTCTCTGCCAATGCCACTTCTCATAAGGAATCCCCATCCTGGTCAGGCTTACCAATCATCTTTGACGAGGTGTTCACTGGCCTGTATCGCCTGGGTCGTCGGACATCCGCTTCATTCTTGGGTGTCCACCCAGACGTCGCTGTTAACGCCAAACTCCTCACGGGCGGATTGATCCCGCTCTGTACGACTGTGGCTAGCGAGGAGATCTTCGATGCTTTCTCCAGCCCGGAGAAGAGTGATGCACTCCTCCACGGCCACAGCTACACTGCCCATGCTGTTGGCTGTACCGTTGCCGTCGACTCTCTGAAGACCATGGCACGGCTGGAGTCAGACGGATCCTGGGATAGATACCGCGATGACTGGCGCAACAGCTCAGTTGCCTCTGAAACCTCCACTCCTGATGTGTGGAGTGTCTGGTCACAGGGTCTACTTCAGGACCTGTCTTGTGCGGAATCAGTGGAGAGCGTCTTCGCTATTGGAACTGTGCTCAGTATTTCCCTGCGCGATGCCGAGGGTGGAGGTATGAAACCGAACGAACATTTAACAACGTCTTTCCGCTAACATCTATCTAGGCTACACCTCCAACGCTGCGAAGGGTCTGCAACAAAAGCTCTCCATTGGCGGTGATAAGTTCAATGTTCACTCGCGCGTCCTCGGCAATGTCTTGTATCTCATGTCCAGTGTGACATCCAAACCCGAGTCGTTGCAAGAGATGGAAAAATTGCTTCGGTCGGCCTTGGTGTAAATTATTGCCTAAGATGGATATCAAATGAATACATGTAAATGAAGAGCAAGCCACGCATCATTCCAAGGAGGTTGTCTTCGAAGGTCCTTGATCGAGATGGAGATCGCCTGGGCCATTTGGGGGTAGAAATAAATCTAGGCCAATCCTGGAACCTCAAAAAAAACGTCAATATACATCAGACGGTCCGGTCAGTATATTATCTTTCTATCTTTCTATCATTATGCATCCGATCTGCTGAATATCTCACATGTTACGTCTATTCTAAGTGCAATGGCTTGTGGACTGGTGTGGATGCCACCACGAATAATATGATGTGTATCCAACCGGTTGTTCCTCTGGCGCCTGGAACCTCTGTCTGCAATGGCGACGAGGGTAGTCCCATTGTGGATGAGACTGGACAGACCGGGTATGGCTTGGTGAGCTGGTACGCGCAAGGTTGCTTTGCCTCACCTCGCCCGAACGTCGGATCCAATCTCAATGATTCGTCCGCGAAGAGCTGGATCAAGGGACTGACGAAGTAAAATGTTGTCCATATCCTTCATGATATCTCACTTTGTTTATCTTTGCTCGTCCCCTGAAAGGGTGGATTATTGGACAACCTGTACTACTGGATCTGACAGAGGCATCATGCAAACTATCTACTATATGATATGAGTTAAATGAATTTCATGCATTAAAATCAAAACTATCTGGTATCTCTCTAAATATTTCATGACAGTGAAGATCACTCAAGGATCTCCGAATGATCTCCGAATGCAACGTATCTGTAAATCTATGCAAATAGATACTCGCTCAACTGGTGCAATCTAAACCATAGACCGCTCAACCTTCATGTCACTAGCCTGGGTATCCGAGCGGTCCATGGTAGTGTAACGACTGAAGTCTCTCAGACCCCGACGCTCACCACCAGGCTGCTCACCCGCGGCCTCAGTCTTGCGTGCCTGACGACGGAAGTAAACACGCTTGCACCACTTCCAACTCTCAATACCAAGGAAGAAGAGAACCGTCTCAACAAAGACAATACCCCATTCCCAGGAAATACTGCTATGCTTGAAGACGCTGTGGTTGATAACGGGGATATAAAGAATCGGGAAAGCAAGAACGAATCCAGTCATGATACCGAAGAAAAGGAACTTGTTGCGCCAGATATCGTGCATCCACTGGGTAAAGCGCCGCTTTGAGTCGGGCTGCATTTGGAAGAAGCTGCGGCGGAGGTTCATCATCTCCCAGGCGAGGAAGAGGGCGAACCAGGTCATGCAAGTAAATGTTGTGGCGCGAGCGCGGAAGACTGTGTCGCAGTCGTATGGCTTGGTTGGGTCATTGTATTGGGTGTTGCAGCCCATGGCGAGGTTTCCATCGCCCCAGCGGAACATGACGAGGGCGAATGCTGAGAGACAAAGGGCGGCCATCCAAACTCCGTAGACCAAGGTGTCGATGATGATTTCCCAAGTGAAAATTCCTTGTTTCTGTAATCCTGTTAGAATGATTTATAAGACAGGGGATAGTAAAACATACGCTTTGTGGGGGCCGGTCCATCACCTCTGGAGCGGCAATCTCCATTCCCAGACCCATATCAGGAAGACCAGAGGTAATCATGATAATCCAAATAATCTCGACAGGCGCAATAGGGAAGACAGACTGGTTGCTGTCATCCTTAAAGGCCAGACCAATAAGCAAAGTGAGGGCCAAGGCAACGTTCTCAGCGAGAAGATGCAGAACGAACTTCTGGATATTGTCGAAAATGCGACGTCCTTCCTCGATACCGTTAATGATTGAAGCAAAGTTATCATCGGACAGCACCAATTCAGATGCATCCTTGGCAACATCAGAACCATTCTGGCCCATGGCAATACCAACATCAGCTCGCTTAAGAGACGGAGAGTCGTTGACTCCATCACCAGTCATAGCAACATACTTGCCACGACGATGCAGAGCGTCGATCATACGGACCTTGGTGTTAGGTGCACAGCGAGCAATAACCAATGGAAGAGTGGGCAAGTTGTCGATTTCGTCTTCGGTCAACTTGTCGAACTCAGAAGCAGTCATCACCATCGCATCGGCGACGTCCTTGGCAATAGTATCCATGTTGGCAGGGATGATTCCAACCTGTGCTGCAATAGCGCGGGCAGTTCCGGGGTGGTCACCAGTGACCATGTGGACAGAGATTCCAGCCTTGTAACATTGGCTGATGGCTCCGGCTGTCTCGGGACGAGGGGGATCGTAGAGACCGATGAGACCATAGAATGACAGGTCTTTCTCAATCTCTTCTCGGGGAAGAGGCTCGCCACCTTCCTTCGTACCGGCTGTGTGCTCCCGACCGGCCATGGCGAGAACTCGAAGACCCTCTTTGGCCAGAGCCTCCATGTTCTCCAGAATCTCGTCCTTGATTTCGTCGTCAAGTGGGACGGGGGAGGCTTCTGCCGTCCACTTGATCGTGGTGCAGGCCTCGAGAACTCGCTCAACGGCACCCTTAGTGAAGATCATCTCGCGGCTCTTCTCTGAGCCCTCGTCGCGTTTGGAGAAGATCACTGACATCTTCTTCACGCTCGAGTCGAATGGATACTCGGCCTGTTGCTGCCAGATAGGCTTATCGCCCTTGGTCCAGTGGTCCAGACCCCAGTTGAATCGAGAGGCAAAGACTTGAATGGCGATATCTGTAGGCTCGCCACGAGCTTGCCATCCGTCGTTCGCGGTTTCATGGATATGGGCCAGGTTAGCCATGGCAGCCACGTCCAGATATTCCTTGAGGGCATCGTTATCCTTCAGCAAGTCGTCTGGGCTTGCAGTTTGGCCGGTGGACTTTTCGTCAAGTTTGATCGGCTGCTCAGGTACCAGACTCAGATCGCCTTCTCTCGGGTTGAGGGGGTCATTCGAGGCGCCGACCGAGTATGTTCCCACAGAGGGAATCCAAGCCCTTTTGGCTACCATGCGGCCCTGTGTGAGAGTACCAGTCTTGTCTGAGCAGATATTAGTGACAGCACCAAGTGCTTCCAAGGAGTCCAGTTTCCGGACAATGACATGTCGCTGCACCATTTGCTTTGTTCCGACAGCCATAGTGATAGTCAATACAACAACCAAGCAAGCCGGAATCATAGCCAGACCAGTAGCGACGGCATAAATGATGACCTCGCTATCTCCGCGCCAATTGTTAGATCCAGCGACAACAATGGCAAAGATCACAGCAATTGCAAACAGCAGAAGAGCAAGTTTGGACAGCTTCCGTTGCAACGGCGTACCAACATTAGTACCTAAGAACCGTCCAATAGCATCGGTAGTAGTCAAAGTCCAGGCCTGAATATACCATCTCTTCTTGGTTTCTCCTTCAGGGCCACGCTTGACAGGACGGCGCTTCGAGTCTGTTCCACGCAGGGCCATGGCAATAGCTCCAATCTCAGTTCTCATGCCCGTTCCCACAACGACTCCACGGGCACGGCCGCGAGTCACGGTGGATGAGCTGTAGGCAATGTTGAGTCTATCACCTGGACCGGTGTCGGCGTCAAATGTGGCGTCGGCTTCTTTCTGGACTGGTAGTGATTCGCCTGTGAGGAGGGCTTCATCGGTTTCGAAGTTGAATGCTTCCACCAATCTATATGTGTTAACTTATGCCATACTGAAGAATGCTGTATCTACATACCTGACATCAGCGGGAACAGTATCGCCCACTTTCAGTTCGACCATATCACCAGGGACAATCTCGTTAGCTGGCACAGTGGATGTCTTGCCATCGCGAGAGACGACACCGGTAGGTGAACTAAGGGACCGCAGTGAGTCCATGGTCTTCTCCGCTGCGTAGTCCTGGTAAACCCCGACCACGATGTTGAGGGCAATGACGGCAGCAATGAAACCACCTTCAATCCAGGACTGGATACCGAAACTGACAGCCATGGCAATAATAAGAACCTATATGGGTGTTAGTTGGGAGTTTCCGATAATTCCGGCTCATCACTTACCAGCATCATGGCATTGGCAATCTGTCGAATGACAATTTTGGCGAGGGAGACGCCTTCGTCTCCTTCCAACATGTTCTCGCCATATTTCTCCAGCCTTTGCTTGACCTCTCCCGAAGTCAATCCATCATCGGAGTTTGTACCCAGTTCTTTGATGACATCTGTAAAGGTGAGGCTGTGGGCAGGCTGGGAAAGAGGTTGTTGAGTCTCATTAGGACCTTGGCCTTTCTCCGCTCTATCCTGCGACATCGCAAAAAGGGAAAGTGAGTGAGGGTGTCTAGTCGTGTGTGGTGTGATGTACTTCTATAAGTCTCTTAAGGAGGCGTCATGTAGAAGGTATCCGCAAGAGAATGAGAGTCCATACACAGAGCAGAGTTACTTCTTTACGCGAGAAGAGTATAGAGTATATTCCTGATTCTTTTCCTCCTTTGTTGCCGGGGTGTTTCTGGGTATAAATAAGGTCCAGCCCGACCCGATGGCGAAATACACCTGCAACCGGGTATCTCTTTCCGGGAGTCAAATGGTTGCGAGTCTGGGGAACCGACCAAAACTCCGATATCTCAACCAATTACCAGCCATAACCAAGTCTCGGTATCGAGCGGACTCTTGGCGCATTCGATTCGTCTTTGGCTCTTGGGAGGCAATGACGACATGACCCTCGGCGTTGTCTCGGCGGCTGGCCACGCGAGGAATGGTGAATGCTGATTGGTTGCGGAGTGCCAAGAATCATCCGGGATGTCTGGGCAGCGCCTCGGCGGGCGGCGACTGGACTCAGGCTCATCTATTTCGGTCGGAGCAATACAAGTTCTCTTGGCCTGAAATGTCTTGGCTAATCTTTGGTTTTTGGGGTAAGGGTCTTGGCAGGTGAGGTCCGAGAGTGCCTCCTTCAAATCCGCCCCAGTCTGCCGTTTGAATTTTGGTCAGACGCGTGTTGAAAGAGAATGGGAACTCATTGATATCTGAGTGCACTGCGGTGCCTATGCATATACAACCGAGTGATCCGAATGTCACACCGCGCCCCTTGTCCCACACTCTCCAAAGCATTCCCATTGGGCCTATTGGGCCTATTGGGCGATACTTGAATTTTTTGTTGAATTGTCGTATTCCTGCCTCACTCGCATGATCCCACATGGAGGAATCAATGCCCCGGGGGGAGATCATCGGGATCGTGATTGGGGGTGTGGTGATATTTGCCCTGATCAGCACGATTCCGTTGTGAGTGTCCCCGCATAGGTCTTGGCTACGCCCCCTCATGCACGCGAATACTCTCGGAATGTTTCCCTACTGATTGACTTGCAGAACCATCATCTGGTACCACCGACGAGTCAATCGCGAGTCTTCATTGAATCGCGACGAGTGGAGGCTCGGCAATCAACAAACGCAACAACTACCCCTGCAGGATGTCCTGGGCCACCCAGTCTCGGTGGACCGATGGCTGGAAGAACAGAATGTACCCACAAATGCTCAGCAATGTAGCCAAGATACTTGGTAAGTTGTTATCTTCCTGGTCTCCCATCCCACTCTTGGCTCTGCGGCTCGATGATGTTAGTGCGGGGACATTAGGGCTGGGCACAAGGCTGAATCTGCCCTATTGGGCGCATCGATGTCTTGTGGGCAATATTGGGGTCTGGGCAAGACAATCTGGCCCACGATTACCCATTCTCTCAATCCATGTCGATGCCATGTCAATGCCGTGCCTTGTTCTGTTCCATGTTCCTGGATGTTATCAACTCTTGGCCAAACAGATATCGACGCCGGACGTATCGTCTGAACCTTCTAGAAGCACGGCTAATAACACCCCACAGTTCCATCTGCCTCTGCGCACTGTCGTCGCCCATCTATCCGACCTATCCACATACAGCCATTCTAGCCCGGAGCCAACGCAATCAATCCCCAATTCGGGCAGACGATCCCCATGCACGCGTGGCCCTGGACCCTGGCCACGAGACCATTGTCTTGAATCGATGCAAGCATGCCTTCCATCTGGCTTGTCTCAAGTCTTGGTTTGAGTATCGTCGGTATAAGTGCCCCATTTGCCAAGCTTCGTATTCGCCCGAGGAGGAGGCATGCGGATTAAGACCACCAACCTGATTGTTCTTTGTCTTTTGTATAATTGACTGGTGGCTTTATATTTTTCTTGGTATCCATGCGTTTTTTTCTCGAGGTCTTGTGACGGGCTTTGCTTTGCGCTTTGTATTTAGTTTGCTTTGAGATATCCATTGCGCTCGAGATGTACTCTCTTGGATATTCCATGTCTAGTCTATGTAGGTTGCTGTAACTTATATGTGCATTGTTATCCGAGGCATGATTACAACATTAAAGCCATTATGCATTCCTCATAGAAGACGAGAGTGGCTATTCCAAGTTTGCTCCCTTGCACTTCTGGCCAGCGGTACCGGCTCAGCAGTTTTCCACCCGAGAGTCCCACTTATTATATCATCGGAGCATCACTATCTTACCACGCATCAATTTCAGTGCGGCAAACTGCGAGGGGGTCTGGATTTTTGACACTCGTCTCCCGTTAACGCGACCGGTATAACGTACCAACTTGATTGGGCGCCTAGCTCTTATTCCCGTAGGTTATTCGGAATTTTTAATTAGTCCCTTTAAAGAATAGATTATTCCTAAGAGGAAGTTGGCCTATGGAACAAGTTCTTTATCACATCAATGGGTGCGTGACTTCACCAGTAAGGATCACAGGGTCTTGGGTACTCAATAAGTAACTTTGACTGGCTCTCCATTGTATTTCCATATGATGTGGCAGTATATACTACGGATCGATCAAAGCCAGGGGAGCAATGTAAATCTTGGAGGTGCCACGCGAGATAAACTGTTATTAAAGTATGTCCTTTCTAGTATTTTCGTGTCACTTTTCACTTTATCGGCTATTCGAATGGCTTCTAGTGCCAAAAAGAAGTCGCACTAAAACTCGTGTGTAGGTAGACGACAATACTTAGAAGATATCGAAGAGTTAGCCTCGGGTTGTAGTATTATGAATCGGCTCATTAGAGATGGTTCTGTTTTTTTTTTCTTTTATTCACTTATGCAATTTCAAGTGTTTAATGTTCAAGTGCGAGATCGGTTGTCGGGCACCGGAAAAGGAAATGAATATCTCCCGCACGGAACCCCAGGAACCCCAACCTTCAATATCACGTTGCATTTTACTTCTTTGTAGATAATCTCCCAAATCTTTTCATTTCATCAACTCCTCTCTTCGACTCTTCTCAACATGGACCTGACCCCCAAAGAACTCAACCTAATCGAAGTCGCAAGAAGCACAATCAATTCTATTCCAAAATCCGACAACCACAGCGTCGCCAGCGCAGCCCTCTCTGCGAATGGACAAGTCTTCTCTGGAGTCAATGTCTTTCACTTTACCGGTGGGCCATGTGCTGAGCTCGTCGTTCTCGGTGTTGCCGCTGCTGCAGGAGCTCAGCAGCTCACGCATATAGTTGCAGTGGGTGAGGATGGTAAAGAGGGAGTCATCATGAGTCCATGCGGTCGCTGTCGCCAGGTGTTGCGTGACTTGCATCCTGGCATTAACGTCATCCTACAAAACCCCGGAAGGGCAGTGGCCGTATCTATTAATGAGTTGTTACCTTACGCTTATGATCTTCGGGATTGAGTGAGATATTTCAATGTTAATATTGGCCTATGAGAAGATATCAAATATCAAATGTACTTAGATGCCTATCAATCAATAACTCGAATCAATCCAAGAACCATAATCGCTCCCCAAAACAGTCTTCTTGGTCACACCCGCCGAGATAGAAGTCTCATACAGCCGACCCGAAGTACTAGCTCCATCCCCAGAGTTGTTGTACTCATAGTACAGCGGCGTGGCACCGTCAGCCATAGTCGTCCAGCCCTTAGCATTGATCAAACTACCCAGCTTGGAATTCTGGTAGATAACACGAGCCAGAACGCGCCACGGACGACCGAGATACTGCGTACCATCAAGGGTAACACCCGACGCAGCCTGAACATTACAGTGATCGATTGCGTACCAGGCTGTGTCGCTGGATGTCATGCGCGAGTTGGCAGTAATGGCACCAGGACCATTGGCAACGATGTCACATTCGCCGAACCAGGCCGAGGCATCGCCAAAGATGAAGTCCACGGCTCCTGTGATGCTTTAGTATACATAGAAATGTGTAAGTCTGCTGGACTTACCCTCAATCATGCAGTTGGAATAGTACTGAGTTCCAGACTTGGCGTACAAGGTATCCTGGTATCCCAAGAACTGGCAGCCATAGAAGCCGAGCCGATCGGCATTCGCGACGAGTCTATTATAATGAGTCTCTATATCCGATGTCAAGTGTAGAGGTAAAACTCACGCCACAGCCTGCGCTCCCTTTCCATACCCGTTCACAACATTAATGTTATACATCTTCAACCCATTAGATACAACATTCACAGTCGCACTCTTATCCAACGATCCAGCAGTCGGGGAGTCGAGAGAATGCGTAATAGTAACGGTGTTACTCTTATACGACGATGTATCCGCAGTCTGCCCATACAAAGTCAATGCACCACCGTATTTAATGGTGACCTGCTCCTTGTATGTGCCACCAGCAATGTAGATACACGCATCAGCGGTGGAAGAGCCAAGAGCAGAGACTGCAGCGCCGACACTCGAGTATGTACCACTGGAACCGACAGTCAAACATCCCGAGGGCGCGCTTGTCCTCGCTGTGCGACGTTGCAGCTCTGTCGGTGCCCCGAGGACGCCAGCGCCAAGGGTTAGGGCTGAGATGAGAGGTTTGGCAAGATGCATGATGTGCGGAATTAACCAAGGAAATGATCGTCTCTGATGTGCGCGGTTGCATGGATAATATATGCAGATTCTGGGCATAGCTTTTAAGCAAGCTTTTGCGTCTAATCAGAATCCCCTATTTCAAGGGTCAACAACGGTCTCGTATCAGACGGAGCTATAGTTGAAACATGGATTCTCCACTCCGATATTCCCATGAATGACAGGCGTTATGCAGGGCAGTTTTTATTTAGGCTGATCTATTTACTGGTACGCTATTGGCTCCTGTCATCTTGAATGTCTAGCATGTGTCCCGTGAAAGTGTTTCAAACAAGGGGGCGCCAGCTCCGAAGTATATACAGCTAGATCCGGGGAAATCCACGGGAAAATGCCACGCGAGACCCATGTCCCTGGAATTAATTGGCGGTTATCGACTAATAATCCCGTCCCCTGGATGTGTATCTGAAGAATGACGACAAAAGATCCCAAGAAACCAAAATATCCCTCGAATAGCGGGGCGCGTTTCAGAAAACACACTTGTTTCTCCGTTCGAGTATGAAACCTCATCTCCACCACATTAGATTAGCCAGATATTAGCCATCTATACTTTGCTATACAATATAGAAAGAAATATACTTTAAATGGCTACTAGTTTCCCCCTAAACGCAGTACCAACAACTAACATGCCATCCCTATCCAAAGCCCTCACAGCCCTCGCGCTGCTAACGCAAACCCTCGCTCTGAACCCAACAAAGCCTCTCAATGCCCGCGCTTCAACCTGCACACCGAAAGCAGGGGGATCATCCACAGTAGACGATGTACCAGCCATCACATCCGCGATCGCATCTTGCGGAAATGGGGGAACAATCGTCATTCCCCCTGGTAGTACATACTACCTGAACAGCGTGCTCGACTTTGCAGGCTGCACCGGCTGCGACTTCCAAGTTGAGGGACTGTTGAAGTTCTCCTCATCGACGAGTTACTGGGAGGGACGCACTGCCATGATCAACGTTAAGAATATCAATGGACTTAAGATCCGATCGTTGACGGGGAGTGGAGTTATTGATGGAAACGGACAGAACGCGTAAGTACCACCTTTTCTGCTCTTGTCTTTTCTTCGCAGTACATTGATACTAACATACCATGTATAGATGGGACCTCTTCGCAAAAGATAGCAGCTACGCCCGCCCAACACTTCTCTACATAGTCGGCGGCTCAAACATCGAAGTATCAAACCTGCGCCAGAAGAATCCACCAAACGTCTTCAACTCCGTGAAAGGCAGCTCATCCAAAGTAACCTTCTCCCATCTAAAGATGGATGCGACATCGAAGAGCGACAACGCGCCCAAAAACACCGACGGCTTCGACATCGGCCAGAGCACAGATGTAACAATCAGCAACGTAAACGTCAGCAATGACGACGACTGCGTGGCTTTCAAGCCCGGCTGCGACGGCGTTACCGTGACAGATATAACCTGCACGGGGAGTCACGGATTATCCGTTGGATCACTGGGCAAGGGATCAGATGATACAGTGAAGAACGTGTATGTATCCGGCGCGACGATGATCAATTCGACCAAAGCACTTGGGATAAAGACATACCCATCTGGCGGCTCGCATGGTCTGTCGACTGTGAGTAATGTGACGTGGAGTGGGGTTGTTGTTGATGGATGCGACTATGCGATTCAGATCCAGAGCTGTTACGGCGAGGATAGTGAGTATTGTGAAGAGAACCCCGGGAATGCGAAGTTGTCTGGGATATTGTTCGAAGATATTAGTGGGACGACGAGTGGGAAGTATGGTGCCGTGACGGGCAATTTGGACTGCGGATCTGGGGGTACTTGTGATGTGAAGATTAGTTCGTACACGGTGAAGCCGGCGTCTGGGGCTGGGAAGGTGCTTTGTGCGAACACGCCGTCTGACTTGGGGGTTACTTGTACTGCTGGAGCATCGGGATGATGATTGGAAAGGAAGTGTATCTCTATGCAATTCTGCGGTATAATAAAATATGTTCAAGCACGTTATGATTTTAGACTCTTTCCTCATTGGTCATGTTTACGAATTGGCAACCATCTTATCCTTGACGTAGAGGTCGACGTACTGGTCGACATCGTAGTTCTCCAGCTGAGGGCGATCCAAGCCCACCTTCAGCAGCTCATCGACGCGAGCCTTGTCGAAGTGTGCCTCGAGGTGACGCTTGTACTTGGCCAGAATCTCGGGCTTGGCCTCCTCGCGACGGAGACGGTGGCCGAGAGGGGCTTCGACGGCGATCTCCTCAAGGACAGTGCCGTCGTTCAGAGTGACGGTCAGCGCGTTGGGAATGGTACGCTTGGCGGGGTCGTGGTAGTCAGTTGTGTACTGAGTGTCCTCGACACAGCGGATACGCTTGCGGAGGTCCTCCAGCAAAGGAGATGTGGCGGCCTCGGAGCCGTCGGCGTAGTCGCTGGCGGTGAGACGGCCGAAGACGAGCATGGTGGCAACCATGTACTGCACGCAGTGGTCGCGGTCGGCGAAGTTGTCCATCTCCTTGAACTGCTTGTCGATGATACGAATGCAGGCCTCGTGTGTGCGATTGGTGATCTCCTTGATATCCTTGGCGCTCTTGCCCATGGAGGCGAGCTTGGCGTTGACCTTTTCGGCGGCCTCAATGGCAGTCTGCGAGTGGAACTCAGCTGGAACAAAGTTAGTCATGTTCAATCAGAGTAGGATGCATTGCACTTACCAGGGTAGGAGACCTTGAAGAGAACGTTCTCCATGACGTAGCTACCGTAGGGGCGCTGGAACTGGAACTTCTTGCTCTTGAACAGGACATCGTAGAAGCCCCAGGTTGGGGCAGAAAGCACGGTGCGCAGACCTCCCTCTCCCTTTTGGACCTTCAAGACCAGGTTGACAGCGCGCTGGCAGGCATCACCGGCAGCCCACGACTTGCGGGACATGGTGTTGGGGGAGTGGCGGTAGGTACGGAGACTTTGGCCGTCCACCCACGCCTGGGTAATGGCATCGGCGGTCTGCTGCTCGGTGAGACCCATCATCTTGGAGACGACAGCGGCGGTCGCAACCTTGACGAGAACAACGTGGTCGAGGCCGACCTTGTTGTACGAGTTCTCCAGAGCAAGGACACCCTGAATCTCGTGGGCCTTGATCATAGCCTCCAGAACATCATGGATCTTCAGGATCTTGCCATTACCAAGGTTTCCACCGGCGCGGTTGGTGCGGGAGATCCAGTCTGCCACAGCCAGAATACCGCCCAGGTTGTCAGAGGGGTGACCCCACTCAGCGGCCAGCCAGCAGTCATTGTAGTCGAGCCAGCGGATCATAGCACCGATGTTGAACGCACCGTTGACGGGATCCAGCTGGTAAGGAGTACCCGGGACACGGGTACCATTGGGGACAATAGTACCGTCCACAACAGGGCCGAGCAGCTTGGTGCATTCCTTGAACTTCAGGGCCTCCAATCCACAACCGAGAGTGTCCAAGAAGACCAAACGGGCAGTATCAAACTATCGACACAATCAATTAGCTGGGTTCAGGGTTCCGGTTACCCGCTCCACTTACCGCCAAGTCGGAGTCAACCTTGTAGTCGTGAATGTACGAGGCCATATCCTGAATTTCAGGGTCATACGGCCTGTCGGTAGGAACCGTAGGAGGGGCAGACTGACGGGCGGCCATGGTGGAAAAGCGAGGTGCGCGAGGTGTGCGAGGTGTAAGGGTAGGGACAGAAATGCGAGAAGCGAGAGTGGGCAATCTGGAGATGCGGGCCAAAGTGCGGGGAGCCGTGTGGGTCAAGCGCCTCACGGGCAAGGACATAGTGAAGGGGAGAAGACAAAGGATTACAATTGGACCTGGAGATGGAAGAAGATGAAGGGTAAGGAGAAGGTATAGAGAAGAGAATAATGGAGAACGGAGAATGGAGAATGTTGGGGAATTGGGGAAAGGGAAGGGGTGTCAAGCTGACTTCATGCCGAGGGTCGGTTACTGTCGGTCCGACACCTGTTGATCTGTTTAGTCTACGAACATTGAGCTATTGAGCTAATTTTTGTGGCTATTTGACATTGATGCCATGGACCATTTCTCCGAAGTCAGGAGTAGTCAATTATGCGAAATTCGGAGGTATCACTTGGAAAGGCAGCAGAAACGCCAGCAAAACAGAGCAAAACAGAGATGACAGTGTGATTCCTCGGATCAATTGACCTCCCATGGCGATCGGCATAGATCAGTGGTAGACGCCATTGGCCTCCTTTGCGTCCGATTCGCGCAGGCACTGGGCGATCTCTGCATAGATGGCCTTTGCGAACAAAGGGGGCACCGCGTTGCCAATTTGCTTGCGCACGTTGTGGTCTGAAAATTCAAAATCCATGGGGAATGTCTGGAGACAGGCGAACTCGCGAGCAGTAAAAGGTCTCTTCCCCGTGGGGTGGTAGTTGTACTCCCCTCCACCGCAAGTGATGGTCTTGGCCGGTGCATATCCGTTGTAATCGGCGCGGTGAGCTAACTCCCAGCGAGCAAAGCCTGCCTCAATATCGTGATCTTGGGCATCATCGGGGATAAGACCAATAGCAGACCAGATGGATGAACGAGGGAGAAGTCCAGGGGAAGCGATCAATCCGTGAGTTGGTTGGGGAAGATGAGGGAGGATCTCGCCCGGTCTGTGGTCAGCTGGTCAGCGATGCCCTGAATATCTTCGTTTCTTCCTTCTTTCGCTTCTTTCTTTCTTTCTTTCTTTCTCCTCAACTTACCCTGCAGCAATCACCACCAACCTCTTCCGCTCCTGAGGTACGCCATAGTCATCGCAGCGCAACACTGCCCAGCGGAGAGAATATCCGATCTCTACCATATCAAGCAGCACCCGGTGGAAGATATCAGGAAACCGCTCAGGCAAGCCGGAGGTCTCCTCCATAGTCAAAACCCGTGGCTTAGCAGTCCGGCACAAGCATCCAGCGGAGAAGATACAAGCCGAATTGTCGTCATCGCGGTTGCAGTTAACGGTGTGGGCAGGTGAGAATGTTTGGCAGGGAGGGGAGCAGTGGCAGATATCTACGCGCATCCAGTTCGGATCGTTGGTGAGAAAATCGAAGAACTGGGCATGCTCGATCTCGACCCCTTCAAAGTTACGCTGGTAGGTATCGACAGCGTGACGGCAAGAGTCAACTGCCCACTTAATGTCTAGTCCAGCTTGTCTGGCGCCACAGGACACCCCACCGCCACCACAGTATGCATCGCCAAAGGTGTATGCCCGTGACCGTCCAGTGATAGCACCAGTGAGATCAATAACCTCGTCATTGTCGATGTCTTCTGCTGCTGAATCAGGTGCCTGTCCCTCCCCGAAAAGTGTCGTGCGGCCCAGTCCTCGCCATTCATCACGCAGCTGGATAGAGGTCTTGCCAAATCCGCTGTCACTCTCGCGGAAATTGAGATATTCAATGGCAGTCTGGTCAGCTGTCAAGTGGTGCTGGCCAGGGACGACGACAACGCCCTGCTGGCGAATTGTGAGCTTGAAACGGCAAGTCAGCTGCGGAGTGGGCACGTCAAAGTCGGTGCGATGATTAGTGAAGCGAATGTCACAAATCTGCTTGACATTCTTAATGCTCACCGATTCGGTCTTTTGCGTGACCCAGATCAGCTCATTGTCCTTCTTAGGGAGGTACATCTTGACCTCGGGGTGCGTGGCACGGAAGAGACGACGGCCGGTGAAACGCACGTCGTAACCCAGAGGGTCAACCTGTTGAATGCGAAGAAAGGAGCCATCCTTGAGCTCCAGGGACATCCCAGCACGGTAAAGAATACCACCAATAACGGTTTCCGAGAGTTGATGGCTCGCGCGAACAGATCGTCCCGATGCCTGTCGGCCTATGGTCCGAGGAGTAGCCCGAGAAGTCCGAACATATCGGCCAAGCTCCATGTTATCCACAGCAGCACTGCCGGAGGGGCCCGAGACGCTTTGCATCTCCGAAGTGAGGATCTGCACGTCCTCATCTTCTTCATTATCCGAGGTCAAGTCAATGATATCTTGAGGCTTGGGAATGGACGCGCGCGTGAGAGAAGGCATGAAAGGAGAAGATGGTTCCACCTCAATGTCATTGTCGCCAATGGTCAAATCCAAGACCCCTGCGATTGACTGTATACCTCGTGAGACGGTCGGATATCCGAAAGGGGATACCGAGATACGTGATCCGTCAAGGGAGGCCATTTTGCGGTGGAGGAAGGATGAGGAGTTACTTGTGCAAATATGGGAATGTGAGTACTTGAAGAAAAGAGGAAGCGAAGCGAAGATCCAGTGAGCTGGGTCTGATATTGCGGAGTATCGAGATAGGGATGACTTCGCCTTCAGGCGACACAGAATGGAGATGTGCGAAACGAGGAGTTTTGGCCTGAAGTGAGAAAGTGCGATCAAGTGCGGGGCAATTTCATCTTGGGGAGGTTGAGGTACCTTAAAAATCGATGCTATTCAGAAACTGAAGACTCTCGTGCTATACTATGTGCTGCGCGGTCTACTGAGCTACGAGCTGGAAGGGCTGAGTATATCTATCTATCGAACAAAGCAGCCATAGTCTTTAACGGAAACGTGAAGCAACAAAGACACAAAGATGGACTGAATGGATAAAGGCATGGTGTTCAATGAAGCCATATACTGTAGACTGTAGACTGTAACTGCATATAGATCACCTGTCCCATTCGGGCCACTAGGGCACGCTGACTCATCTCTGACTAACCAACCAACGAGAAAAAAAAACTCGGTGGAGCAGAACCAAACCACAGAACAAAATTTCACTATGGAGCGACTTTCCTCCTCTTTTCTCTTGGGCTGTGGTGACCATTGTCTGATCAGTCCCTCTATCCCCCATTGTAAGTGTGTTGTCTTGCCGTTTGTTGTTTTGTTCTTCACCCTCTCTATGATGAATTTGGTTTTTTTTATAGATGTTAGACTTCCTAAGCAATCATTGCGGAGAAACATCCATCCTGATCTGAGACATACACTATCATGTTGTGCATGCAATGGGTAAAATTGATGCTAATGCTTCTACTCATTCAGGAATACCGTCAGGATGTGTGGCATCATTGCTCTGATCCAGGCGAACCCCTCATCCGCGGCTGCCGTGGATCTCCATGAAGCCCTCTACCTCCTCCAACGTGAGTTCGGTTTATAATCTCCACGTGCGACCGCGAGACTAAACGCGTGGGACAGATCGTGGTCAGGATGCAGCCGGTATCGCAACCTGTGCGTCCGGGGGTCGGATCTACCAGCTGAAGGCCAACGGCATGGCTGCCAAGGTCTTCCAGGATGGTGCCAAGGTGACCAACCTGCCTGGTTCGATGGGTATTGGCCACCTGCGATACCCGACCGCAGGATCCAGTGCCAACGCCGAGGCCCAGCCGTTTTACGTGAACAGCCCCTATGGTATTTGCTTTGCCCACAATGGTAACCTCATCAACGCCCCTGAGCTCAAGAAGCATTTGGATCTTGAGGCCCACCGTCACATCAACACCGACAGTGACAGCGAGCTGATGCTCAACGTCTTCGCCGATGAGCTGAGCGAGACCAAGAAGGCCCGTGTCAACCACGAGGACCTCTTCGCCAGTTTGACCCGCATGTACCAGCGCTGCGAGGGTGGATGGGCTTGTACTGCTATGCTTGCCGGTACGCCTTACTCCTTTGATGCATGTTGATATGGTACTAACGTTGTCTAGGATTCGGTATCCTTGGTTTCCGTGATTCCTACGGTATCCGCCCCTTGGTTCTGGGCTCTCGCCAGTCCTTGGATGGACCTGGCATGGACTACATGATGGCTTCCGAGTCAGTAGCCCTGGACCAGCTGGGCTTCACCAACCAGCGTGATATTCAGCCCGGTGAGGCCGTTATCATTGCCAAGGGTGGTGAGCCGGTTTTCCGCCAGGTGGCACCCAAGAAGGCTTACGCCCCTGATATCTTCGAGTATGTCTACTTTGCTCGCCCTGACTCTGTCATGGATGGCATCAGTGTGTACCGTAGCCGGCAACGCATGGGTGATCGTCTCGGTGCACGGATCCTCGACGTCCTGGGTCCCGAGATCGTCAAGGATATTGACGTGGTCATCCCCATTCCTGAAACGGCCACCACCTCCGCAACCAATGTGGCACAGTACTTGAACAAGCCTTACTGCCATGGTTTCGTCAAGAACCGCTACGTCTTCCGGACTTTCATTATGCCCGAGCAAAAGACACGCCAAAAGGGTGTTCGTCGCAAGCTCAATGCTATGAAGGCCGAGTTCAAGGACCGCAACGTGCTGCTCGTTGATGACAGTATTGTTCGTGGTACCACCAGTCGTGAGATTGTCAGCATGGCCCGGGAAGCCGGCGCTAAGAAGGTTTACCTTGCTAGCTGTGCCCCCGAGATTACCCATGCTCACATCTACGGTATCGACCTTGCTTCTCCCCAGGAGCTTGTCGCCCACAACCGGAACTCCGACGCTATCGCCAAGCACATTGGTGCCGAGAGCGTTATCTTCCAGACCCTGGACGATCTTAAGGATGCTTGTGCCGAGGTTGCCCGTGAGAACGGGCAAGCGGAGCCCCAAGACTTTGAGGTCGGTGTGTTCTGCGGTAGCTACGTGACCCCAGTGTCCAACGGCTACTTCGAGCACCTGGAGTCCGTCCGCGGTGAAGGCCGCAAGTCCAAGGCCCTGGACAAGGCCAAGGAAGCCGTCTCCCACGGTTTCGCCAACCTGACGGACTTCCAGATCGCCGCCAACGGCGTGACTATGGACACCAACGGCAAGATCATCCCAGCCTCTGAGAAGACCGAGTCTCTGACCCACCCTGAGACCAAATCGAGCCATGAAGAGCACAACCCCAAGGTCTCTGACCGGATGGATATCAGCATCCACAACATGGCCGACCACCACGACGCATGATGACGATGACGTACTCTTTCCTTTTTGTTTTCACGTTTACACTGGCCATTTTGCCAGTTTGCATCGGGAGTCTGGGAGTTTTTTTCTGAAGGAGCATTGTCATGCTGTTGGGTGGCTGATCTGCTGCTATGCAAAAGCATTGAAAATACCAATACCCGGTGTCTCGACTCGAGGTCATCTACTACGATATGAATCTAGATGAATGCAATGTTGATGTATCATGATTTCTATAAACCATAAAGTTCGTAAATATCCAACTCCAAGTTGATGTGATGCTGTAAGGCAGCAAATTGCGGCCTCAGGTATCACTCTGTCCAAGATAACAGTCTGCATCATCCACCAACCGGTTTCTGCCATCTCCTCCCCTTTTTCCCTCTGTGCGCAATGTGATTGACACACTTGAACGCTCTGTTCGATCTCACCTTCCTACCAATGGAGCGTCGCGTCACTCGCTCTGCAGCGCGTGCTGCTTTGGTCGGGGATATCAGCCACGGATCAAGCACCTCCAAGGCGCCCAAATCAAAGAGAGCCAAAGTCAGCGAATCTGCTACAACCAAGTCTACCGTCATCAAATCTTCTTGTCCTAAACCTCAGAACAACAGACCGTTTAAGACAATTCCGAAGCCACTCGGTTCAGACGAACTGCCTCATAATCTCGGATCTCTGCCGGTCCCACCAGTTGCTAAAGAAATGTCAATCGCTGGCTCTGACAAGGAAAACAACCCTGTCAAGAAAGAGAATGTCGATAAACTTGCTGTCGAGCTCCAAGACACTGTGGACAAAGCTACAACCAAAGTCGAAGAGACCAAAGCTGAAGCCGCCCCGCCTGCCCGGAAACCCAAGAAGAACACTTACGGCCTGACACCTGGAGAATCTCCCTTCCCCGAGTGGGCTCAGCCAAGCACGGAGCAATGCGAAGAAGTCAACCGACTATTGTCCACCATCCATGGCGAGATCACGCCGCCAAGCACCATCCCCGAACCGTCCCTGACAGTCACCGGCTGTGGCGAAGTCCCATCAGTCCTAGATGCTCTAATCCGCACTCTCCTAAGCGGCGCAACAACAGGCGCCAACTCCGCTAGAGCCTTCAACGGGCTCGTGCAGCGCTTCGGTGTTCTTTCAGAGGGCATCGGCAAAGGAAGCGTAAATTGGGAGGCTGTACGACAAGCCACAGTGAAAGACGTCTTCGAAGCAATCAAAAGCGGCGGTCTAGCAGATATCAAAAGCAAGAATCTCAAACGGATCCTGGATATTGTCCATGAAGACAACCAAACACGCCGGAATGACCTCCTAACCACTGAAACTAAAGACACAACAAGCTCCAAACTAGTCCCAGACGAACTCGAAAAAGAAAAAGCCTACGAAATCGCCTGCGCCGACCAAAATGTCCTCTCCCTCAACCACCTCCACACTCTAACCTCGGAACAAGCAATGACAGAACTAGTAAAATACCCCGGCATCGGCCCAAAAACGGCAGCCTGCGTAATCCTCTTCTGTCTCCAACGCCCCTGCTTCGCAGTCGACACGCACATCTTCCGAATCTGCAAATGGCTCGGCTGGGTCCCGCCACGCGCAAACGAGGTCACGGCTTTTAGTCACCTGGAAGTGCGAATCCCTGATCATCTCAAGTACTCGCTGCACCAGTTATTCATTCGGCATGGGAAGACTTGTTCGCGGTGTCGGGCTATTACTGGTGCTTCTAGTGCCGGTTGGGGGGATGGGTGTGTGATTGATCATTTGGTTACGAGGACTGGGAAGCGGAAGGGGTTGGTTGTTGCTGCTCTGAAGGGGAAGGGGAAGGGTAATGGGAAGGCTAGGAAGCGAAAGAAGGAGGAGTCGGAGGATGACATGGAGAGTGAGAGTCTAAGCGACATTAAGAGTGACCTGTCTGATCTGAGTGATGATTGAGGAATATGTCTCGACGGGACTACCTAAGCATCAATTATGAATTATAATATATGACTAGAAATGATGGCTGGAATATCTAATGTATTATTAGCGTTGCTCTATTTACTTTTTGCTACTTGGTCATTATGTTATTCATATTCTTAACATTTATTTCCAAGGGTTGAAGCTATGTCTGGAGATGGCCGGCATCACAATGATCTTAACTTCCGAATTCCGTGATATAGACCAAATGCGAATAAAATTGCATGTATGTATGTATCCAAGAGAAGTGTAAAAGTAGCATAGACAAGTAAAGAGCAGCAAAGAGCTAAGGAGAGGAAGTGGTCCGATGTAGATCGGCGTAGTCGGCCCGGGTCATGTTATCTCCACAAAAAGTTCCCTCCTTACAACTCTCCAGCTTCCATTGCTTCAATTCGTGCAGGATGGATTGTTTGGCAAAGCACATTCCGCCGTCACTGCTCTCCCTCCTAGTGGCCTATGCGCCTCCCCGATCCGCAGAATATGCCCCAATGATCAGAGTCGCGCTGGCCTCCTTGGTCGCCGTGTACGTGGGGTACCTCTACATCCAGAGCCGGAAAGAAGCAGCAGTCGCGTTCAATGTCCCTGTCCCGCCAGAAGTGCGCAAGAGTGGCACGGGCAAGTCTTGGGATGAGGTCCAGGGGCAGCAGAAGAAGGTGCTGGAGGATCAGGCTCGGGGGGTAAGTTACAGTTGCGTCCTCGTGTTTTCCGCGCTTGTTTCGCGTGCATGGGCTAATCGCTGGTCTCTGACAGAAATGGAACGATCAATTGATTATGAGCTACTGTCCTGCCGATGGGAGAGTGCTCGGTAACGGAATGAAGCCCGCCACGGTCGACGATGTCAACGAGGCTGTTCGGGCTGCAACGGCTGCACAGCGGGAATGGGCAAAGACTACATTTGCGGAGCGCAGAAAGGTTCTCCGGACATTGTTGAAGTATGTAGATACTGCTACAGTCTGTTGTATAGAGTGGCTGCACATCCCATAGCTCCCCTGAGACATGCTAATGTCTCGCAGATATGTCCTCGACCACCAAGACGATCTCGTTACCGCATGCTGCCTCGACTCCGGAAAAACAAAAGTGGATGCCTCTTTCGGCGAGATCCTCGTCACGGCTGAGAAGCTCAAGTGGACAATCGATCATGGCGAGAAGGCGCTGCTCGCAGAGCGCCGGCCTACCAACTTCCTGATGATGTACAAGAAGAATATGGTCACATACGAACCGCTCGGCGTTGTGGGCGCCTGTGTGTCTTGGAACTACCCTCTCCACAACTTTATTGGACCTGTTATCAGTGCCTTGTTCACCGGTAATGCGGTAGTCGTCAAGCCATCCGAGCAGACCGCATGGTGTTCGTCCTACTTCCTCGATATGGTACGCGGTGCCCTCTCCAGCTGTGGCTACTCGCGCGACCTGGTCCACATGCTCGTCTGTCTACCCGCCGTTGCGGACGCCCTGACCTCGCACCCTGATATCGCACACTTGACCTTCATCGGATCCCGCCCCGTTGCCCACAAGGTCTGCGCATCCGCAGCCAAGGCCCTCATCCCCGTCTGCGTTGAGCTAGGCGGCAAAGACCCAGCCGTGATCCTCGACGACTCCCGCACCGTCAACAACCTCTCGTCAATCGCATCCATCCTCATGCGCGGCGTCTTCCAATCCGCCGGCCAAAACTGCATCGGCGTAGAGCGCATCATCGCCCTCCCCGGCGCCTACGACCGTCTCATCGAAATCGTCACTCCACGCATCCAATCCCTCCGCCTGGGCTCCATCCTCCTCGACTCCACAACCCCAGACATGGGCGCAATGATCTCCCCCGCCTCCTTCGCCAAACTAGAGACCCTCATCGCCGAAGCCGTCACTCAAGGCGCCCGCCTCCTCGCTGGCGGCACCCAATACCCCCACCCAACCCACACCCACGGCCACTACTTCTCCCCAACCCTCCTAGTAGACGTAACACGGGACATGCGCATCGCACAAGAAGAACTATTCGCACCGGTCTTCCTTGTGATGCGCGCAACATCCGTACCAGACGCAATCGCCATCTCAAACTCAACGCCCTACGCCCTCGGTGCAAGCGTCTTCGGCCACAACGCGACAGACATCCAATCCTGCGTACGCAACATCTCCGCAGGAATGGTAGCCGTCAACGATTTCGGCAGTTACTACGCCGTGCAGCTACCATTCGGAGGAGTGCGTGGGTCTGGCTATGGCCGGTTTGCTGGCGAGGAGGGTCTGCGCGGATTGTGCAATACCAAGGCTGTTTGTGTTGATCGGTTCCCGAAGATTATGGGGACTGCTATTCCGCCACGGGTGGATTATCCGATTCAGAAGCGGGAAGGTGATGCTGAGGCTAAGGATGGTCGTGCTGCTTGGGAGATGTGTAAGGGAGTTGTTGAGACTGGGTATCAGTTGACTATTGGTGGGCGTGTTGCTGGTATTCTGCGGTTGTTGGGGAATATGTAGACTATCACTACGGATGTATTTGTGATGTCGCTTCTTGTACTTTATACATTGTAATGGCTGAACTCTTGGCTGTGAGATCTATTTAATTAATGTGGTTCGTATATCAACTCGGCAAATCAAAGTTATGCAGTGATATCGCTAATAACAGCTTCAAGGTTGAAGCACCTCTTATGGTGGAAAAGGACCAAACTTCTTCATCCAATAATGGTCCCTCAGGAACCAGCTCTCGGGAAACCAGTTACCAGGAATCTCGGCGGCCCCTTCACCAGACCCAATAACCTGGTCTTTATAAAGAGAACCCTCATAATCCGTAGGATTCAATTGTCCATGGACGAAAAGTGGGTTCTCCATATTGACTTGTATATCCCCAAGCATTCGAGGCATGCGTATCAAGTAGTGAGATAACCAGCGCGCAAAGTTGCCACAGCTCCGATAACGACTTGGGTTACGCTGGGCGAGATCAACTTGATCGATAATCCACTGCGTGATCTCGGGCGAGTTATGCGGGAGAGATTCCGCGTTGGCGCGGACGAGGGCGTTCATGAAGGCCACGTTGAGGCTCGGGTCATCGCGGCCGTACCGGGTGACTGTGACGAAGTGTCCCGACGGGATGGTGTAGAAGGTACGGCCGTGGGTACCTGCTTTGTAGCGGAAGGTGTACTCGTCGATTTTGAGGAGTGTGACGAGTGCGCTGAAATTCTGGTGGCGGATTGCATTGTCGACTCCTTCATGCAGAGCTCCCCGGTCGACGAGCGTTAGGGTCTGTGGCATCACCGAGGTCTTTCCAGAGGTCCAGTTGCAGGATGTTATGCGCAGCATCTCCAGGAATGCGGAGTCGTCCGGGGAGAACCCATTGCTGCGGCCGCGGAGTAGATGGGGCGGGAAACTGCGGAGTTCCAGAGCTGGGAAGTTGATTAGGCTGCTTAACGAGGGGCAGCGAATCTCAGTGTTGACCATTGGCATAACGTGGAGTTCGTAATCTTGGATCCCCTCGTCTTCTGCGTGTGGAGCGAGTTGCGAGAAACGCGGACCCGTCTGCTCTTTCAGGAAGCCGCGAAGTCTCCTCGTCGGTTTTCCCGTTCCATAGAAGACGCGAACACTGTCATCCTTGCGCAACAAGAATTTCTCGAAATCTGCCTGTTGGTTGGCTTTTGTCACGATGCCGGCGTTGATCCAATGGCGGTTGATAGTCAAGGTCTGCATAACCGGGACTTGTTCCCGTACGCGATCCACCGTGCACCACTTGCATTTGAATACAGCTTCTTGCAAGGTGGTGCGCTCGTCCAGCGAGAGGGGGACGTATTGGAGAGGGACCAACAGGCGGTCGATGGCCCTGCTCCGGGGGTAGCTGGGCGGGTCATCCCAAAAGGCGAGAAGGATGAGAGCGCGGTAAATATGCTCACGGGAGAGAGCACGGTATAAGAACGGCGAGGCGCGAGGGAAATTCAATTCGAGCGAGTACAGGAAGATGTGCTCGATCACCTCCACGGGGAGGGCTTCCAGTATGGACAAGGTTCTGGTTGGAGACTGTGGGATCGTCGTTGCGGGGGAATTGGAAGGTCTATCGTATGGGCCAGATCTCGACCGGGATGATCGACTTGAAGTCGGCTTTTTAAATCGGCGACCTGGTCTGCGCTTTGTCGTGCCGGAAGCAGTCGACGTCTGTGTATCCGGCGCGAGCTTCGACACAAGTACATCCTTATATGGGGCGCTCATGAGACTGCAGATTCACGACTTGGAGACAAGTCCCCATAAACCGTGAGTTCAAGCCATAGGAATTGGAGCTATATCAAGTCAAGATATTGAAGTATAAAAACCCGATGCACGTCTGATTGGCGGACGAGAACCACGAGGAATGAGTCACATGACATGTCACATGATGTAAATCATGTGACATGTGGTACCCCGCCCAATGTCATGTGACTGTCAAATGACGTCAAAGACATCGAGCTGGAAAAGAAGACATTCAACTGTCAGAGCAGGATTGAGCTCTGTGGGAACCTGAAACAGCTTAAATGTGGTTCCTCACACGTTGGCTGATCCGTCAATTCAACGTGGCACAATCATTGGCCATTATAGAAAACCCTGGTACCTTGGAGCTTCAAATCAAGGAAGTGTCGAAATGACGGAATGGTTCCAAACAAGTTCCTCCTTGTGTGAACCTCACTTCTTCATTCTTCAACCCAATCCTGTCCAGCCTGCAAGCCATCTGTCATAACTTTTACGTCACTGGCGCACTACCGATAGTAACCTGAAGCTTTGCATGAACTATCTATCTGTCTATCTTCACCTGTTGGAGACGGTTACGTAGAGAGCAGATCTCTCTCACGCAGCAATCGTCATTCAATCTCTTTCTTTATTTAAACCTTTGCTTCCGCCTCCTTACCTTCACCATGAATCCTTTCAGTGACAAAACCGTCCACACACACGCATCTTCCAGCTCGGAGTCTACTCTTGCAACCAAACCCAAGTCTTAACACGCTTGCACTTGACTTCAACAAAACTTGATACCAAACCAAACCAAACCACATTCTCAAAATGGGCGCCGTCGTCTCTTGCGTATGTCCCTCCATCCACATTAACACCAACATCTACTAACACAACCCCCAGATCCAAAGCGTCTTCCGCGCCATCGGAAGCGCTCTCATGGCCATCGTCAACGCCATCGGCTCGATCTGCCACGCGATCATCAGCGGTGTCGTGACCGTGATCGACGTCATCATCTCCTGCCTCACCTGCGGCTACTGTGGAAGACGCAGACGAGGCCGGAGATCGGCCGTCTGAGAGGAAATACCTCGCCGCGGCGAGTCCTTACTCTGACACCTTACACACTGGAGGATAATATGGGCTGGTGTGGGGATCTACGATTGTTATGCCAGCGCTTATTTTTTGGTTTCTTTGCTGTTTTACCTCTGCTATCTGGAGTACATACCCCGAGGCGCAATTCTTTATTTGAGTAATGAATCAAATGATGGGATATGACGTTTATTTCTTCTTACTTTGGTTATGCACATGGTATCTGTAGTATGGACATGGATAGTAAAGATAGCACCTGGTCTGTCATCCATTTCGTTTTGATGATATATCATGGTGTACCTGACTGCTCAATATATCGTAACAAGTCCTCCTTCGCGTCGGCGGGAATATCGTTCCAGCGTTCATTCAGAATAGTCATGGCAAATGGATCACCAGATCCAGATCCATATCGCCGGACCAGGGAGTAATGCGAAGGCTGCAACGGCCAACGAGCAGGGACACGACAATTTTCAGCGCGAAATGGTATACGCAGTAGACGACGGAAAGGCTCGATCTTTCGTTTTCGGATAAGACGATAGGTAATTTTAGAGGAGCGGTCAGGACTAACCTCATCCTCGTCCAGATAGAAATCCGTAGACAGCAGCTGTAGAAACTTAAACTGTGAATCTGACCATGGGGACCTCAAGACTTTATCTGGGATACGACCAGGACAAATAGCCACCGAGCAAGGCAGTCGGAAGAGATCATTCTCGTAATAGATCTCATGCGGTTCGCGGATCTGAACAGCACCAAAATGGAACCAGATGGCGACTTTGCGGTCGATGCGAGACGAAGAAGTCGGAGTCCTCGAGTCGGTCTTCAGCTGCGCAGGAATAACCAGGTCGCCTTTCCCGCGCCGGCCATTAACAGCCCAGTCACACCCATCCAGGTTATCAAACCTCGGATCTAGATTCGACAAGATAGCCTCATCATCCTCATGAAAAACCAACCCGGCACATTTGCGCCGAATCGCATGAGCAACATATTCCCTCTGGCACCGTCTAAGCAGAGGAAATGTACACCACCGACAAGCCAGGAAAGTAGTCTGAAGCTGTTGCCTCTCCTCCCAAGACAAAGCCCAGAAATCCAACGGCGGCGGCAAAAAGTCCGGGGTGAAGAAGCCCTCGCGCGAGCTGGGGTTCGTACTGCTAAACGCTAGCCGAATAAGCCAGCTATAAAGCAGCGGACTGGAGAGCGCGTTACTCAAGCGCGGTGATGCACGGGGGAGATTGACTTCGAGACAGTGAAGAAAGATCAACTGAAGTATTTCCACGGGGAGAGACTCCAGGCGCGAGCACGGGTGGTCGGCCAATGGGTCTAGTTGGCCCATTTGCAGGTTACAGTTTGCAAAAAGCAGATATGACAGTCCGGTTGTACAGCTTGGACGTAATATATCGATAGTCTTTCTTCTGTGTGGCTTTTTTATTCTCGAATGACAGTTTATATACTGCCAGGGATCGAGGACATCAAGTAACGAGTCTCGGTCATCTCAGTGAATGCAAAGACCTCAGGGTACTGCACTAGCATGCCAATGCGCAAGCATTGCAGAGGCGCTTGCAGTGTAGTCTCCAATGAGGAGAATTGAAGAAGCTCGAGGGGGAGGGGAAGTGGGTAGATGAGGTGAGTTGCGTGTCTTGGCACCAGCTTTAGACCTCCGCATTGAGCATTAGGTATGTGGCTTGATGGATGCACGTTGTGTATTGCTATTTCATGTTGCACGGTGCGTGTCGCATGTTGCAACTGGTTATTCTCGGTTTTGTTGTAGCTGAGGACAAGAAGGTTTTGTAGGTGGTACTGGGTCTCGATATATATCCCAACTCGCTACTGGGCTCTCTCAGTTTGTTCTGCTTTATAGTTCATTCTATAGAAATTCGCTACAGGGATAACCTATAGAAACAGAACAGAATTACAGACCTACCTTCGATAATACTTTACTGCAGTACTGAAATATTGATAACGCAGAAACGACAATGTATGTTTCTATACACATCCCAGCCCACCACACTATCGGAGGTATCTGACCATCTACTGACGAAATAGCCATATTCTTGGCTCCAAACAACATGATCACGTAGTGTGATGAAACGAGGGATAACAAGGCGGATTTGAGGCCCACAAGAGTTCGCGCTTAGACAGCGGACAAATCGCCGAAGCGCTCCTACAGACCGTATGAGCATGGAATAATAATCAAGATAGCAATTACCACATACCTTGTAGCCAGGGGGCATCCACTTGCCCTTGGAGACCAGGGAGGCGGTCTTCTCGTCGATCTCGGGCTGGGCGGAGGCAACCTCGTCCTAAAAAAGCAGTCATGTAAGAAACCGATTCCAACGCAGCATTTCCACAGTGTACACATACGACAGTGAGGTCTTCGAAGGGACGGGCAGTCTCGATGTTCTCCAGGGTCTTCTGCAGGTTCTGCAGCTCAGCCTCAACCTTGCCCTTGGTAGCCTCGGCGTTCTGAACAGCCTGGGCCTCGAAGGCATCGATGGCCTTCAGCTGGCGGTTGACATCGTAGGAAGCGGGCTTGAAGGTCTTGAAGTGGTTCTCAATCTCGTCGACGATGGCCTTGTTCTTCAGGATACCGCGGTAGTGGCTGAAGTCAACGGTCTGGGGCTGCTCGGACAGGGCCAGGACCTTGCGGCGGGCCTCATCGTTGCGCTTCTTGAAGGAGTGGAGGGAGGTGGCGGTCTGACCGCGGAGGCCGAGCGAGGTCGACACCTTGGCCCAGTCGATCTTGGTAGAGGCGCTGCGCTGTTCGGGTAACGGGGGTTAGCAGGAGCCATAGAGATGGGCAGACTTGTCGTGCACCAAGTGAAGAGGAGGATTGGAACATACAGCAGCCATTGTGACGGGTATGATAGAGGTTGGGGGTGGGGAGAAGAGAGGGGAGTTCGATGTGCAGGGAGGTGCCGAAACGAGGAGCGACTCGGAAAGGTTTGGAGGTTGGGTCACGTGATGCCATGTTCCGGGACCATACGAGCATCGTATAAAATGGCATAACGCCGGATACCCGTGGACATGTAGTATTAGTAGTATAATTAAATTATATTGAATAGTGATTTACGGTTATATCCTACATTCACGATTGACAGATTTCGAACAAGTCGTGGTTCAATTGTTTTTGGGCTATTTGTGTACAACTATGGGCATCACCATCGTCCAATCCCTAGAACCTTAATGGAGCGCATTCATTATATGCTGAGGGCCATGATGGAGTTGACGATATCGTTGTCGTTCTCCCGAAGAGCCTTGACGGCCTTCTTACGGGAAACGTTTGCCTGTGCCATGACCAACTCGATGTCCTTGGACTCAAGGCCAGACTCGTCAACTTCCTCACCATCATCCTCCTCCTCTTCATTCTTGGCCTCAGCCTCGGGGGCCTTGCCCTTGCCGAGGATCTCCTCGTGGTCGTGACCGGCGTGGTCACCGGCGGCCTCGGAGGCAGCGAGCTGTTGGGCGGCAGAAGCCTGGGCCTGGGAGTTCAGGTCCTCAATCTTGGCCTCACCGAAGATGCTAGAGGGCGTCAGCTTAAAACCATCAGGATTTGAAGGGTGTAGGATCCACATACATCCAGCAGTTGCTGTTGGGGGAGCGGTAGACCTCGGGCTGGTTGACAACGAAGAGGATCTATCAACACAATTAGCATCTGCGCATTCAATTCAAATGCCGTGGTCCACCATCAGACAAGGTGACAGTCCTTAACAATCACTTTCGCCCGGTGGAGATCTCACGGTCGCATAGACCACATACGTTCTTGGGGCGGCGGAGAGTGACACGGGTGATGCCAGGGACGAGCTTCAGGCCGAGCTTGCCAATGGCCTTGCGGGCCTTCTTCTCACCACGGGAGTGGACAGCGACGGAGGCACCGGCGGGGATGTTGGGCTCATCGCCAGCCTCGGAGCCAGACTCAGAGGAGCTCTCCTCGACGGTCTTGGAGACCTCGTCATCGTGGATTTCTTCAACGCGGGGGTCAGCCATTTTTGCGAATGTGTGCCTAAACAAGATCAAGAATTCGATTAGTGGTTGGATTTTTGCCGATGGCCGTCAAGGTGGGAAAGGTGGGAAAGCGGGCATAGTGGGAGAGTCGACCCCCACGAATCGCACGACATCCGGGAAACGGCGGGATTTGATGATGGAAAGGCGAGGATTCGGACGAGTTGAATGACAATACGTACCTGAGAGGTAGATATCAAGCTGTGGTGGTGGTTGATGGATTTTGTTGAGGTTGAAGATGAGAGCTGTGCGGCCGACCCGAAAATCGTTAGCGAGCGGATGCCCACTCCCCAGACTGGCACACATTGCCCTATATGGACTACATGTACATCACCAATTCATGGGCATTTTAAGTACTAGATCGGTTTAAATATTAAGTTAAAGCATTATTTACGCATCCCTGTTTCTATTTTGTTCTTTTTTGGAGAGAGCAAGACGATCCCGTGGATAAATTGGGGATATAAAAGTAGTCCACGGAGGAAAGAAAACCGATGACAAAGGCCCCTTGTCGGGATATCAAGGATTTTGAATCATTTTTGCTGTTCATTGATAATGCATACAGCTGTTTTGCCGGAGGACCAGCAATGGAAACCCTTCCAGGACACCTTCAACCCATGCACCGAAACCTCGTAATCATCTATGACTTGTTGGCAGCGCGGACCTTGGCGTAGGACTTCTGGACCTCGTAGCGGGCCTGTAAGTTGAGTTAGTTGAATGTTCACGATTGGAGATCTGATCTGATCTGATCTGGGCCCAGGCGCATATGCACATGTGACTGGAACCCCTGGACCATCATCTTGTTCACGTACCTGCTTGCGGAGGCGGAGAACCTTGAAACGCTCGAAGTCGGACAGGTTCTTGCGGCGCTCAGAGCGGTCGGTGCGCTGAGCGAAGGCGCTCTTGGCCCACTTGCCATCAATCTCGTTCTTAGCCCAGAGCTTCTTCACGGGACCGGTACCGGCAGCGCGGGGGAGCTGGGGAATGGTGAAGTGAGTGAGGGTGGCGTGGGCGAGAGGAAGAACGTGACGGGGAACGATCTTGTTCTCCTCGGAGGAGGGACCGTCGACCAGGACCTGTTCCAATGTCAGTAAGATAATCCCGACACAATCTCCGAAATCCAATTCCGCAGTTTTTTGTTTCTCTCGGTATTTCGGGATAAAAGCGATTTCACGTACACGGCGGTGGTCCACAATCTCAACGATGGCGGCGAGCTTGCCTTCGTAGGGACCGCTGCGGATCAGCACCAGGCGGCCAACCTCAACCAGCTTCCAGGAAGCGACCTTGACATCGATATCGGCCATGTCGAAATTCTAGACGAAAAATTCAGCGCGGGTCTTCTTGTTGTAGAGAGCAGTGTATCACTCACGGTCGGAGGGTATGTGTATGGGTTGTCGAAAGAGTTCAATTGTCCAGAAGTTGGCTCGAAATTCCGGGATGTGCCCACAACTCGCAATTCTCGCTTAACCGGCCACTCGCAGCGATAGGGCTCTGCTGAGGTCAGCATCGGGATTAACCTTTCTCCGAGCCCGTGCTTTTATATTTTTTTCTGTCAACCACCATTCTTCCTTTGCTTAAGACTTAACTGTCTGGCATTTGATGATTTGCCACTTGATATCCATGGATCTACACTGCAGCACTCACTTGTGCACTAACTTATGGTATGCTCACCTCATCTCCCTCCTGCCTCCTCATATGATGCGGTAATTTGCGATTGACCCAGCGTCTGTGAGGCCCTCGCCGGGGTCTCGATACAGCGCTGCTGGATGATATTCAATTTTCTTACATATTCTGATTTGGAACATTTCCACTCGATGCTGTCATTGCGTTTACAAGACATCGCGCTGACTGTTTGAAGATTCTAGGAAATACCCTTGACCTCGAGGACCAATACATCACGACAGCTCTACTGGGTATGTTCACATTGCATTGCCAATTACTTGCACCACTTCCATCTCCCCGTCCGATGATTAAAAACTTTATCACGCCTAGATAGTAATTGAGCTACGGCCGTGATATTACCATAACTACCAAGATCTCTGAGGACTTTCATTACTTTGCACATGTGCTTTTGAGTTGTTGGTGATCAATTTCTAACCTTCGATAGATTCCTTGCAGTTTCGGATCAGTATGTCTATGGTTAATACAATATCTTTCACAATCCTTCGTCTTCTCTTGTATCCGTAGATCACGTAGCTTTCCTATTCTTAAGTACTCTGGGCGGCTACAAATGCAAATAGTTTTGATTACAATAAGTCGTGCTATATCGTTACCCCGTGCAATGCTCAATCAAAGGCATCCACTCCGCCCTTCCATGTGCTATCCGTCCATCCTCCGATTCTATATCAGTAGACCTCTCACCCTCCGATTATGATGACGCAGAGCCAGATGTCGAGGGTCCCTCCCGACTGAGCACCCACATGAAGATGAATTGAACAACGTAGGAGTAGACAAACAAGAACTGGGTGCGGCGGTTGCGCTGGGAGCGAGCCACGGTGTGCATCGAGCCAGCGTGCATGGCGGAGTCGGTCGAATCAGGCAGCAACACATACTTGAGAGAGCGGAGCTGGTATATAACGTTAGCGTGTCGGAACACTCATGTTATCACAGTACTCACCAAGAAGAATGCATTAGCCAAGAAGGTGTACGCAAAGACGGTCCAGCCAACCCAGCCCCTTGTACCCTGACCGGGGTTCAAGATCTCAGCTGCGACCATAGTCACAATAATTCCCACGAACTTGTAACCCGAGTAAGCCACCAAATCCAGCAACTGGGAGTCATTATTGATGCTCAAAATGTATGTAGCCAGCTTCAGGCACAGGATCTCAAAAAGGATCACTGCAATAGCTGTAGTAGTGATCGAGCCCAGAAGCTCCGGGTGGAAGTTGCCCCGGAACCCAGCCAGCAGCACCGACAGGAGAATGTATGTGACCAGGGCCATGACGGGGATATACATGTCAGGCGAGTTCAGGTCATCACGCGGAGGTAGAAACATGGACGAGTACTGCTGCTGCATGATTTGACCACTGGGTCCAGCAGAGCTGGAGGCCAGTCGAGCCTGCTGGCGGGACCAGGGCTTGTGGCGCCAGGGGAAGAGGACGAGAACGAGCTTGTTCAGGACGTAGGAGTTGGAGACGTTGAAGTAGTGCTTGAGGGCGGGGATGGAGACATAGCGGTTGAACTGTTGTTTGGTCAGATAGGAACAGCCAAAGGAAAGAGAAGTGGTGCATACGTTCTGTTCCATATATTCCTGGCCAGCCGCCATTGCACTCTTGCCGACCTGGAACCCCATCTGTGCCGTGGGTTCGTTCATGAACCCACTGAACCCAGGAGCATATGTTCCACTGCCACCTTGAGCAGGGGAGGGCTGGTATGGGTTACCACCATAGCCAGCACTTGGCGGTTGTTGGGGAGCTGGTGGTGGTGGTGAGCGCATCATAGGCACTGTCGAGACATGTTGCGGGACTGGGTGATGAAGGGGTGGCGATTGCGCAGGCGGTGGAGCGAAGGAGCCCCGATACATAATGTAGAAGGAAAGGGGAGATAGACGAATAAAGAGTGGAAAGTTCAGTGGCGAACGAGTGCTGGGAGGTGGAAGCGAGGATAGACAAGAGGGAAAGTGTTTATACGTGGCTGAAGGTCCAATCCGCTCCCGAGATCTCCAAACTTCCGCCACCAGTCCCCGGACCTTTGCTCTCCCTCCCACGACTCCCACTTCAATTATTTTTGCGTGTCTCGATTTTCTTTGATTAATTGCTCAGCATGTTGGAGGCTTTTGAGATTTTAACCACCTCGGGTGTGGTGCTCTGGTCCAAGTCGTATGCTCCAGTGGGGGCGCATGTCATTAACAGCCTGATCAACGACGTCTTCATTGAGGAAAAGGTCGTGCCCAGCGCTACAGGAGTATCGCCAGCATTCAAGAAGGAGAAATACACACTCAAATGGAAGCGGGTCAAGGAGTTTGATCTGATCTTCGTGGTACGTCTGCGCATGCGCCCATTCGCGCTCGCCATGTCGAACTCAAAACTAATCATGGGCTTGCATAGGCCGTCTACCAGTCGCTGCTTCATCTCGGGTGGATCGACAAACTTCTGGAGAACATTTCGACCATCTTCATCGACCTCTACAAGGACCAAGTGAAAGGAAACCGCGCGAGGATCCAAAATTACCGGTTCGATCAATATTTTGAGCAGCAAGTCCGGGAGCTTGAAGACAACACTGGTGGTTTCGCAGAGGAATATGTGGCAGAGACAGAAAAGAAAGACCCGCTTGTCTCATCAGATAATGGAGGCCCGCCGCCGCCACCAGTCCCTGGCCTGGTGAAAGGTATGAACCTGACTTATCGTCCCATACCCAACGGCTTCCCGTGCTGACCATCTTAAAGCGCAGCCTAGAGCTGTGCCAGCCGGGGCAACCTCTGATGAGGGAACGCCACAGGCCACACCTGATACTTCTAGATCTTCGACTCCCGTCAAGGGCCATCTTCTTACCGCGAAGGCTGGGCCTGGAGGTCGTGTTTCTCGCCGTGCGCGCAAGGCTGCGAACTCGAGCGCCAACGCATCGTCTGGTGATGAAACGTCCCGCAAGGGAAAGCCTGCCAAGGCCCCAGCGAAGAAAATGCGCAGATGGGATGCTAGTGGGATGGCAGATGAGGATGACGGAGAGATCCTTGATTACTCTGCCCCCGCTGATGAAGGAGAGGCTACTGCTCCGGCAGTGGAGGCCGTCTCTGAGAGTGATATGGGCCGCAGAACTGGCAAGGGTCAGTTCGTGCTGAAGGAGTTGGGTGAGGAAGTCCAATCCATTCTGGATCAAGCCGATGCGGACAAGGCCAAATCTACTGGCTCTTCTGGTGTTCTTGGCTCTGGTTTCAATGCCGTTGGAGGCTTCTTCCGCAACATTGTTGGTGGAAAGGTTTTGACCGAGTCTGATCTTGAGAAGCCTTTGAAGGCAATGGAAGAGCACCTTTTGAAGAAGAATGTCGCCCGCGAAGCTGCTGTTCGTCTCTGCGATGGAGTCAAGCGTGAGATGGTTGGAAAGAAGACTGGCAACTTCCAAAGCGCCGACGCTGCGTTGCAGGTGGCCATGGAGTCTTCGTTGCGGAAGATCCTGACCCCAACATCTTCGTTGGATCTGCTGCGTGAGATCAACGCTGTGACTGCTCCCACCACCAAGGCGCAGGCCCCTCGGCCATACGTCATGTCTATTGTTGGTGTCAATGGTGTCGGCAAATCGACCAACTTGAGCAAGATCTGCTACTTCCTACTGCAGAACAAGTACCGAGTCCTCGTGGCAGCATGCGATACCTTCCGTTCTGGAGCTGTCGAGCAACTTCGGGTGCACGTGGACCGCCTCAAGGAACTGAGCGTCCGCGAGAACGCAGGTGACGTGGAGATCTATCAAAAGGGCTACGGCAAGGACGCCGCCAATGTAGCCAAAGATGCCGTCGACTACGCGGCAGCCCAAAAGTTCGACGTTGTCCTGATCGATACTGCAGGCCGCCGCCACAACGACCAGCGCCTCATGTCCTCGCTGGAGAAATTCGCCAAGTTCGCGAACCCGGACAAGATCTTCATGGTTGGCGAGGCTCTCGTTGGTACAGACAGTGTCATGCAAGCGCGTAACTTCAACCAGGCGTTTGGCACAGGCAGGAATTTGGACGGGTTCATTATTAGCAAGTGTGATACTGTTGGTGATATGGTGGGAACACTTGTCAGCATGGTCCACGCCACTGGTATTCCTATTGTCTTCCTCGGTGTTGGGCAGCATTATGGTGATTTGCGGGGACTGAGTGTTCCCTGGGCTGTCAGTTTGTTGATGAAGTGATGGTCGCTTATTTCAGATTCTCATTTTCGTTTCCATATCTTTAGCCGCTGCATTTGTTTATATCCTTTGCTTGCTATTCAAATAATCCCGATTATATCCCTTATTATACTACATACTTTATTTGACAACTTCTAGTGCCTGCCTGCATACAATTTGACCAGGACTGGCTATCTGTACGCTCGGCTTATATCCTGTACTGCGTTGATGTTGGACTAATGATTCAATTCCTATCTGCACCGTTCATCTTTGTCATCTCAGCTCTATAGATTGCTCACTCTGACAACCTTCCACTAACATAACGAGACTTTATCACCTTCCTGGTCAACTAGCCTTCTTCAATTTTATTTCCCTGATCTTTGCGTTTGTCTCCCAAGGACATAAATCGTCCCCAACCACTTCCTATTACAACACGCTCTACACAACCACCGCCCCTTCGAAGCAAAAACATGACACCTTCGTGTCAACCATGAACAATGACAAAAAGCAAAAAGTTATTGACCGACGCAGGGGTCGAACCTGCAATCTCTTGATTCGTAGTCAAGCGCCTTGCCATTGGGCCAGCCGGCCTTGTTGGATGGAGAGGCCCAGTCGTGTTATATGGGGCTACAGACTTTTTTTAGGGTTTGCGCAGAGTGCTCCACTTAAAGTGCCACTCACATTCGTATGCATACCACACTGTACTGTATTCGTATTGCAGGTCAATTTGTATATGATAGTAGATAAAGACAAGAGGAATGAATACAAAAAAGTGAAAAAAAAAAAAGCAAACATATACAAAAAAATACGACTACAATAATTTTGATAGATGCGCAAAAAGACACTCTCCCTCGGGGAATCGAACCCCGGTCTCCCGCGCTTATCGGTTTTAATGACAAGCGGAAATCATCACCACTAGACCAAGGAAGATTGAATGACCGAGTTACTGCTCGACCACTTGGCTGGTTGATGGAATATTCTGCCATCTTTGACACTATGTTCGTGAGAGCCATATTCAGGTTGTAGTTCCATGTTTGACCTTGTCAATACATCGTCAATACATAGTTTATGGTTATCAATGGGCTTGTATTGAATAGATATATAATAAAGTGATATTTCTGTACCTATTTCAACTGACATAACTAACACAACTCAATTAGTCTGATATTATTAGCGTTGAGTTCACTCAAATTACTGTAAGCGGTGATATATATATCAAAGAACTTCGGCCAGGTATTAGCGGTCATTTCCTTATCAGTGGCTCGCAAGTACAACTCTATAAGCTCCCAAGGTTAATATGTACTTATTTCTAAGCCAAGCAAAGATATATATAACACAAACCCCCAGAGGGCTATACTAACATGGTAATAGGACTCATATTGGCCGCGTCCTAGAGTCAAGGAGTGACACTATCACAGATCTCTACTACACAATTCAAAGCTGGAAGTAGATTGATAAAGATAGACTCTCAGACGCTGATAGACAAAGTTTGAGTGATACAATAGGGCTGGAATGTGAGGTGGCCATAGTTGTTCATGGGTATCTACAGGTGTGACGCACACGTTCAAATGTACATATGTTCAGCCTCACACATAGAGGATGTTCAGCTGCAAGGGCCCAGCCCAATAACAACTAAACAACACATCTGCAGAAACTAGACTTTGAAACTGCATGAATGTTTACTATGCCACCGCCGTTGGCTGGAACCAATGAGTCAGCATCCCCGGGCTTACATCATCTTTTTGGCTTCCCTGCTTTCCCGATTGCGGTGATCCTAGCCACTACAACACCTCGAATTGTCTGAAAACGCCTCCTTGATCTTCTTATAACGGTTTGGAACTTTTACCGGGTACCTTCTCAGCTGCCAGTATTGGTTGAGACCGTTGCCCAGGCTCTCACGCGACAACGTTGCGCTTACAACCGGCACGATCGTATGTGCTGAAGCACGTTCCCTGAACTCCTCGGTGTGCTGCCACTATGCCAGGCTCAGACCGAGTCTCGCTCAATCGCCGCTCTTCCACGCAGCATTACCAGACCTTTGATACTCCGCCGCCCAAGTCGCGTGGACGACCGAACTCAGGCCAGTCCGAGTCCTCAGCAGATGGCTCCCACGATCCCCAACATGACGCCACTGATTACCCAGGGACACAATCGCCATTGCCAAAGAAGCAAATGGCAGTGCTAGCCATGATTGCCCTGGCCGAGCAAACCGCGCTGAACTCGATCAGTCCCTATCTCCCCGACATGGCATCGACATTCCCCGAGGTGGAGCCGAGTCAGGTGGGCGTGTACGTTGGGACTATTGCATCGGCATTTGCACTGGCACAATTTGGCACAAACTATTTCTGGGGCTGGCTCTCGGACCGTGTTGGTCGTAAGCCGGTGATTCTGCTTGGCACTTTTTTGACTGCCTTGTGTTTTGTCGCATTCGGATTCTGCAAGAATCTCGGCCAAGCCATTGTAGTGCAGGCGCTGATGGGTGTGGTCAATGGCAACCAGGGTCTGGTCTCTACATGTCTTGGAGAAATCACCGACCGAAGCAACCAGTCCCAGGCTTTCACCTACCTCCCCGTTCTGTACGGAATCGGTGGTATAACCGGTCCTCTTCTGGGAGGGCTTTTGGTCTTCGAGACAAATCCCTTTACCGGAAACAAAAATCCATACCCATATCTTGCGCCAAATGTCGTGTCCGCCGTCATCCTGCTCTTCGATCTTGTCTTGACTACGCTTTTCCTAGAAGAGAGTTTGGAAGACGCGGAAAGTATTCCAAAGATTGGCAAAAAGGTGCGCAGCCTTTTCACATGGCTGTGGCAGTTTACCAGCTCTTCTCGCCGTCCGACCTATGTAGAGGTCCCTCAGGTGGTCCCACATCCCCATGATCACCACGGCTCAGAAAATGAAGACCATGATAGTGACCTGGACTCTGCGTCCGAGGTCTCCAGCTTACTAGGACACCACGAGGAACTTGCCTGGGATGAGATCTTCACTCGAGACACTATCTTACTTCTTTTGACCTACTTGATCTTTGCATTCTGCAACGTTTCTTTCAACTCGCTGTTCCCAATCTTTGCGCAAGCCAAACCCCCAGCGGGACGATCGCTCACGCCGTCTGAGATTGGGCTTTCGCAAGGATTTGCTGGTGTTGTGACCATTATATTCCAGATTTGTGTCTTCAATCGCCTGCGTGACAAGATGGGAAACCGGTGGTCTTACCGTGCAGGTCTTTTTGGCTTCGTCGTCTCATTCATGTTGATGCCTTTCGTCGGGTACAAGAGCAGCAATACCCAGAGCTTGACTGGCAAGTCAGCGCTCATGGCGACCGAACTGTGCCTCGTATTGCTAGTCAAGACCATAGCTTCCGTGGGTGGTCTGACCAGCGCTCTGCTCTTGGTCACAAACTCTGCACCCAACCATGCCGTCCTAGGTGCGCTCAATGGTCTTGCCCAGACCCTTTCGGCAGCCGGACGAGCAGTCGGCCCATTCCTTTCGGGAGGACTATTCTCCCTCACAGCCAAGATCCAACCGAAGGGCGAAGCTCTGGCATTCGGCGTCTTCGGCGCCGTCTCCTTCGTCGGATTCATCTTGAGTTTTGGAATTCGGGGCCGATCACTGGAAGCAGACGGCTGGGGCGAGGACAGCGACGATGGAAACTACAAGTCGGACGAGGACGAATCAAACACCCCTTGATCTGTAACAGGACCTTGAAAAGTTGCCGACATGACGATGTCACGAGTTTATGCTTCCGCTTCAGCCTATCGCATTTGAAAAATATAGCCCGGTTTTCCTGGATGGAATTATTGCTGTTGCATTTTTTTGCTGAGTTGATTTAGGCTCTTGATCTAAACCTGTGTGTTTAGACCTGTTTCCTGATGGGTTAGATTATTCCACTATATATGTACAGTTAATATTGCATTGCTATAGCTTGAGTCTTATTATTATATTCCTTTATACACAATTTCTGCATAGCTCATCTATCCCACATATGCCTGGTCTATCATCTTTCCACTACCTGAGTTATACCCGTCAGTACTTCCCCCGTCAGTTCAGTTGTCATTTCATCACGAAGCACTATTCTCATGACTTCGATATCTTCACTGCAATACGTATTATTTCCTTTGGAATATCTTGAAAGAACAACTACCTGGAAAAGCCAAATCAACAAGCGAATGTCGATGTCGAAGAAATAACCTTCTGGGGCCCACTGTTTACCCATTATAGCCTCGGCAGCCGAGATGCCCGGGGTTGGGGGGAGGCGGGAAATGGGATGTCTTCCTCATCTCATTGCAGTTCCAGAGTGATTTACCGGCAGCTGTTCAATCCATGTCTGGAAGACAGAAACAATTGGATCGGGCGAGGGTAGTGTGCTCGCATTGCCATGCGCGAAAGGCAAGCTGGAGTGTTCCCCGGGCGGGGAACGCACGCTAATCGAAAGTCAGGTACGATGCGATCTCGAGGATCAGACAGGGGGTGTCTGCAGTAATTGTCAGAAACGCCGTCAAGTCTGCAGGTGAGAATCATGGAATGGAACTCTGCAGACCCCCTTTGGTACTAACCGGTTGCGCGCAGACGCCGTGGTAGGAAGAGTTATTCCTCCAGCAGGAGCAATAACCCACCAGCGACTCTTTCGCCATCTTACCCTTTGAATACAATTAGCGACGCAATATTAGACCGCAATGCTATGTGTACACCAGAATCTCCGTCCCCGGGCATGCAAAGCAACTCTTCAACTGCTATCACGACACCCGAGCCACAAGCCTACGTGGGGGATCAGTCCTTTATATATTCTTTGATCGCTCGTCATGAGGCAATCCCACGAATAGAGGGCGCAAATCGGGCGCGCTCCTCTCGGGAGATATTGAAGACAATGCATGCGACAACACCCCTTTGCAAAGCCAAGGTGGAAGCGCTTGCCGACTCCTATTTTCGGCACCTTTACCACCGCGTTCCGGTCATTGATCGCAAAGATCTCCTAGGAAAAGAGCCATCACTACTAGTTTGTCAAAGTATCTGCCTAATAGGCACTCTTCTCCGACATCCTGGTATTCGATCCCCTCTTGAAGACAGCGACGAATACTACTGCAAAATCAAAGCACTCCTCTTTGCTAACCACGAAGCCAATTATCACCATGTCCTTCAGGCACTCTGTCTTCTGGTATTTAGAAATACCACACCGCCTAGGGCTCTTAGCTTGGATAGCTCTTATCAATGGCTAGGAATGGCAATACGTCTAGCATACCAGATGGGCCTTCACCGCGAGTCGACTTACTCTAAACTCGAAAATCCTGGGAGTGCGCGTCGAATAATGTGGTCTCTTTATGTAAGTATATGCTAATGTTTACTAAGATCACTTTGCTCTATCCGCTCCCCTGGACTTTACTCATAGTTTTACTAGGCCGCAGACACACTTCAAAGCGCCTGTTTTGGGCGTCCTTCCGGCATTGCGAGCTCCGAATTTGATATCCGTCTGGTCCAACTCGCAGATTTTGAGCTCTCAAATATTCAAGCAGAACTCTTCATCGAGTATACGAAGCTCAGTATAATCCTTGGCCGGATGGTGGACTGCCATAACCGAAGGAGCGAGCATTCACCCGAAGATGTGAGGATTAATATCCGGAACAAGAAGACCATGGACGTGTTGCTAATTGTTGGCTATCTTCTAGGCAACAATTATTCTAGAATCACTACAAGAATGGATCAGCAATCTACCATACAGCTTAAATCTGTACCATGGTACTGAACGCTGTCCATTCAGACGCGATGTGTATGAAGTACATATCAATTACTTCGTCTGCATAATTGTGTTTTGTCGCCTATTTGGTCAATCTCTCACACAGTCAACATCATCAGCTGCATCACTGCTTGCATCGTCCTGTATTACGCGTTTATACGAAGAGATCAATCTTCGTGATGAGATCAATTATTTAATGCCAATAAATAATTGGTTCTTAATGGTGGGCTGTGCGCCTCAAATCCACCACAATGCAACTTCTTCTGGAACTGATCAGCTCTGCGTCGCAGAGCTACACATCCTGATGGATGCCTTGAACTATATGGGACTGAAATGGCCGCCTGCAAGGACTCTACTGGGGATCATCGAGCGCCTGTCTACTATTGATTCGACAAGGCCAGCTCCTTTTGGTGGAACTCCAACCACCTACCAAGACAATGAGAGAGTAGCCGAAACCGGGCCTCATCGGAAGAGCTCGGATCTTTTGAACGCGTTGTTTCCGTTTCCGAGATCGCTCAGCCCTCGTATGGAGCTGATTGATAGCAACATGGAAGACTCGAGTGAGCAGTTTGCATTCGAGAGACTGGCTGACTTTGGGAGCGATGAGTTGAATTGGATTTTCAATCAGTATCAATCTGGATTTATCGATTCTCTAATGGAATGAGATGCACCACTGGATTGCTGATGGCCTTTCGAATAAAGACAGGAAGTTTCCACGAGCCAGATTTAGTATCCATCTACTATACCAGGGAGATCGTCATTGACAACACGTTCAGAGGTGGCTTTCTATGTTAGAGCTATTCGCCCATGGAAAGAGGATTGCAACAACTTTTTAACCGGCGCAGGGTCTGAGATAAAGGTTCCTCCACGTAGCATTTATAGCACCGTAGCTAAGCCTTCAATACAGAGAGCAGGCTAGTTCTCAGTCAACAAAATGCAAATTCAGCAATGTCTTCAAGATAGAAAGCTTCGACATCCAGCCGCTATATGGAGTTTTATTGAAAGCGCGTACGCGCCTACCGATACCTCTACAGCAACCAATGGCGTCGACGAACTCGATGAGATCCTCGAGAGCAATTGTACGTCTCGACAGCAATACAAAATCCGCTTCTAGACCGCATGGACGAAAGCATTCATTAGTAGCATCGAAAGCGAGCGGGTTAAGTACCTCTTCTTCCTTAGGAAGCTAGGTAGCTCAAGCTCCCCTGGGGTAGGCCGCCGGTAGAGTGCTATCGGTATGGCTCCGAAAGGAATATGAATATTTGTGAATATGAACAATATGAATTGAATAATACTGTTGAGATAAGATGATTTCATTGGGTTGCGTTCTCTCAATTTTCGGAGGTGGGACTCCGAATCTATTTACATACCTCTTGGTAGTCCCCGCCATAAACTTTGACCACCGTGATATTCAACAATTCGTGCCGACCCCTAAATTTGGATAGGCAGAGTGTTATTCGGTGCAGATTCTCACAGGCCATTAGCCCCTCTCCCTTCGAGTTCCTAAGGCGAGAAATAGTGAATAACTTACAATGTTGTATTACAATGTACCTTGAGGGCTTTTGTGACAATGGTGACTTCCGAAAAGAGTAGTTGATGGGAGTGGGGTCGACTAAGAAAATGCCGATATATGATTGGCTGGATTTATGAATCTCACTTGGTTCTACTGCTCGGTGACGCGCCGTAATAAATTTGCCAAATGAATATGCTTACTATTTGGCTATAAATCCTTATGTGACTCATGCAATTCGCTACATAATTTCTCAATCAGTAACCACTTCCCTTCGCAATACTTCAAACGCACACAAACACAATTTTACACACACAATATCTGCCAACTAAGCTATGCATCATATCAGACAATTCGAGCTCAATACAGTAAGGGTTCTTGCATTCATTATATATTACAATTACTGAAGTGACACAGTGGATTGACACACATGAGAACCATGAGACATTGGATATGTCAACAACGGTCTCGTCGCCTCCGTTATCGATTGATGGCTTGATTGAGTTGTCCACAGACCCTGAGACAACTAGAACAGCTTTGTCCCTGGCCTCCATCCCTTTGACTTATGGAGACCCCAACGGAAGCGATAATCTGCGACAGGCAATTGCTTCCCTCTATGAGAACCGAAATGTGACAAAGGAGCACATCATAACGACAAGTGGAGCTGTGGCTGCTAATCATATTGTTTTTTCCGCACTGATACGACCCGGTGATCATATCATTTGCATGTATCCGGTCTATGAACAACTATACAAGATCAGCCAGTCGTTAGGTGCTGAGGTCACATTTTGGAAGCTCGACAAAGACAACGGTTGGGCTGCTAACATGCAAAATATCCGCCAAGAAATTCGCAAAAACACTACAATGATCATCCTATGCAACCCGAATAACCCTACGGGTGCATATTTATCGACTGCTGTGCAGAGCTCGGTCCTTGAACTGGCACAAGCACATGACATCATTTTGATGGTTGATGAGGTTTTCAGACCGATGTTCCACTTTCTCAAAGATGGCGAGAAGGAGCCCGTCTCTTTCCTTGAAAGCGGGTATGAAAAGTGTATCGTCACGAGCTCTTGCAGCAAGTCATTTGGTATCCCTGGTATCCGAGTCGGCTGGATTGCAACACTAGCCAATGACTTCTTACGTCGTTTCACTCAGATTTGCAACTATACAACTATAAGTGTTGGGCAACTCCACGAAATAATTGCTGCAGAAGCACTCTCGTCCAGATGCCGCCAACGTCTGATCCAAAGGAGTCTCAACATGGCGAAGGCCAATCTTACCTTCCTTGCTGAATTTGTTGCCGAGCACCCACAGGTCACTTGGACACCTACTCATGCTTCAACCTCAACACTGATAAGACTTCACTACAAGGATGGACGTCCTCTACAAGATCAGGAATTTGCTCTACAGTTTGTGAAGGCCAAAAATATACTATTCTGCCCCGCCAGCCTTTGCTTCGAGGAGTACGACCAAGGAAGCCTTCAGGGTTATCTGCGTTTGGGGTTCGTGATGCATCCGGAGACGTTTCGTTATGGCATGAAGGAGCTTGCAGAATTTCTGGAGGTGGACTCGGATTTGCAATAGAGATGAGCTTTGTCCTGACCTGCATCACTCTCATACCATGACAGTCCATGTAGAAGTAATCGCGGACAACACGACGGATGAGCTAGAGCCTGTCTATACGGATTGCTATGGCATTCTAAAAATAAACTTCCACAGATAACGGTTAAAATGGTCATTTATACCATCATTCGAAACAGCAAACCACGAAGCCACGGAGAGTCAATGGCCAATCGTATTGAAACAGCTTGAGAAAAGCGACTTGCGTTATCATGACAACAGTTTGAATATCCCTCCAAAAATTATATTTCCAAATCTTCTGAGACCCTCGGAGGCAACCCTATCACAAAGTATACTGTCACCAAAAGTTCTTTTCTGATACTGCACTGCAAACTGAATATTTTTCCATGTAGAATCTCAACATATTGGCCAACGAGAGCGATATTTGTAGTATCGTGCGACATCACATTTCAAAGATCGTGTTGCATATGCGACAATAGCAAGGAGGTCTTTAGAGATCTAAGATAAGTATCGACGTTGCGGGGCTGACAAGGCCCGCGATCTGTGTGGGCTGAAGTGATGGATGGCATCAGTCGATATCCATACGAATGTGTTTGGGTGCAATACCTTATCAGTCATCATGTAGGGTGAATTTGCATGTGTTGGGGAAGGTAGCCTCTCGTAGAGTTGAAAGACTCTCTTTGATTGATTTCACCTCCGCTCGTAGTTCCAAAATTTCATCACGGGCATGGGCGAGGATCGCCACTCGCTTCACACGTTCGGGTCTCTTATCCGTCGACATGCCCATATAACCTTTGGGCCGGCGATGACTTAAAACATTCTCTAGTTGTAGGAAATTGAGGTTAAGACTTTCACGGTAGCGCTTTTCTGTCACATTACGGGCTCTTTTTCGGCGAGTTTCCTGACAGGTAGGTCCATCCTCTGGACTAGATCTCAAGTTTGGAAAACTCTCTGATTGCAAACTCGTCATGTCAGACTTTGTAAAAGTAGGAGATGAACAAGCTCGGTAAATTGGTTGTGTCATGCCGCCTGACTGTATTGATGATGTGCTCTTCTCATATATATCTTCATTCCTGTAGGTGTGGTCGAAATTGAGATCTTCTGGATTTACCAAAGCGGCTGGGGGAAAGTTCATTGTCTGAAAGCCCTGAGCAACGTTATTGGTTTGATCAAAGGTGGAAATAAGATAGCAAGTGCATACACAGTCAGAAGCAGAAAGGACTGATCCATCAGCCGAAGAAATCGAGGGCTGGTTCCAGGTCTCCTGCGAAAGATCTCTCAATGCAGTATTGTCAATAGAGAGACCATCCATGGGGGAAAGCAGGCTTTGCGAGTCCCACGGTGAAGAGGCTGGGTAGGGCAGACTTTCGAATGCGGCAACGTTGGGCAGCGTAGACCAACATGTCACTCGCTCTTCCAAAGGCTTAGCGATAAAGGCCATACTGTACTCTCTGTGTTTTGATAAAATGAGAATCAGGAATACTGAGTACGTTCAAATAAGTAATATCACGTAGCAAAATACCTGTTTTATTTTTTAAACGGTCACGCCGAATGAATCGTGGATAAGTAGCTTTTGCTGGTGAGTCCAATAGCTCTGCTTGCAGCAGCTATGACTGTCGTTTCAGTTGATAGTATGTCACCATGCCAGTAATATGTTTTCGGCACCGAATTCCAACTTATCAATACGTGAAACCCAGTAAAATGCAAAATTTTATTGGTGGCTACTTGTAAGCTACTTTGAACCGCGCTGTTGCGATAAGGTTCATACATCATAGAAAGGTTGCCCCACTCGAACTTTACGGCGGCTAAAACTCGCGCCAATAATGCGCCCATCACAATAGTACTATAAAAGAGGTTCCAGGCCGGACATATATTTTGAAAACGGTTTCTTGGCGAAGTTTGGCAGTGCAAAGCACCTTCCCCTCTCTTTCTTCACAAATTGCAACGAACGAGAGGGGCGATATAGACGACTCGCTCAAGATACGAACGCCAGGCGATCGTATTTCACTCCGGTGACTGGGCAATGCTGGTAAATTATTCGAACATAGGTGGTCTTTCCAAAACCATGCGTCTTTTCCTCACTAACAGGGTCGCAAAATAATATGAGTAGTTAAACTTGGAAATAGCAACAGCTCGCTAGAAGACAATCAAGAGGCTGCGATGAATGTGGTATCCTCGTATACTGTATGATATAATTCAAATACGAAATAACCTTAAATTCAAATTCTTCATCGCTGACTACAATCAAGCTGCGGGAGTGGGTAACCAATCAAGAAGTAAGAGCCCAGTGGGTGGGCGGTGGTTTTGCCTGACATCACGATGGCAGCCTCGAAGATTAATCCTTCTATCACCCACTCTAGCCCCCAAATTCGGTTACACCTTGACCTTCTCGTTCAACACTTGTTTTGCGAGCACATCCAGCGTCCCACTTCTCGGCAGTACAAAGGTTTTCTCGATGGAAATGCTACCGGAGGAACTCATATTGGCGATCATTGTAAATCTTGATCTCCGGTCACTCAAATCCCTCTGTCATGTTTCTCAGCGATATCGATCTTGGGCACAGCCACTTGTGTTCAAAAAGTTCAAAGGAAGCTTCTATGATGTAGATACATGGGCACGACTACAATCATTTGCAAACGCTCTGACGGAGCATCCACATCTTGGTAAAGCGATTCACATTGTCCACATCGGACCTGGCAACTACATGGATGTTGCAAAACTTCCATATTTACTACATTCAATATTAGCCAAAGCCCCAAACATTCGCGTCCTCAGACTTCCAGTTGACAGTATCACTATTAAGACTCTACACCAGATCCCATTGAGTCATATTGAGGAGTTCCGAGGTGATGTGTGTTTCGAATCTTGTGGGAGGAGTGAACTATTTCTATTACCGCCTGTCACGTTTCCTCGGTCCCTTTCAGCGATTCACTTGACAGGCTTTTTGCAGACTAGCGAATTGCAATTGCCAGACGAAATGAACCTTCAGCACATAGCCTTAGTGGCAAGCTACATGGACTGCGAAAGTATCAGCAAGCTCTTGCAGGCCTGCCAACAACTGAAGACATTCGAATACTGGCGTCCTATGCAGCGTGTGCCTCCAAGCTCGAAACCTCACTTCAACGCCGCGCAAATCAGTCGGGCACTTCAACGAAGTCAACACTGTCTTGAATCCATGTGCTTAGAGCTTTCAGATGACGTTGATGCAGTGCTTGGTCCGCTCGGAAGCTTCCTTTCCTTGAGGTCTCTCAGAGTGGACCAACGCAACCTATCCAGTCGACCTATTTTACCAAGTTCCTTGATGGAGATGAGAATTCGTTTTCTTGAACAGCCGAAATTAAGTCTTCTTAACCATTTAGCGTATGAAAGTTGCACCTCGCTTTTATTACTGCAAAATGTCTATTTCGATTGTGAACCCAAGGAGGATGAGTTTCCCGAGCTGAACAGCTTTGACCCTAAAGTGCTTGGATTTGCCAAGAGGATTTCTTTGTTTGTTTTTAGAAAGTATGACTGAGATCTATCGTTGACACTTTCTAACTTATTTCCTACCAGGGAGGTCGTAACTTTGGAAAGTTACATATTCAATATTCCAAAGCTGGCCGTGTGGACTGGGTAGACGCTTTCTCAGGTATTACTGGGGGTCCCGTTGAACTTTTCATGGATTCATCCGACATTCCGCCAATCGAAACATCGAGTTTGCTGTTACATAGTCGAATTACACCGCTTCCATTTCAGGTCAGAGACAGCCGACTGGTCTTCAAACCCTGTGTTTATATTATTGTTCTCAACGTTAAAACGCCACACACGCAGCCACAATGTCCATTGTATCTCTTCCCGTGGAATTGATCTCAAAGATATCGAACCATCTAGACCTCCAGCAATGGTTCGCTCTGAGGTTATCATGCCGCGCGTTGTACGAAAGCTCACTCGAGAATTTCGCTGAGACCTATTACAAAAAAATCCGTTTCATTGTGACAAGCGAAAGTCTCCACGAATTGGAAGAACTATCCAAGTCAAATGGTCTCCGCGCGCAAGTCCAAGAGCTATGGATGATACCAACTGTGTTCGGGGGCACTGAAAGGTCCATGGGCATGGTATCTATATCATCAAAAAGCTGCCGACAAGTGAAAGGCGACGAGCTGGAGACCCGAAATGCTGTCCATAAAGCCATGATCACAGATAATTCCAACCTGCTGGAATCGGAAACGTTCAGTATTCGACTTCGCGGGTGCTTGGATCGATTTCAAAAGCTCCAAATAATAGGACTCGCACATTACACAACTGAATTTTGCTTGATCCACGGCAGCAGACAGTTCCATTCCTGGGAAGGCAACAGATAATAAGCCGAATTGATTTTCGATTCGATATTTACAGCCTGCAATCTATTACCCACACCAATAAAGATAGCCAGATAAGAAAACAAAACTCCTTAGCATTATCGAAACTTTTTCTTGCCCTCTATGGGTCAAGCTGCAGACCCCGGAAGCTGTACACCTGCAACTCTAATTTCTATGGTGATATAGGTCCCACAATTGCCCTCACAGAAGAGCAATATGACTCACTACTGTCTGCTTTAAAAAGCCTAGATGAGCTTCATTTGTGTATTGATCTCTATGAGCCCGCTTGGCTGAAACTATTCACGAATGTCGCACCTCAACTAAAAAGACTCACTTTGTCGCAAGGTCATATGCCTGCCTATCTTGCGCAAGACGATATACCTGCCTATCCTGCAAAAAGCTACGTTGGGAATATGTTCCAGAAAGTCAACTTCATTCGACTTCGAGAACTTCACATTCATGAGCTAGACATCTATTTTAACTCTTTAAAATCGCTGTTGATTGGTGTAAAGAAAAGTCTGGCCATTCTTACACTTGAGAAAGTGACAATACGCAGCGAGAAGTTGAAAGCTGCAGATGATTCAAGTTCGCAATATAGCGAATATTCCGGCCACCAAGAAAACGAGAGCTCTATTCCGTTGATGCCTACCTACATACCTGACGACATTAGGAGAACTTCCATGTCACCCTCGTTGTTCCAACCGATGCCAGCCGCGATAGACCCCGTTTCATCCCCGTTTCAACCCACTTCACCAGTGTTTCATCCAACATCCCCATCGTTTATACCAACATTCCCATCGTTTCAACCAACATTGCCGTCATTTCAACCAACATTGCCATCATACACACCATATCTGTCAGCATCTGAAACAGCACCAGCAGAAAGTGCACCCACATCCCCACAGTATTCCTCGAGCTCCGAATCCTCCGAGCCAATGTCGGAAGAATATCTAAACGCAAACTGGTCATCCATCTATCACCCACACATTCCGCACTTTTACACTCAAACCGAAATGCGACCAGTGGGCCCACCAGGAATGATTCGACGCGTTCAACCGACCACGACTTGTGTGTCTAGCCTTTTGGGCCTTTTCCAAAACGAGCTATCTCTAGAAAAACTGACATTGGAAGAGATTGTTTGTGACGAGACCTATTATTACTTTAAGAAAGTCAACGAGATCAGACCGACTTTCTATGTGGAATTTGACATTCGGAGCGGTGATATCTCGTTCAATGAATGGATTTCCCACTTAAAACCAGTGACTTCCGAGCCGGACTTTGTACGTTCGAGCGTAAGAGAAGACCAAGGTTAGTAGCGCTTCCCTCCTATCAAACCTCTGCATTTTCTAATACGCCCTAGAAATGGAAAAATGGTTCGACAAAATGATAGGGAAGGACAGCGGGTCGTTGAATCGCTTGGACTGTGACTGTAAGCGAAATTCTTCAAGGGACTACCCTTTTGGTTGCGGTCGATATCCGGAATGAGATAGTTTACAATTATGTCTTGCATATAGTCGTACTCTATTATTGCTACTGCATCCTCAGTTTCTGTAACAGGGACAGAGATTGAAGCAGTCTTTCTTTGACAATATTTCTCCATTGCATACCAAGGACAGAGTTTCCAAAGCTATGAAGATTTATATATGCCGAGTCAGTCACAGGCAACTTTTTCAACAACTTAAGCCTTGTTCTTCTACCATCTTGTTATATGAAATGAGTACGGAGATGTATATGTGCCAAAATCAAAACTGGGATGCCAAACGAGGAGTGGTCCTCAGGCTTGAAGACGACATGCTTCAAAGCGGACAGCGAATCAGGATGATCCCTATTTTTTGGCTGTCTGTGCTGCTTTATTGACATCTTCACACCTCCCGCTGCGGAAGTTGCAAAGTTCAGGATTACATCTAGCCCTCGATGTTAGTTGAAACTAGCAAAAGGCGTCTTGGGAAATAATAGGGGTCTCTCGCAACTTACCATTGATCCAATATGAGAAAGTATCTGGGGATAGTCAGCACGATTCTGAAGTCAATTTTCCAGAAAGAAAAAATCATACCGGCATTTTTGACAGGCTTTGACAGGGTAGCATCAGTTTGAGCGTTATCGTCTTTAGCAAGCTGAACGATATCGACCCAGCCATATTTGGTATCCTCTGAACCATTGAGGGAACAAGAATAGTGGTGTTACAGGGCAGTGGGCGGTCAAGGGGCGGCTAGACGTCCAAAGTTACGGGTGGAAAGGCAGCCGTTTCTGGCCGCAAAAGCGGTCATTTTCGGCGTCAATCCCACAGGTCCTCATATTCTAGTTGTAATTTCGACACAGTGTGAGGCTGAATTGAGCTATAAATATCCATCTCCTCCTCCATAGATATCGAAGCCTGAAACATCAAAGTAGAACAAAATATTCAAGGTCATACTACTTTTTGAAACCACATGCCCATCCTCCCCAGTCTGATCACTTTCACTGATAATTGCTATTCCGAGTCACAGCAAGGAAAACGAGCGACCAAAGCTGCCGAATATCCGATTCTACATCGTGTTAGTATCAGGTCCGACCACTAACCAGCAGAGAAGCAAGAAAAGAACGAACGTACCGGTCTGGCTGCCACCACCAGGCGGGGGAATAACACCCAAAGGCGTAACCTTAAAGTCATTCTCCTTCCAAACCCACGACCAAACCTCCTGCGAAAGCTGGTTCTGGTTCTTCTCGATATTATCCCAAAGCACATTATACGCTGTTCTCACATTTTTATAAACCGAGTCATCCGTGCAGAACGCCGGGACACGCGCAGCCCGTTGCTTTGAGTGAGATGAAACGGATACGTTAGATGTAACCTCGCATCTACCCAACTGTCTCTCCAGCCCTTTTGCCATCATAGCCAGAGGCCAGGACCAGATGACAGTGCCGTGATAAGCACCTGTTGTGAAGTTCTGCGCGTAGACGGGGTCTTCGCCGAAGGCTGGGTTGGCGACGACCATTCCGGCGGAGGTCATTAAGCCTGCGGGGAAGGTGCGGCGGATGTTGGTGGCGGAGTTGTTCAGGAAGGAGGTGAGTTGGGCGTCGTCTGTGGTGTTGAGGAGGAAATGGCGGAAACAGTCGTCGGTGTTCATGATTTCGACTTTGGTCTGGTTATTGTTTCCTTCGAGGGCGACTGCATGATAGACGACGTTTGTATCGATTGAATTGGATTGGTTTGGCCCGGCGAAGGAGCTGTTGGCGTAGGACTCGACGAGAGATTGGGCCTTTGCTTGCGGGACATTTATCTCGAAGAAGGAGAGTGTATTGTCTTCCCAGATCTGGGCGTAGACGTCTGCGACTTGAGTCCAATTATTTCGTTTGGAGTAGATGCCGTGGCGAGTGAGAGTTGCGATGGAGCGTAGAGCTGCTGGGACGAGGGCTGTATTCACATCGTAGGGGATACGGCCTCCTCCAATACCTAGAAAGGTCGGATCAGTATATTTTATGAATTTCGTGGGGGTCAATGATTGGTATGTACCGTATTCACTATCTCTCCATTCGCCGACTACCTGGCCTTCTTTGAGGTGGATGAGGTTCTCTTTCTTCTGGTCCCGGGCGAAAGGAGCAGCGAGGCGCATGATGCGCTCTGCGTTGATATCTGCAAGCTGGCCCCAGGTCAAATTCCTGTTTGCCTCGTTGATGCCCGAGGATTGGCTATGAGAGTATTAAATATTTGTGTACGTCATTCGAGGCAAGAAAACTCACTTGAAGAAAGCAGCCACTCTATTTTGCCCAACTGCGTTTTCCACAAAGTACCGCTCCATCAAGATAGGAAGGTAGTAATCCGAGTCGATCTGCACCTCTTAGTATTGACCATAACTATTCCTTGTGGTGGTAGACCAACCATTTTGTAATCGCAAATCATCGCACTGCTGCTAATATTCTGTTGCAAGTTCGTGTAAGTCGCGTAGTCCCTACCCTAGTCAGCCATCATACTCAGACCATAGCGTTCCAAACCAACGCCACGGAAACTCACCCGATAGTCTCCTCATGGCAGACACTTCCGTCCGTCCGGTTTACTCTCTCAAGCACTGAGCCAATGACAGCCTCCATTGAGCTGCCATTTCCGTAGCTGAGCACAGGTTCCAAAAGCAGCGCCGAGATCATTGAATCCCGGCCGAAATACGTCAAGAAGCGCCAAGCACCCGCAAGGAGCTTCTCCGAATATGAAAGGAAGGAGAGAGCACTCGTCTGGTCAAGCATTTTGGTCGTAAGATCCGTTGAAGCATTGTTCAGGACTGCACTGGACTGAAGCTGGGACAATTGGGGGTAGTCCATCTCAGCTGAGAAGAGGTAGTCTCCTGCCGTGAAGGTGAGGGTTTTGTTGGAGATAGTAACTTTGCTGTTCGTGCCATTGGGAGCAAAGGTAAGCTTTGTAGAAGTGACGTTATCCAACCAGATACGATTGAGCGTAGCGCTGCCGTCGCTGTTCGAGGTAAAGGTCACGGCATCCTGGATCGTAGGGTAAAGGAGACTGGGGCCTTCGGTGAAATCACGAATCATGCGGATACTTCCCAGGATCGGGATTGTCAGAGCTGCGGAGGAGTTAAAGCGAAGAATGCCTTGGATACCGACACTGGGAAACTCGTTTCCCTTGGAAGGTGCATCGTAGACGGGGTTCAAAGGCTGCTCATTGGTGGAATTGACCAGCTCGATAGCGAGCGAGCCATTGACGCCGTTCTGCGGCGCGAAGAATGCACAGACGCCGCTGTTTCCGGCTGGCCATGCTACAATGAGTCTTGGACCAATGATCGATAGATTGCTGTCTGGAAGTGGACTGGTGATCACGGCCTGCGCGGCGACGTTGCAGTCCGAGTAGAAGTAGTTCGAGTAAGGCGGGTCAGGAAGCGACAATAGTGATGCTGGATTGGGACACACTGGAGCATTAGAACGGGCTTCGATCGCCTTGGGGCGTGGTTAGTCTAGTGTGGATGTAGGTGTTTCAACTGCCGAAACGCCACTTACATGGATGGCGTCACCACCTGCCGCGGCGATAACACCCGCTAACAGGCTCAGCTTGAGAAGAGAGGACATGGTGTATGTATGTTGAGCCGGTGGACAACCGAGAAGAGGTACGAGATTATATAGAAATCATACGACGTGGGGGGCATCCATGTAGGGGCACCACAGATAGCTTAGGTACCTTAATGCAGCTCGACTTTGACGATCGGCGGGTTTCCCCACGGGGATTTTTGTTTTCCCCGATATTTCCCCGTGTCCGTGCCACGGTTGAAACTTTTGTTGTTCCCCAACTTTCTCCTATTTATCTTTAAACAAACTAAAATAAGGATGTTCAACGTATTATTATCTTCAGGTGTTACTATTACATACGCTCACCATTCTTTAATACAAGGTAATAGAAAAGGAGCTTAAAAAAAACCAAGTAATGAGATTTACATACAGTATAATGTTTGTAATTATTGACTTTTAAATTTCTTTAATTTATTATTCTATTAATTATACGTCGTTTCTTTAACCTTTTTAGTATGTTACTATGTAACCCTGTAGAGTTCAACACTGAGGAGTAATCCGGAGGGGAGCGGGCAAAGGCTCGGCAGTGGGGTACCGAAGACCCTAGTCCAGCATGCGTTCACTCGGCAGCCCGGCACATAGCTTGCTGCTGATGGTGGGGTTGTATTAGTTGTAAACTCACGAATTCGTGGTCCAAGGCAAGCCTTTAATTGGTTAGCTGTCCAGTTCCTTCTTGGATCTCTGACATTAGGATCCAGCCATAGCGAGCGGCAGAAAATGGCCTGGTATCTCCGTACTCCGTATAATTTGGGTCGTAAGCGCACCATTTGTCACTCAGCCGAGTTGCCATCATCACGCAAACATCAGATTCAAGCTTTCCCAGATTCTCGCCCTGGCAATAAGTGCATGGGTGGCTGGCGCTGTAGGACGAGATCCAATGTCTTACCAGCCTTCCATCGGATCAGACCTATCGAGGAGGAGAGTTTCCAACGCGCATGTCAACCCTACTTCCCGCCGCGGCGTGATTCAAGTCAATCCCGCTGACCATTCTCAAGTTGCCGAGCCTGCAGACAGCGGAAGGTGAAGTGTTCAGGACACAACCCTTGTCTCAATCGCGTTAATAGGCGCCAAGCCTGTATCTTTGATGAGACGGAAAGGAGGGTTGTAATTCTTGAGAGGTGGCTAACCGTGAAGTGGATCACGTAAACTCATTTGTAACACTAGCTTTTCTAAGACATTTACGGGCCCTTGAACGCCGCGCAGTGACGACAGAGAACCTATCCGCCGGCGCAACTACACGAGGATTTCTTGTAGTTGAGCCCACAGATTCCGGAGACCAGAACATTGAAACACTTGCCCAGGCCTTCCAAGGAACAACTGGCACCACCGCCGTAGCTGACTCAAATAGGGAGCTAGAAGGGCCAACAGGTACATTAGAGCTCGAGTTCTTAGTGCTTTTGTACATTATACTGATTCGTAAAAGTTCCATTCCAGCTTGCCAGTACTTGGGGCTTTAACCACACAGCGCTCCAGTGCCTGAAAGCCGAGCCCGATCTGGCGAATGGATGTTCATTAGGTCATGCCGATCAAGATGACCTCTGGCTTGAATGTGTAGTATGCGGTATGATTAATCACCACGCTACGACAGGGTAGACTGCTATGGTCGGGTTGCTGGGCCCTCAACTTCTAGGCATTGGTTTCCTATGTTTCTCATCGGCGCCTTCGAGAAGCCAACAGTTATTGTATTTCAACAAAATACACACATAATTAGTTCCCTGTGGCAATGATTAGAAGCCACGCTAAGTTAATTATCTAGGCAGCCTTCTCTTTGCTATTTGTAAACTGCCTTTGCATTTGCATTCTAGTATGGGAAAAACCCTTGATAATACATGGGAACAAAAACCATACCAAGGCATGTGCCAACGAGTAAGTTCCGAACAGAATATGAATCACAAAATATGGAACCTTTGAACTGGAACAAAAAACAAAAATACCGCCAAGAAAGTTCGCTGCCAGCTTCACTGTAAGTCAAATTCCAGATGGCCATTATTGTTTCTGATGTGTTCGGCAGTATTGATATCAGCCTCAGACGCATTATTACCAAATCTAGCACGGAGTATTGGCTGATGAGCTGCTCCTTCCGTAAAGTTGAATTTGATACTGTCTCGAAGTGCATTGCGGGTGAATCCTCTTCCTGACCACGAAAATTTGTCTAGAGTACGTCAGTGCTTGGTTGACGCTTTATAATGGCATAAAAGAGCTGTACTATTGACATCTCCAATATGGTCATCAAGGTCAAGACGACTGTCTTCCAGGTTCCCCCGTCGGTTTCGACACTTCGCTTTCAGAAAGGTATGGCCGTCCATAAGGACAATCTCAGCATCCTGAGAGCTGTTTTGCCAATTCCCAGCCATCTTGTAGAGGAGTGAAACAAAGTTCAATATTTTCAAATGGAGGAGTCACAGTTTCCGTTACACAACTCGTAAGAACAAAGATAAGTTATTAGCTAAAATGGAAAGTAGGTGTTTAGAAACTAACTTTATATCTACGAGAGTCCCAGAGTAGGCGCGATTGAATTAAGCAAGGATCTCGTCATCGATATGGATGCGTCAAGGCATTGCATTGTTGACATATAACGATGATGTATATCGATTGCACTGTTGCTAAACAAATCCACGGTACATCATTTTACTCTTGCCACCGTTGCAAATGGCTGGCAGCATGTGTCTACTAATTCATTGAAATGGTGACATTTATATTACGCTAAGAGGCAAGGAGGTGCTGCTTCTCTGCTACCGAAATAACTAGCCTTTGGTATTGACCAGAGATGCGCTAAGAGGTGAAAACTGGCCTAGATTAATGGTCTCAAGTCTTCTCGGGAACCGAAAAATCTTAGATAGATAGTCTTACTATTTGCAAAATTATCGTAAGGCCTAGAACTTGAGTGACACTATCTGGCCAAAGCAAATATGTCACGGTTCGGTTGAGCCCCACTCTATCCACCGGGGCTGGGAAGAAGTCAGCCTGACTTCAGCTAGGGTTTCCATCTTAACTAACTCTCGGGGTCGTCCCCACTTTTTTCTCCCATAGTTAACAGCAAAGCCCTAACTGGAGGGGTGGGGAGAAATCCACTTCCAGCCACCGGCCAGCTTTAGGTTTTTCTCAGATTTCGATTGCGATTGATGTTAGTCGGGAACAAATCTAGACAAAAATCAATGATGGAACACCCGAGAACCTGGAGGTTCGTCGCAAAAGCAAATCCGTTCTAGTGCTATATTTAACTCAATATCAAGTCCTATTTTGATAAGCTGGGAGCCTGTTCTGTGCCAGCTAGTTTCATCTGGGTACGAGCTCTGCGAGATTCCAGCTTTTTGGAAGAAAATGACCTAATAGCTGTCCACGGCTTGCAGGATTAGAGTTTTTCTGTCACTCGTACTCCACAAATCGGCGGGCCATAAGCCGACTAGTGACAGATGCTCACTGGATATGTGAACTATTGAATTACATCTAATAATTTAGCAATAGCTTTGACCAGTGAGTGCACAGTCCCATCAACCAGCAGTCGCTGTGATGCGTGTGAGATCGGAAAACTCCAAGGCCAGGGTCGTTATTGACCAACGTCTTGGTACTCGGCCCGTCCGGAGGGCGGTGTGGGGTGCGACGGGCCGAGTATGAGAGAACCACCAGTCCACCACTTCCCCCCAACCCCAATTGAACCTAATTAGCCAGTCAGTTGGAGCTTGACTCGATATAAACTTTATCTGTTTTTCCTTTCGAAATCACTTTTCTTCGATTTTCGATTTGCCTGCCATGCTCACCTCGAGAATGCGAGAATGCATGCAACATCACACGGATAATGGGGAGATTTCACATTGCTCATAGCATGATGTTGGGTTTTCTCAACCTTGTGGCCCTTTAATTAAGCCATCAGCAGGTGATGAACCTTAACGAACGAACCTGATCGCCAGCCGGCAGCGCACACTGCTACACCATCGTTTCCAGGGCACATGAGAATTGCAATTGAGCAATAATGCGGCAACCCGAGGCGTGTGCGCGCGGGCCGTGATTCCGCGCTCTGCGAGCACCCGTATTCAGGTCGAGTACCTGTAGCCCTTCGGTTTTTCTTTTTTGGACTTGTACCTTTTTGCCCTGGGCGGAAGGGCTTGTGCGTTGAGTAACCTAATATAGAGATAGCCCTAGATTGGTTGACAAAATCTGGGTACCCTTGCTGTTGTCCACGTCCATGCATCTATGAAAAGTCATAGTCGTCATCTGGGAGGTGGACCGTGTCTGCCGACCAGCGAGTCTTAGAAGATAAGCCGACTTTCTTAACCAAGTTAACATTTCAATCCCCCGGCTAGATAAAGGGAGGAGCGCGCATAGGCGCAATGGCTTCCACAAAATAAGAGCATGTACGCCGATAAACCTCTTTTAAACGGAGACACACGGGGCATACTTTCCCTCCTTTGTTTTTAAACGAATGTCCGTTAAGTATATAAATCCAGATGACGGAATTACCGAGCTCTTGTGCTAATCTCGGCATATTCGGTACAGATGCCGAATTTACCGAAATTAGTTGAGCACCCCTCGATTACCCACGATTTCTATTCTCCACGCGTGCCGAAGGAAAAGTGCCGAGATTACATATAGTTGCCCAGATCCTGCATATTAGACATGTAGTACAAGAACAGTCGTTGTTAGCAGATAATGGAGCATAAAACTGACCCAAAGCACGTCGAGATGACCGAAGATAATTTCGGCTTCACGCCCAGCGAACAGCGCCGAATTATCAACAAGATAGATCGGCGGTTAATCACAGGGTTGGGAATTCTCCTCGCTGTGAGCTTGATGGATCGGACAAATCTGGGCAATGCTTCGATTGCAGGGTGAGGCCATGGTCTCTTAATGCAGACTGAAATTGACCATTGTTAGTATGCAAAAGGATCTTCATTTGGCCATTGGATATCGATATGTAAGATCAATTCTACCCATGTTCGATTTCTACGCTAACTTGATAGTCCTTGATTCTTTTAATCTTCTTCGTTCCCTATGTTCTCGTCCAACTTCCGAGTTCCATCCTTATTCGTAAACTTGGTGCGAGAGCCTTTCTCGCAGGCATCACTTTTGCGTGGGGATTGGTGATGATAGTAAGTACTCTTTACCTCTTCTTCGTTCTTTTTCCCCCGAGACTTGAGATTAAATTGACATGAATAGGGTTGCGGATTCGTCCACGACTGGGAAGCAATGCTAGCACTGCGCGTGGTCTTGGGAATATTAGAAGCAGGCCTCTTTCCCGGGGCTATTTATTTACTCTCTCTTTGGTATACACGCTGTGAGTTTGTTGAGAGACCCTTAGAAGAGATGATCGAGGCTGATCAATAAAGATGAGGTGCATAAACGTTATTCAAGCTTCTATCTCATTAGTGTTATTGGTGGCTCACTTTCCGGCGTCCTGGCCTATGCCTTTATCCAAATGGCTGGTCTAGGGAATCTGTCCGCGTGGAGGTGGATCTTTATCATGGAGGGTATTCTCACCTGTGTCCTCGCGGTGATTGGATTTCTCCTCCTGGTAAGTTTTCCGCGGGATGTGCACAAGTCTCACCGATTTCTATCGTCGCAAGAAATTGAGTTTGTGCTTCAACGAATTGAAAGAGATAGACAAGATGTCGAAGAAGAGCCTTTCAGTCTCTCCGCGTTTTTGAGCCCTGCTCTAGAATGGAAAGTTTGGGGCTTTGCAATGATCTTCTTGTACGCCTTTTTCGTTTTTGCTCCTCTTTCCCCCGATTCTGAACATGCTGATTCATAGATCCATATTACCTCTAGATGCAGCACAGTCGTATCCTACGCTATTGCGTTCTTCCTACCTATAATCCTGACTAGCAAGCTTCGTTTTCACAGTGGGACGTCGCAGGCACTCGGCACACCCCCATACGTTTTCGCCGGCATCATGATGTACCTCGAAGGGTGGATCTGTGACAAATGGCAATTACGGAGCCCAATCATTATCTATAACGCTTTGCAGACTATTGTTGGCCTGTGTATTCTCGAATGGGTGGCCTCGCCGGGTGTTCAGTACTTTGGCATCTTCCTCGTCGCGTCAGGCTCCAATGCTAATATACCAGCGGTTCTCGCTTGGCAAGCAAACAACATCCGCGGGCAGTGGAGACGTGCTTTCTGTAGTGCAAGCATAATTACCTGTGGAGGAACGGGAGGAATCATCGGATCGGTCGTGTATCGGACCCAGGACGCACCAGCATTCTTCCCAGGAGTGATGACATCGATTGCGTGAGTAGTATTTTATCATGGCTCTCTACTTTGTCCGCTAATTATTTGACAGGTTGAATATCTTGATTATCATCTTGGCAGCGGCATTGGCGATTTATTTTCGCACTGCGAATAAACATAGCAGACAAGGCAAATTGGTGATTGAGGGGCTGCCAGGTTTCTACTATACAATTTAATGGAAGCCAGAAAGCCTACATAACGTCTGTGGTGTTTGAGCTAGGATCCGTTCATCTGAATGGTTTAATTCAACCTTTCTGAACAAGTACCAGTGACTATGTAGCAACTGAGTTTCCTTGCAGTCAATCTATACGGATTGGTACGAATAGCAGATGATATGGTAGATACGTTCCAACTTCGCTTTGATCGCAGGCACGCCGCTACTGAGATCAACGCAGCTGTACAACTCAAGCCTTTCGTCCTCAGGCAACAACGCTTCTGATTTTGTCAAGGGTCTGTTTGTAAGCCCAATGACTGTAGCGAAGGTGTCCAGGGTAGGATACTTCAGCGCTTCTTGGACAATAGCCCATCCGGTAATACCGGAGGCACCGAAGACCAGTGCGCGATAAGTCCAGTTTGAGGAAGACATGAGAAAGTGGTGTACTGTACCACTGCCAGTCACAGCAATTCAATTGGCCTTTTATATAACTGTCGCTTGGAATAATGCCCCCCTCCCTTGATTCGCAACCCGATCATATAATCATTCGGTACGTTCATCTAGCGGCACAAGGTCGTGACTTCAACGGTGAGGCTGGAAGTTCCGGTGGGCGAGCCCTCCGTAGAAGGCGTCGAATACGGCGGGACCATCAAGAGCTACCAGCTTAACTCGTCTTCCGTTGCCACGTCCAGCTCGCTGAGTAAGAGAATACATCCGTCTGATTTTGAAACGTGTTATCTCGGAGGAGAATACATGGCAGTTCATGGGGATCAAGACGACATTCCGAAGAACCGTAATTTCTGCAAGAATGAAGCAATTCTGGCCCTGGAGAGCAGCGTGAGGTATTTGATGGATATTGGATATCTTTCACGCGATGGGGACAATAGACAGCCGTCGGAAAGGCCCGCAGCTGGCCCAGTTTTTAACAGACCCCTCGGATCTTAAATAGAATAGTGAATTTGATGTTTGTGTTGCTTTTGAAGTTTGAAGAATCCTAGATTTGAATGGTATTGACTCATAATCGGAGTATCTTCAGATCTTCAAGGAAAATAAGTCGAGTATTGAAGGAATGCCTCATCAATTTCTGGTGTCTTATCACCAATGCGACTCATCTCCGCATAGTTGAAATTTCCATACGTCCAATCATCCGAGATAGGATCAGTGACAATCGCATCTGAGGATTCAATGGCGGTTTCGCTTTCAGGCATCATGGACGTAGCTTGGATATTGGCTGTTGAGCTCAGAACTGGGTGAGGTTGAAGATTTAAATGAATGGTAATGGGCTCTACCATCGAAGGCAAGGTTTGGCCTATCTTCGTAAACAGAAGAGGAAGAAGTCTTCGCCGGCCTCCTGGTAAGTCATGAATGAGAGAAGAGAAATGTTTGAGATAGTCTTGTGGGCCAAGCTTGAATCCCGACGAACGAAGCCCAGCCGCCGACAGGCATGCCATCACGTCGATCAAGGTACACGCGACCTCAAATATCTTCTCGATCTGCAACTTATTAGATTAATATTCAGTAGTGAATATATAAAATGACATACCAGACCAATCCCGTGAGTTTCCATACTCTGCCGGGACAATTTCCATGTTGCGAGGCAGAGGTCTTGAGCAATAAGCAACGGGTAGCGGAAATCCATGCATTCATGAGAAGGATTGGTCGACAAGAACCCAGCAATAGTAGATAATTGCCATATCATAATTCGTAGCCATTGCTGAGATACTCTCAGATCAGCCATGATTACATCTGGCAAATCAAGATCTGCAGGCACTGCGTTTTGGATGCGTTCCTCGAGGACAACAAGGGATTCGATCGAGCACGTTGTATGAGTGCCATTCCAATGACCCAGAAACCCTTCATCAAATGGGCGATAGAGATCGGTCAAACAGCGAAACCCAACGGCCGATGCCTCCGGATGAGGATCATCTTCCAACTGGGGGCTTTGTGGTGTGACCTGGAGAGTAATTGGTCTATGTCGTCGGATAGCATGAGCTCTGCCACAGATAAGCATAATTCATACCGGTAGTTTCGGTCAATTACCTTTCTGAAACTACTAATAACCAAAATAATTTGGCTTCCAAGGAGGGATCAGCGTCGTCTGCTTGCGCTGAGGTGGCTTGGCTCTCAAGCGCACTGGCAGTATAAAGCGTTGTAGCCTCGCGGAGGAAGTAATAAGCATGTCGTTGATTTCCTAAACCAATATGGCAGCCATAGAGAAGGAAGGCGATGATAATGTTTTGTCGTACAGGATCCGTGAAAGGGTCGAGGTGCTTTCGAGCTTCGGTGGCCTCTTCAACCAATGAGTTGCGATGATCTTCCGAAAACAATGTGTCATGATGGCGAGATGTTTGTTCCACAGCAAATCCAGTTTGGGTGACGACAAAGGCGCAAAACGCAGTGACCAAACAGTAAGAATGAAGACAGGTATCAGCCATCTCTACTTGCTTCTGAAAGCCACTGGGTTGCAAAATGGGCACTGTACCTCTCATGCGAGAGAAGAAGTATTCTGAACAAGCATTGACAAGTTCAAGCCCCAGAAGATCCGGAGTCCTTGCAAATTGGCATCTGCCCGGCTGTTTAGGTGATCGTGGGACTAGAGGCGTGGACGGAGAAGCGTTCAAACGGGGAGGTAGGGCCTGTTCCGCCTCTTTTGATCTGAGCTCATTTAAAATGTTGGCTGTCTGGCCCTGGCGTCCCTTTCTCTGGCGTTGTATAGATGTTCGGCAGACCAGGCCGGCAGCTCGGCATTGCTTGCAAGGACGCGGAGATATGCATTTGACCTTTCTCCGACGACAGGCATCGCATGCCTGCTTTGGAGGATCATTCGAATGACTTGCATCAGACAAATCCATGCCAACGTGGAATCCGGGGATGCGGAGGGAAGTCGGAGAGAAGCCGGGACGAACCCGGGAGGTTGTGCGTTCTTGGCGGCCCGTATAGCCCCACAGGTGGTACGGTCAATTTACGAGTGAACTGGCAATTGTACTTGTGCAAATTAGAGAATTAGAGAGTATATACAACCTCAGCTCAATGAGCTTGCCGTAGAAATTACTTGCTCAAACTCAGGCCTATCATGGTGAATAAGGTTCAACACCTTGGATATTTGGACTACACGACCACAAACTATGTCGCCTTTGGAATCAAAAAATGTACAAAAGAGATATACTATGGAGACTTCTGAGTCCGAAAAAGACTGTCCCAATACTTTATACGTATGTAGACATAGATCACCTGTAAAACGTCAAACATACACCCTGCCTTCGAAAGGCCCCAGTGTCTCCAGACACGAGCTATCATAGTTGCTCACCAGCAAACTTTTGCCCACAGTTTTCTCAGCCTGCGTAAATGGCTGAGATGCTGCAGTAAAGTTTAGAACAACCAATGCCTGTCTATCATCCCTTGATTTCACAAAGCAGAAGGTCTCTTGGTTTTCATAGTCGAGCACTTCAAACGCACCGTGGATAAACAAGTCTCGATACTTTTTTCTCAGACGCAACACATCTTTCCAGAATGACAGCACACTACATGGGTCATTCTCTTGTTTTTTGACATTGATCTCTTTGGAAAGATCATGAGCTCGCATCCATGGCTTTCCAGTGGTGAAGCCAGCATGCTCAGAGCCATCCCACTGCATAGGCAGCCGAGAATGGTCGCGAGCCAGGATACGAAGACCATCCATGATGCGCTCTTTGCGCTTGGGATCATCTCCACTCGCACTTCGTCGCTCTGCTTCCCGGTAATACCCCAGCCCTTCGATATCCTTGTATTCATCAATTGACCAATCGCGAGGAGCGTTGATCATACCAATCTCCTGGCCCTGATAGATGAACAATGTCCCGGTCATGGTAACCATCATCAGAGCTAGCATTTTGGCAGATATCTCCCGGAACTCTGGTGCATCAGACCCAAAACGAGAGACAGAGCGACCGTTGTCGTGATTTTCGCAGAAAGCAGTGGTCCAGCCATCTGTTCCCTCGATGAAAGATTGCCATTTCTCCACTATGGACTTCATCTTCGTCAGTTTCCAGGGATGGAAGATGTATTTCTCTTCTAGACTAGGCCCCATGCCGATGTGTCCAATATCCAAATGAAATACCATGCTCAACTCCTTGGCTGATGCGCCGACATATTCTAGGACATTTTTGGGATTGGGAGTATTGGCCAACTCGCCAACCGTCATCACGTCTCCGTATGGAGCAAACGACTCGTCGTACATTTCTCGCAAGAATTCATGGATTCGAGGTCCGTTACACCACATTTGGATAGCTGGCTGTATATCGCTCTTTGGATCTGTGATTGGGGCATCGGGGAAGTCTGTATGCTTGCTATATTTGTTGACAGTGTCAACTCGGAAGCCATCGACACCCTTGTCTAGCCAGAATCGAACTGCGCTGTTGTAGATAGCCTCGCGCGTAGCTCTGTTGTCCCAGTTGAGGTCGGGTTGCTCTTTTGCGTAGAGGTGAAGGTAGTATTCTTGTGTTGTCTCATCCCAAGTCCCTGTGCGGCAGTTAGTTGATATTCCACAACATAGTATGTAACTTATTACTTACAAGTACTCCCTGCGAAGTACCCCCGGTAGTTACTCGGCGGCATCCTATTCCCAGCCTCATCATATCGCGGAGGACGCCAGAAATACCAGTCGCGTTTCTCATTGTCCTTGCTACTTCGACTCTCCTTGAACCAGGCATGTTCGTCACTGGAGTGATTGACCACAAGATCCAGAATCAGCTTCATGCCTCGCTGGTGACATGCCTCAACGAGATCCTCTACATCTTTCACAGTACCATAGGCAGGCAACACCTTCTCATAATTGGATACATCGTAGCCCATATCGTGCATGGGCGAGTCATACATCGGAGACAGCCACACCACATCGATGCCGAGCGAGTGAAGGTAGGGGACTTTCTCAACTACACCGGGGATATCACCCCAGCCATCACCGTTGGAGTCATAAAAAGATGCTGGGTAGACCTAACATCAGGCCATTAGTATCATAATTGCAATAACTCCACTAAATAACCAACCTGGTAGACTGTCGCCTCCTTCCACCAGTTATTTGTCCCAGTCGGGACAGTGTCTTGTGCGTGTGGTGACATGGCTTGACCTATTTTGTTCCAAGCACACTCTCTCACCTCTTATAGCCTTTTTTCCCCTTCGGCCCTGACTCGGCCCAGAGTGGGGAGATTCCCGCCAAGCCACCGACATTTATCGCGTCGCCGAGTAGCGCCCGACTTGCCCCCGACATGCAGCTTTCAAGAACGCTGATTTGCTGCGGTTGGACCTCCACACTTCGGCTTCCCCAGTTTTCTCCAAATTCTTCGTGACAGCTTCTTCCCCGGATCTGTGATGTGCGTGGTGTGCACCATGTCTGTGTTTCGCGGTTTTGATATAAATTCGCGGATTTCCCCGTTCTTTCGGCTTTGACTATGCCCAATGTACCAGGCCTGTTTGAATCCCTTCAATTAGATACTCGATCTAAGACTTTCATTCGAGGTCTTGCTTGAGGTCAAGCTGTGCCAAACCTACCTGATCTTCAACTGAATGGTGTCAATGGACGACACATCCGCCAGAATGGATGGCAAGCCCTCGACCGTCCTAGCTGAAGGCCAACATGCAGCCCAGAAAGAGCAGTCCATGACTCTCTGGCAGGCTCTGAAACTATACCCCAAAGCTGTCGGCTGGTCAGTGCTGCTCTCGTCTACCCTAATTATGGAAGGGTATGACCTCGCATTACTGAGTTCCATGTATGCATCGCCCGCTTTCAACAAGAAGTTCGGGCAACTGACAGCCTCGGGGAAATGGGCTGTTCCCGCATCCTGGCAATCCGGCCTGTCAAACGGTGCACGCTGCGGTGAAGTCATTGGACTTTTGATCAATGGTCTAGTCTCGGAGCGCCTTGGCTATCGTCGTACTATGATCTGTGCCTTGGCCACCATCACAGCGGTCATCTTCCTCTTCTTCTTCGCAGTCAACATCCAGATGCTACTGGCAGCGGAGATCCTCGCCGGTATTCCATGGGGTATCTTCCAAACCCTCCCAGCTGCGTACGCCTCGGAAGTCTGTCCGGTAGTCCTCAGACCCTACCTGACGACATTCATCAACATGTGCTGGGTATTCGGACAATTCGTGGCAGTTGGAGTCAACCGCGGGTCCATTTCTCGCGATGATCAATGGGCATACCGCATTCCGTTTGGTGTACAATGGGCCTGGCCACTACCAATTATGATTGGCTGTCTATTCGCACCCGAGTCTCCCTGGTGGCATGTTCGACAGGGCAATATACAAGGAGCGCGACGCGCCCTACAACGACTGACCTCATCCAAAGACCCCAACTTCAACCCCGAGGAGACAATCGCCATGATCCAGCACACAAACGAACTAGAAAAGTCTCTTTCGAGCGGAACGACATACTGGGACTGCTTTAAGGGAACAAATCTCCGCCGAACAGAAGTGGTCTGCATAGTATGGCTCGTGCAGACACTATGCGGACAGAATCTAATGGGATACTTTGCCTATTTCTGCGTACAGGCAGGTCTACCGACGGTGCAATCCTTCAATCTATCTCTAGGTCAATACGGCCTCGGAGTCCTAGGCACAATGGGCTCATGGTTCCTCATGTCAATCGCAGGCCGACGCACAATCCACGTGTGCGGCCTAGCATGTCTCTTCATCCTATTAATGATAACCGGCTCGCTATCATTCGCACCGAGCGAGAACAACGCCGCGAAATGGGCTATTGGCGTTATGTTAATCATCTTTACTTTCTGCTACGATATCACCGTCGGCCCGGTTACATACTCTCTCGTCTCGGAATTATCTTCAACAAGACTCAAGGCAAAGACTATTGTTCTCGCTCGGTGTTTATACAATATTAGCAATATTGTCGTCAACGTCTTGACCAACTATCAATTGAACTCCACCGCATGGAACTGGGGCGCTCGCTGTGCGTACTTCTGGGCTGGGACTTGTTTAATGGGGCTTGTGTGGGCGTTCTTCCGGTTACCTGAGCCGAAGGGGCGGACGTATGAAGAGTTGGATCTGTTGTTTGAGCGGGGGATTACTGCGCGCAAATTTGCTTCTACTGTTGTTGATCCGTATGAAGGGGAGGTGATTGAAGTGCGTGAAGATCATGTAGATAAAGACTGATTCTGCAGCAAGAAAATATGACTGAATTTCTGTTATTATCTGCTATTATATTGCCCCTTCTAACATTGATTGATACAAGATCTCCATAGACTTGACCAAGGGAGGCGTTCCCGTCAACATATTCTGCCTCTACTTCCTGTCACCAGGTAATGTCCCCGGTGCCGGCCAACCTTGTCTTCGGTAGACTGACCATCCATGGTATTTTCCAATATCATTAATCTCTATACACATTCCTTGCATGCCTTAAATCAGTGAGTCACTTGATGTTTTACAGCACTTCTGGAAATAGCGGAGAATAGTTGACCACCAAATAGTACTTATATAACACTAAAAAACAATGCTAACAGATCAAAGCAGGGCGGAAACACCAAAACAGCGTATAGTAACAGATGAAAGCCAAGGACATCTTCGGAGCAGTATACAGAGGATGTAGTGGGTATATGACACAATGCGATCGCGACCGCGAAATACAGATAGAGGATCAGGTGCATGAAAAAAAAGCCCAATAGAAAAACCAAAAGAAATCCCAAGTGATACACAATCAAGCCCAGCGCCAGCCGGCTTCCTGCGATTTCTGACGCTTGATGACAGCTGACAGTAGGGTATTCCGCTTTCCAAACGGATTACGCTCATTTTTTTTGCGCTGATGCTCAAGTAACTGTATAGCAGCAGAAACATCAATGCCTTCACCGGTATCGGTAATCTTAAGCGCCCACTTTGCGTCTTCTGTATTGAAGCCCATCTCATTGACCATGGTGTTAATGGCCCTATCGACAGGATCAAGCACCTGAGGCGGGAGAGGGACATAAGCTCTGGCTGGCGGCATCGGGGACGTTTGGGGAGGTGCGAATAGAGAGGTAGGGTTAGAGGCTTGGATAGGCGTGTGAGGATCGCTACCAGACCCGGAAGACGAAGTAGAGCAGCGGCCGAGAACGAGGGCTGGCACGGGCGGAACGGGGGGCTCATCTCGAGTCGAGCCATCGAGGTTGCGGACAATAGTACTAAACTCGGACATTGGACGCTCAGCCGAGAAGGAATAGCGACCTTCCGGTTCGTTGGATAGTCCGCGTACACGGCGGCGGTGACATAGTTCGCGGGCGAAGCCAGCCTGGCGCTCGCGGGTTTCACGGGTGGAGTCGGAAGGGCTGCTGCTTCGGTTTCCTTCTGAGATGCTGGATTGTGGAGAGAGGGCTCGTTCTTGAAGTTCGTAGGCTCGTGCGACCGCTTCCTTTAGGAATGGTGACCGGCTGGCTCCGGTTTCTGTTGGTTCCCATTTTGTCAGGCCGATTGACTGGGCCGTTGTGAATGTTGCGACTGTAGTGTCTGCTGGGCAGACTGCACTGAGTGTTAAAACTGCTGACAGGCCCAGTGAGAGCACGTAGGAGGTCCATTCCTCTGCAAGAAGTTAGCTACAATGATCAAAATTGGTTGTAATGCGAATATTACTCACCGAGGACAGTCTCTTCCCGAACTGCATCTCCCTCTGGAACATTCATACCATCGAAAATGCCGACTTTGCGAGCTTCGATACACTTCCCATGCAAAGGCTGAAGCAAAACACTCATACACGTCCAAATCTCAGTAATATCATACATCTGCCTCTGCGACAGACCATCAAGGTTGCCGCGACCGAAGCCTTCTGGTGGTTCAAAGAGGACATTGTTCATGCCAAACGGTTCAGACATAGAAGAAGCCGAATTGAACATGTTCCGCGCCATAACACCACCCTTCAACCAATCCATTTGGCCGGTGATATCAGCCTCGCGGTTCTTTCCGCTGCCGAAAATCCGACAGAATGTCCAGACCCGCCAGAAGGCATCGTCTACCTCCTCCGCTCGAGTATTATCCACACCCGCAAGACCGCGCACAGTATCGGGACGTAGGAAAGGTGCACATCGTGCCAGGACGAGAGCTTTGAGCTTGGCAAGGGTATAGATATCCTGTGCGTAGCGCTGCAAATACAGAGTCGGCGTATACTCGGGAACCTGAGAATCTGGGTCGAGCAGCAGTTGCCACTCCATTTCCCAGGGCGGACTCATCTCTCGCAATTCCCACGCGGGTGGAGACATTTTGAACAGGGCATTCTTGACCATCGATAGTTCATGACTCTTGAACGTGGAATAAAACTTTTTGTTGACCAGGACGAAGTTGAACAGATCATCCAGTGAGTCAATGTTCTTCATAATCGACACAATCAGATCAATTGGCATGTCTTCGGGGAACTCCACCTGGACATTGAAGGCCGTGGGGGCCGCGGGAGGCACCACGGCAAAGGGCGACGGCGGCGCAGCATCAAGCTCGTAGACAGGTTCGGGGAGTTGAACACTGCTCGCCTGCGCCGTCGACACCCACGCCCAACTCTGTCGCATCTTGGAGGCTACTCGATCATTGCTGGGCCGAATACGAAGGTGCACGTCCGGAGCAGTGGGGCAGTCTGACAGCTCAACGGGTGCCCGAGCGGGTGGCTGGGGAATATCAACCAGTGCCTGAGCTTGTTGAGCGACTTGATCGAAGGGATTCCCGAATTTCATACGAGTTTGCAGACGAGGTAATTGAAGGAGTAGATCTTCACGATTTGATGCTGAATCAAGGGAGGCCGCGTCAGATGTCAGAGTCGCGCTAGTCTGCAGGTCGGGGTCTTGGCTCTTCCGGAATGGCATCAGGAACGACTTTTGACTCTTCTTGTCTTTTTTGGGACTCGCATTATCTCGCTTTTCCTCGTCTCTCGACCGTCGCGACTTATCTTTTTTATCTTTCGGCTTACTGATCTTGGGCTTCTCTTTGGGCGGACTTGCGACCGGCTTAATACTGGCCCGCTTCTTGCCCTGTGTGTCTGCACGAGACTGAGAGGAGTGAGGCTTCGTGGATGGAGGCAAAGGCGCCGGGCGGGTCGCAATCAAGTCGCCATTGTTGCGACTGATCTGCAATGGCCCGTCGAGGATAAGCAGTGTCCTGTGTGCTCCTCCCTCAAAATCTGCAAGTGCATCTTCCAGTTCCTCGGCCGCCTGCGACAATGTCGGGACATGGCGAGCTCGATGACCAGCTACTTTGAAGTCGTGACGGGGCCGAGGCCGTGGCTTACTGTGTCCGCAGCTGTGACATGCGTGACTGTTTCGATGTGTGTGTGCCCTCGCAGACTTTCGATATAATGGCGAGACAACCATATCCTTCTGGGAAAATTCGGAAAAAGGCGAATTAGAGCGTGGAGACGCCGCTGAAAGGGAAGAGTCGCTTCGGCGAGATGGAGAGGCACTGCCTGGTTCCAAGGGCAAGGGTTTGTTTTTGAGGTTATTCATCGAGAATTCCCGGGTGCACGACTTTTGCGGGCGTGCAAGGCTATTCGGCGCATACAGATGGTGCGACAACGTCGACTGAGGTCGAGAAGAGCGAGGAGATGTGTCATCGTCAAAGACACCAGCAGCAACAGGGGAACAGATCGAGTATGCATCGGCAGATTTGTAAGGGGATCCATCTTCATACCATTCGGTGCCAACACTGGCGAGCGAAGTGCGACGACTATAGCACGACGAAGCGCAGTCTATCGCATCCACATCCCCAGTCTCATCTTCCAAACCTGTTTCTACAGCCTCAGAGTACCCGCACAGGATCTGCACTCTTTCTCGCAGCTCTTCCTCCAACGACGTGAGGCTGGAATGCTTCATATTCAGATCTGGGCTAGTCGGGGACACCAGTGAGTGTGAGAGTTCAGGAAAAGAGCGGGCCAGGGTTGTATCGCGAGGGTAATTGTCCGACAATGGAGAGATTACAAATTCCTTCTCAGACTCTTGGGGTGTATTCAAGTCAATGGTCCTTCGCAAAGACTCCTGCGGGGAGCTAGGCCAATCGTCCCCGGTCTCCCCGGCTGTCGAAGTGTTGACTTTTTCTTCTTTGAATCCATCTGGCTGTGATTGGTCTCGGATCGCCTCGTTAGTGCCAGATGCCGTGATCGGGACAGGAGGGCTGGAAGTCTCGAGCGGGACTGGGATGGTCTCTGTAGGTCGCATTGTTGCTTCTTTGTTTGGACTCGACATGCATACGGGGAGACGATTCAAGGAAGGATGTTCTATAAGATCTTGCAGTCTTCGTCCCGCTGGAACAATTATCTGGTGTTTTGAAGATATGCGACGATGCCGAAGGACCGGAAAGCAAGTATATGTTCCCATCTCTGCAGTGTTTTGATCTATACCACCATTATTGACCTGACTGGGATATTCTGCTCTTCGTTAGTCTCTTGCCACTAATCTGCCATGCGAGATCATCCGACCGCAACGGTCCCCGATAGAGTACGCACCGTTGAAGCCAGGCTCGTGGAGGCGAAGTGTAGCCTTTGTTCGTAGTTCCTCCCCGGATGTGGCTTGTATACAACAAAGAGCGAATCCCTGACCTGCAAATTTTCTTTTTTTTTTGTGACCAAGGACCAAGTGCAAAGACAAAGAGAACCGCTCAAATTGGTGATGGATTTTGGTTAATAACGAATAACGTGGGAATATGTGACTGATATCACTCTGGCCCTGTTGGCCCCTTCGGTGCGACGCCCACGCCAACAGTTGATTTCGGGGCCAAATGCTAAGCTGTCGTAAATGAAATCATCAAAATGGATATTATCAGTTAGCGTCCTGCAGCTAAGAGCGATCCGCTGGGGCCAAAAAAGGCGGCCCAGGCCGTGAAGAATAATCGGGATACTCTTGAAGACATTGCAAAGTAGCATTATGATATAGTTTTATTTTGTGTTCAGAGTTTACGTTAGTTTAAGATCTCGTGTACTATTCTCGTACTCGCGAAGGCGCAGGGGAAAAGTACGAAGGGATCGACACGAAGTATTACTCGGAAGGAGATCGACCCCACAGCTGGACCAATACTACTCAGTAATTCGCCATCCCCGGCGTATATTTTTAGGCCATTACATTCCTACGTTAATGGATCATTGTCTGTTGCCCCATCACCCCCAGCCCCCATGTGGCCCCGGTAATTGTGGGTACATTGTATGCTCTTGGCAACCGTGTAAGCCCTAGAACCCCCTACGGAGGACAATGTTTTTATCCAAAGATAACAGAACCAACACTTCCAGACAGCTGCCAGAACGCTGGTACAAAGACTAAGTTTTCGAATATTTGCCGATGCCCACTGGAACAGCTCTGGTGTAGCTTTCGGGCGCGTTCTGCATCACGCAGGTACATGCACTTGTACTTGCATAATATTCTTCACCAGACTAACGTCATTGCCTATACTGACGACGGGGATAAGAATCCCGCGAATATAAGCCACACCTCAAACCACCCATATTGGCCTGTTGGATCCTGAACTCGTAGGAGCCCTGTTCGTGCAATAGCAAACATACCTAGTACGCCACAACTCCAACATCGGGCGAGGAATCCTTCGAGTATATGTAGTGCAATATCCGTGTATAATGGCAAGTGGCAAAGATACATTCCAAATGAAATGCCTCAAGAAAAGGCCTGTCTGTCTACAGCTTTCTGTCGGCCCCCAAGTTAGCTCCACAGATACCGACATGGTGCCACCTGTGTTAGTATGGTTATACAAGTGTCACTAAATCATTAGAACACGCTTCTTATTAGGTTAATTCGTAGTCAGATCAATGGGTTCGAAGGAAGGTCCACAACGGATAGAAACCGAAAATGATCGGCGGTACTGTACTTTTAAAGAACAAATGTGTACGTGACGTTCGCTATCTCCCATAATATTCCATGGGGTTTCTATGCAATGAAATAAGCATGCATTCCATACATCTGCTTCCCGTCTGACCCAAAATCAGAAAGAGACTGATGCGTGAAAAAAGGGCCAAGGGGGCGGAAAGCCTTATCTGGGGCCCTCTTGAACGCCACATGTCTTCAAAGCTGCTGAGTTTGGAGGTAAAATATAAGCAAGTCTATATGGGGCTGTTGGGGGCAGTTTTGTGCACTGGGCTCACCTGACATTTCGTGCAGTAGCGCGAGGCATATAGTCGGGTCCCAACCGGGTGTGACTGAGCGCTCGCTGCATCTTCAGCTGGTTAAATATCTCTAGTTCCTGCAAATGCTGACTACTTTGGTGTTTATGTTGGAGTCTACTGCTTTTCTCACCGCTACAGTGCCATACTCATCATTCTAAAGACCATACCTAGGTAGGTCTCACTTTTTCTCTGTCTACTAAGCACAGATACTCTGCATACATAAATATCTATAACTTAGATATTTGATGTTCCTAAGATGAATGATACGTATGTGATACGGGGACCCATGAGATGGGGAACTCGTCCTGAACTGACAACCTGGTGAGCGATGAGGCACTGGAGATCAGTCCATATTGAATCGCATTCCAGAGCAAAGCATTTCTTCTGCAGCCACTAATATTAACCCTCATAGCTCACTAGAATGAAACCCGGACAAGAGTTACCCTCATTGCATATGCAATGTATACCTCCTGAATCATTTGCCTAAAACGGTTAGACCGGCACTGTGTTTGTTTATTTTGCACTCGCGATGTAACGCTGAGGCTTCACTGAAACAGCAAAACGCTGAATGCTCCTGCATAAACTGCACAGGAGGGGGACGGGGCTACGGAACCCCTTAACCCGCAAATTTCCTCCAATGAAGGTCGAAAAAAAGCTGCTATGTAACATGCAGAAGAGGTTGTAGCATTGATCAGCCGCTCCAAGCAGCATAACTCGTTCTCGTTTAGGAAAATCGTCAAGAACCATGAGAGTCGCTTGAGACAAACCCAATCAACCTGGGGAGCGATGCAGCCGGTCTGGGAAGCTGGGATTGCACTATAAAAGGAAGGGTCCGCAGTCACACCAGATTCCTCAAACCAGCAATCTCATTTCCCTCGATTTTCAACCGCGCGCACAATAACAATGTTCGGCAAACTCCCCTCAGCCGCCTGGGTGCTTGCACTAAGCCTGACAACCCATGCCAGCCAAATCTTCAGCAACACCGGAACAACCTCAGGCTGGGATGCTACCAACCATGAACACTCAGGCACAGTACAGCAAGTGAGCAATGTAGTCTACCAAGGCACGACAGCCCTGAAGATGACGCAAGTCTATGACTCCAGCTATTCAGGCCGATACCACTCAGAAGTGGTCAAGAACAACGTCTACAAACGCGGTGACACAGGCTTCTACGGCTTCGCCTTCCGCCTGCAAGATGACTGGCAATTCTCTCCAGCACAATCCTACAATATCGCCCAATTCATCGCCGACTTCACCGACACCGGCTGCGACGACTGGATGCCATCCAGCATGGTCTGGCTCGTCGGTAATCAGCTCTACACGCGCGTGAAGCAGGGCACAATCTGCGCGCAGAAGACGCAGACTTTCTCAAACTTGGCCACTGTGACTGCAGGCGCGTGGCACAAGATTGTCATCCAGTCTAGTTGGAAGTCTGATGGGACTGGGTTTTACAAGATGTGGTTTGATGGCGTTAAGGTCCTTGAGAAGCTTAATATTGCTACTACCATTGCCGATGATCGGGCGTTCCAGTTCCGTGTTGGTCTTTATGCTAATGGCTGGCATGATGATAAGTCTATGAAGGGGACTCAGGGGACTCGTCAGGTCTGGTATGATGAGATTGCTGCTGGGACTACTTTTGCCGATGCCGATCCTGATCAGTGGTGATCTGGGAATGAGTGCTTGAGCTGGCTGGTACAGAGATGACGGTATTTATGTATCGTGATGTGTGTTCCGATGTCAGATTTGATGTACCGTGGAGCCAGGGGACATCAGTGAAGACGAATTCTGATTGTGGTTAGAGCCACTGCATAAGACATTTTCCCTGAGAAGCCTACACTTCCATACACGAATCCCTACATGAACCACGAAAATGATGCCTGCCTCTAACTCGTAGACGCAGCATGGCGAGGAGGCAAGACTGCCGCATCTAAATCCACTTAGCCTGATATCAGACAGGGATTACTCTCCCATGTTCTGACTGACTATTCACATATTATCAAAGACCTACAACCATGCAAATAATATGAAATATGAATGACGTCGGCCAAAAAAGTCCGATCGCCAGAATCCTTAGGCCTTTGGTACATCCGGACTAAACCCCACGCCTTGGGGTCCAAAAGTTAACACCAACACACATGGAATAAGATTGACATCATTCGCCTTGGCTCATAAGATTGTGTCATATACCCCGCGCAAGATTCTAAAAGTTGTGACGAAGAGAATGCCACTAAATGAGTAAGAGAGAGCACGGGTGGTAAGAATTCGGCATTAAAAGTCCTGTACATAACCCTTCTATTTTTTGCAGTAAGTTAGATTAATGAGGAACTGCCATACTCACCCCGCGAAATTGAAGATGCCGCAACTAGCTGATACGAGGGCCAACTAAGCCACAATCGCCCCTAGCATTCTATGGCGGCTGATACTAATTATAATTCAAACTATAGACAACCACTGTATTCCCAAGGAAACACTAAGGGGGCGGCATAATTGAAAGAAACAGCATGTAAAGCAGAGAATAGACGTGAAACACGAGGGTGTTTGCCGATAGCTACGTCTGCGCCTCCACCATGCATCCAACACGGATATGTTGCTAAAAATAGCAACAGATCGCCGATTTAAAGCTGACTTCGTCCAGTATTAACTTACATGCAGAGAGCTTATGTCTGTGATGTTTTTAGATCAGACTTTATCGTTTTCGAAATCATTCTTCAAACGAAGGTAAGTATGATATAATCAATATTGTATAGAGTGGCAGCCGGACAAGAATAAAATAGCAGAGTGTGTGGACTCGATCAAAACGAACGACCGACTACATACAAGTATTAAACGCGGTAAACGATTGTGTTCGCAACATGGTGATTGCAAAGTTGACGCTAAATTCTCAAATCAGGCTTTACAGACCATGAAGAGACCTGAGGTCTTCGGTGGACAATTTCGTGAAATTCAACCCAAATCACAGGCTGTAAAACCCTTTGCGCGTCATGAACTCAACAATTCTCCTGATAAGATCGGGCGTAAGCTGAACGAAAGAAATCACGTCGCGGTTGCCAATTGCCTTCAAGGTATTCACACACTCGTACACGGGAGAATGTTTGCTTGTCTGGAGACGTGTTGCGCCTCGCAGAACAGGCTCTGCGAGCAAGGGCATCAAAGATAGCAAAGGGCTCGATTCAAACCCCTCCCAGGCTTGCAATCTTTCCAACCACTCCGAATATGGGATCTGTTTGAGGGGGAAGCCAGCTTGGTTGACAAGTGTGCATAATCGTTCCATGTTAGTGGTGAGTTCTGTCTTTGGCGCACTCAGGGTATAGACATGACCCATATTATGGTTGTCCGAAGCAATATGCAAAATTGAATCGCAAACATAGTCAACTGTGACATACTCCTGGTTCTGGTATGGCAGATGGGGCCAATATCCCAGTTGAATACATCCAACCAGCATTCGAGTAAAGAAATCGTCCGGATTCCCTGCCCCTGTTTTACTGTCGGCGACAACGAACCCAGGGCGATAAATAATCACAGGTAGGCCTTTGTCGCGCACTCTTTGAACCATCTCGTCTGCTACCCATTGGCTTTGAGCATAGCCGGTATCGAAAGGGAGCGAAGCCAGGTGAGTCTTCAAAGGGCCGTCCTCAGAAACCACCTCTGTTCCCAGTATAAATCCAGTAACGGCCCAAACATCGATGCTTGATATGTAATGGAAGACCTTGCGCCGCCCTTCTGCTGCCACGCGGAGAACGTTCTTAGTCCCTAAGATGTTCTGTGCAAAATGAGCACTGTAAGGATCACACCAGTTGACCTTTGCGGCTGCGTGAAAGACTGCTGGAGCCCAACCAATGAGCCATTGGTAATCACTCTGTGAAAGCCCAAGGTATTCCATTGTCATGTCACCATCCAAGACGATCACCTTTTCGATTTTTTGGGAGATGTTTTCATTCCATAGGTCGTATTTCTTGAAAGTATTCTGGATCCGCTCCATAGCCGAATGCTGTTTATTGCCCCGAGCTAGACATGCTATCTCCTTCATACATGACATGGAGAGCCAGCGGTACAGGAGGTTAGCTCCGAGGAATCCAGTAGCACCTGTAAGGAATACGCGACCTTCTGATGACCAGTTTGGGACCAACTCAATGTCATCCGCAAGATGGCTGTCTTCTTCAAATTGTAGGATTTCAGAAGGTCCATAGTTGATTGCCTCGGATTGACTTAGATACTCCGCCAAGGAGCCAATCCTCGGGGTCGTGTAGAGATCCTTGATTGTTAATACTTTTCCGAATTGCTGTTTGATCAAGCCAAGGAATCGAGCAACTTGTATGGACGATAGGCCAAGAGAAACAATATTGTCATCGTGACCTAGATTGTCCAGGCCGAGTATTCCTTCAAGGATTGTGGCAATCATGCTGTAGGGGCTCTTGTTTTCATTGATGGGGCTCCCAGAGGGTGGAGGTTTCCGGTGCTCATCAGCCAAGGCGGCACGGTCAACTTTACCGCGAGAATTCAGGGGTATCTCATCTATAACATGGGCTTCATCGGGGACCATGTAATAGGGATGTATTTCTTCCATCTTTTTGATGAGATCTTGCGGGTCAACTGAACTACCGTCTTCTGGGACAACGAAAGCCCTCAGATGGTCAGAGCCAGCACCCTCAGCGGATTTCTCATGCACACATGCCGCTTCGTGGACAGTTTCGTTTGCTGCGATGGCTCGTTCAACTCCTTCCAGCTCAATACGGAAACCTTGACGTTTCACCTGGAGGTCTTTACGGCCAAGGAAGTGGAGGTCTTTCGCCTTCCACATACCAATATCCCCTGTCCGATACACTCGGATAACTTTCACTTGGCTAGAGTCCGCAGATTTTGCAACCTTGAGTTCAATAAATTTTTCCGCAGTTTCTTCGGGACGGTTTAGGTATCCGGCAGATAGTCCTGGACCCCCAATGCATATTTCACCGGAAACCTCCTCGTCGGAAATGGGCTTCCGGTCTTCATCAATGATATAAAGCACGGTATCTCCAAGTGGAGTTCCGGCACTGATAGTCTTGGATTGGGCCTCCTGAAGGGTCACTCGCTTCAAGGTTGAGAGGCACGTCGTTTCTGTAGGTCCATAGCCATTCCATAAGTTTTCAGGAGGACCATCACTGCCGAGGACCTTTTGCATTGCCAGAGGATTTGGCGACTCGCCAGCACTGATGACATGACGAAGGTTCTGGAAAGCAGAAGGGATACTGGTGGATACAGCAGTGAAAAGAGTGGAGGGTAAGATGACCGCTGTAATGCTTGCATCTTTCCGCATAGCGGCAAAGGAGACCGAGTCCTTGATGATCGAATTCGGTATGTGCACCACTGTGCCACCGGAAAGCAATGTACCCCAAATTTCGAATAAAGAGAGGTCAAACCCGGGGTTGTTCAACTCTCCAACATTGTCTCCTGGTCCAATGTCGAATGGGGATAAAGTGGCGAGATGCATCACAGCCTTTGAGAAAATCTGAACAGCCTTGGGCTTTCCTGTTGAGCCAGATGTATGAATAAAATGGCTTCTATGATCCTGAGGCCTCCCAGATTTTACCAACACTTCGTCATGGTTCTCTATCTGGTTTTCAGGATCCAAAACCGACTCGGCAAGCAGTACACCGAACTGAGAAACTCTTGCCGACAAATCCTTTGTTGTTATAACCATTCGCATGTTCAAGTCACCAAGCATGGCGTGGAGCTGAGCATCAGGCACAGATGGATCAATGGGCGTGCAAGTCCCTCCTGCCCTCAATACGGCGACTTGAGCAATGACTTGCTGCCAACCTGTTCCTATCACAATGCCCACGGGCTCCTCGACTTCGAGTCCTTTCTTAGCCAAGTCCACAGCCAGAACATCGGCTTTGGCCAAGAGGTCACGGTATGTAAAACGCTGCTCTCCATCAATAACGGCCAGAGAGCCTGGGGCTTCATTGGCACGACTGCACAAAATTTGTTCCATTTTGCTTTCGTCAAAAGGTATTTGGAAAGGGAGATAGATAAACAAGAATGAATATATTCCAAAAGGAAGGAATACACGTTTGTTTGATAGCAAAGAATAGATGATTTCCCAGGCACTTATATAGGTGTTTGTGGTTGAAGATCGGCCCACAGCATACAGTCAAATCTTGCTAACAGGCTTCATTACTTGTTCGTGGCGCGACTGAGCGGCATCAAATATTGATAATGATATTCGAAATTCGTTGACAATGGAAAGCTTACAAGGAATGTGTTATCATGTATTTCTGTTTCGGAACATACCCAACGAAGGTGGGGTGGTACAGCATATTCTCATGCAGTGTTACAATACACGAGTCATTCATAGGCCAACCCAATGCTTGCAATAACGTCTTCGCAGCCATAATATTAATCCCCTAGATCGTATCAGAACTAGGCAAGCCTATTTCTCTAAAATAGCAATGTGCGCACCTCAATGAAGAAAGATGGTGTGTCATTCGTATTGTCCATGTTGCACTTCACTGCAAGCTCTGCCATTTAAGGCGTGCGCACTGACTCCCACCTTCCATTCCTATGAGTAACAGGAATGATCATATAGGGGATCTAGTATAGCGTAACTCATGCTTCGTAGTCTATTGTAGTTAGTGGGCGGTGCTTTGTCGCTGCCTGTCCTTACATCTCTGGGACTTCCTCGGAATGTGCATTTTTGGGAATCCGCAGCTTGTGCTATCTGCTATTCACATGGCTCTCCACCTTGATGCGATTACTTATAATCAATTGGTAAATTCTTTCGCTTTCGATCCGGTTCGTTCTGATGGTCAGTATCCGTGGAGGTGTACCAAAGAGCAACGCAGACATTCGATTAGGCGATATAGTGGTGAGACAGCTAGCGGACACATCTGGAGGCGTGATCCAATACGATCTTGGTGAAGCTTTAAGCGGCGGTCAATTTCAGCTAACAGAGATGCTTAACCGGCCACCCAAGGTCCTGCTGACTCCCCGCGCGTGTATACATAATATTTCAATGTAATATTGTCAATCATGATTTTATTTTATTGAAACTCTTACAGCTATCTATTATTGCTCGATAAAGACACCAGTTCCAATAGTTAACTATAAAATGGTGTGGTTGTCGAAATACAAAGTCATCAATTCTCGGGTAAGGTGATCTTCCAATGGCCACTCGCTTGCATGAGCCATTCGCTTGCAGAATACGTTATATCGAGTTTCAACATGCCGCAGCGAGCATCCATGATGAACTGCTTGTTATGAAAGGTCTGGTTGATCACCTAGCCTGTAGTTTTCAAGCACGTATCCAATGTCCTTGTCGCCGCGCCCCGAAAGATTGACCAGTATTCTTTCGGATGAAGGGCGCTGGGATGCCAATCGGATCGCGAACGCTAATGCATGTGCGCTTTCCAGAGCAGGAATTATTCCCTCGAATTTTGCCATCCGGAGGAATGTATTAATGACTTCCTCGTCCGAAATTGCTGCGACTGATAGCCGACCGGCTTCATGGAGCATCGCAATCTCCGGGCCAACGCCAGGGTATGCGAGCCCTGATGCTATGGATGAGACACCGGCAGGTGTACCGTCATCTTGCTGAAGCACAATCGATCGAGCACCATGCAATGTGCCCGGTCTTCCATATGATAGCGTTGCCGCGTGTTGGCCTAGCTCATCAGATTTGCCAAGAGGCTCCACTGCATGTAGAATAACATCTGGGTCATCAATAAAGCCCGTATATATACCCATCGCATTGGAGCCACCAGCAACACAGGCAACCACATGCTCGGGCAGGGTTCCATCCGTGATGGAAAGGAATTGCTCGCGCGCTTCTCGACCAACTACACCCTGGAAATCTCGAACAATCATTGGGAAGGGGTGCGGGCCGATAGCCGAGCCGATCGCATAAAGTGCGTGTTTGTGCTGCTCGATGTACGCATTGAATGCAGAATCACTAGCATCTTTCAGAGCAGACTGGCCAGTCGCTACTGGCACCACGCGCGCGCCGAGTAACTGCATGCTACCAACATTAGAGCTCTGTTTAGCAATATCAACTTCTCCCATATGAATTTCGCATTCGAGGCCAAAATAGGCAGCTGCAGTTGCCAGTGCGACGCCATGCTGGCCGGCCCCCGTCTCGGCAATCAGCTTCGTCTTACCCATTTGTTTGGCGAGTAGTGCGAAGCCAACACAGTGGTTGATTTTGTGTGCGCCAGTGTGATTCAAATCCTCCCTTTTAATGAACATTTGAGCGCCTCCGACTTGCTTCGAAATATTTTCGAGGTAATGAATCGGGGTCGGCCGCCCTTGAAGTCCGACCCGCACCTTGTTCAGTGCGTGATGGAATTCTGGGGATTTATGGAGCTCCTGATAGCTGCTAGCCAGCTCCAGCAGCGCAGATCGAAGTTCTGGTGGATAGTGGTTGCCACCAAACCGACCATAATATCCTTCAGCGTCGGGGCTGCTCTGGAAATAAGAAGGTATGTTGTCTGACATTTTGCCTAACCCTCGAAAGCGACGGGCAACACTAAGCAAGCCTAGCTCGACGTATTGAATGAAACTTGCGAGGCGCAGACTGTCGCAATTGGATGACGGAATTGGACGTTGAAAATCGCACCTAGGCCGATAGGTGTCAGAATTAGGATCCGCGATATTGATCACCACTTTAAGGTCTAGCGAGTAATTGTGACGAGTAGATGAAACAGAGGATGGTTGCTTACAAGGGTTCTCAAGAAAGCCTTAAGGAGTAGAGAGATCAAATATATGCTGACAGTCTGTTCAATAGCTATTTCAAAAGCCTGCGCTACGAGTAGAGAAATCAAATATATGCTAAGTCTGTTCAATAGCAGTTTCAGGAGCCTGCGCTACGAGGGTGGGGGGATGGGTCTTATATATGTACATTTCTCGAAGCGCACAAGGCTTATTGGTGTAATTTCTCATCCTCCGATCCGGTCAGTCTTCCGACCCGCCCTTGTTCTCCGACCCGCTCTAGTCTCCCGACCCGCTATAAGTCCTGTGTGGGGGCCAAATAGATGAGATTCTTTAATCGTGGGGAAGTTCTCCAGCACTATCTGACAACCTATTTAGGAAAAATGCATCGCGTCTGGGGTCCCTGATTACAGTTAGTAACCCGGCTCTCGCCCGTGTCTGTAGGGAAATCGTACCGGTCGAGTTAGCTGATATTGAACGCACAAAATGGGAGTGGTGTCTACACCTTGCCTCTGGTACTGTGTCTCTTAGTTGTCTCAATTGGCATAGTGTCCTCGCAAAGAAGACAGGCCATAACCGCAAATGCATCGTGCTTGGCAGGTTTTGCTTGACTCTTAGATCTGGCCTTTTAATCGACCTTGGTGTCACTATAAGCCAATGTTCGTCCCGCCAACATCACCTCTCGATTGTTGATTGTCACTCAGACGCTCTGTATGATAGTGGATACAGATGGGCGGGTCCTCGTCATCGGCTTTCCTTCTTCCCACTCAGACAGCTGAAGGAACCTGAAAAGGACGTTGACCAGGTTTACTTGTTGGCTCGAATTTGTTCTCAAGTACGCTGGACGGGGAAGGCCTTGAAATATATCGCGCTGCAGTGGGACTGCCAAAGCACCGAGGCGTCGGTGCTTAGACCGTAATTTGTTCCTATGCTTCCTATGCTTCTGACTCCATAGCTTGGGAAATGTTGTCGATGTGATGAAGGTAAACAACGCAATCGCAATCCTTGGAACACTCTGCTAGCTGATTGGAAGAACAGATGTTTTTGCGGTAGCTTGGGAACAAATGAGAGTCGCTATATGTAATACAAGCCATGGAAATAGAGAAACGGCTTTGCCTATCAGGGTAATTTCTCTCCAATATAAGCGCAGGTTTCCGTATTATAACTAGCGGGTGCATTTCGAAGGCTGCGACGTATGTGGAGGAGGTCATACCGGGACAGACGGGAAGCAGTCTGGCGATCCTGCCAGATCGCCGAATTGCTAATCGATTTTACGAGATTCCATGGAGGATTACAGTATAATAACGGATGACTCATCCATTGGTCCCGACCTGTTCGCTTTTTGTTTCTCCTCCCTTTATTTCCAGATCTTTCCTCGCCATTCTATGAACACCACTCCGCGGATAAAATGTCGCTGCCACAAAGATTCAATCTGGGCATCGTTGGGTGCGGCCAGATGGGGACTTCCATACTAAGTGGGATCCTCAATGGCGAGGTGAAACGTCAACGGGAAGACCAGCCAGGTTGGACGGTTAATCATATCTTCATCTCGGTCCAATCCGCCTCGTCTGTTGACCGGCTTCGCAATTTGCTCTCCCAGCACTTGCCCCGCGTTACTATCTACCAGTCGGACAACCTAGCCACTATCCAGAACTCACACGTCGTGATTCTGGGATGCAAACCCGCTCAGATGCATACTATCCTTAGTGAAACGGGAATGCAAGAAGCCCTGGAAAGCAAAATCCTAATCAGTATCTTGGCGGGTATGGACACAAAGTCCACGCAAGAGGCGATCATTGCCAATGGCCATCCAGCGGAGCAGCCTGAGTCCCAAGTACATGTGGTTCGGGCAATGCCAAATATTGCCGCGAGAGAGGGCGCATCAATAACGGTTGTTGCATCGCCTGCACGCGAATCAGATCGGGATGCCGTCCAAGTCACACGGTGGCTGTTCAATCATGTCGGAAAGACCCAGGAAATCCCAGAATGTCAGTTTGATCTGATCGGATCCTTAGCAGGGTGCACTAGTGCCATGTTCACAGTAGCGATCGACGGATTGCTCGATCAATGCGTTGCAGGCGGGTTCAAACGCTCCGAGGGCTTACAAGTGATCACACAGACGCTGTTGGGCCTTGCTAAGCTGCTGGAAGCAGGGAACCACCCTGCTGCCTTGCGAGAGGAAGTTTCCTCGCCAGGAGGAAGCACCATCCAGGGCCTGTTGGAGCTTGAGCGACAAGGGGTGCGGTCTGCATTCGCCTCTGCTCTTGGGGCAGCCGGCGAGCGGGCCAGGGAATTGGGTCGTAAATAGAAGATACGAGTGCTCCATATAAACTAATGCGTGTTATATAGAAGCATGAAGCCTGAATTATTCGATTCCTTAAGTTGGTCGTCACACACAGGATGGATCGGAATCAGTTTCACCACTTTGCTCTCATAGAATCCTTCTTGAACTCTATCGCGAAACACACCAATCCATTTCTGGCTTGGCTCGGTTTCTAAATCGAATCCTACCGAAAGATAATATGTACGAGTCTAATGCAGAAGCTAAGACGTATTATTTACGACTATACTGAGGTTCAGGGGCAGGGTAACCGTAATAGGTATACCGTGTTTCGAAAGATCTCTGTGAGTAAATGATGAAACTGATTTCGATCCATGCTGTATAACTGGCACAATTGAGCATATAAATCATATCTCAGACATAGTGAGATGCAAGAAAACTATCTATCACCCCAAAAACAATTACCAATCCAGTGAATTCGACGAACTGCCATCCTGCGATCCACGACTAACGC